TCGCCTTGCATTATAGCATGAGCATTGTGCACAATAAGGATCAGATTTTGTAGACCTCACCAAGGAGCTCCAGCCTTTCGTAATCTGTTTCGAAGGTCGCAGAGGGAGCGAAGACGGCGGACAACAAATGATGTTCCAGGATCATATTTGCGAAGAACTGTGCATTAAGCTCCTTTACAATCAAGAAATCATCGATTCGTCGAGTGATGGATGGTAAAAGTAACGCAGTGCGGTATATACTGGTTTATGGACCTTGGTATGAGCATAGCGATGAACCATGCCAAGATCACTCACCTTGCTGGAATTGTGCACTTGCCACAGAGCTCCGGTATGAGATCTACCCAGTGTCAGCTACGCAGTTTACCAAAGTTAGGGGAGCAGCCTACATTTCGGACCTGTCTTGTTGGTCTCTATAAGGGGCTTGTGGACGGGATTCAGGCGGTTTAGTACAGTAGCAGCCTTGGATACTTCTATTAGAGGCTGACTGTTATCTTGGAGGCTCTGGAAGCCCTTGCGACGTGCTTTGCAGTACTCCAGAATGTTCGCATATTCCATCTCGCGCTGGAATGATATAGATCAAGGATCAGTAGATTGACCATCAATGATGGTCACTTACTGGGCTGTCTAGAGGTTTGCTCATTGGTGATAAATCCGGTCGTAAGCGGACAACATAGCATCGTCGAGTGAATTCGACTGATCTATCCTGGACGACTGCATCCTCAAATTCGCTTGGGTCTCGTAGGCTATCGGAACTGAAACGCGTGATATAGTTGCTGTTGGCTCGTGCCACAGCTTGCCAGTCAATGACATCGTGTAAGTCGATCAAGTTAGACCACGAGACATCCTTGGCTTGGGAAGGAAGTAGCGGTGCAATAAAGTATGCCATTTTTTCCAACGAACATACAAATGCTTTGTTGGCGATCGTGCGGCAAATTCTGAGCGTATACGAGTGAAGGTCCTTGAGACGCTCGCCATCAAAGATAACGGCGGGACCTCGTGCATTCTTGGCAGTGGCAAAAACGCCATAGAAAAACAATTTGAAGGGTTCTAGATGAGGTAATGGTTGACGTGTTAGAATAATGATAGGTGCATAAGGTTCGGATGGGCCTTCTGGATTGCCTACGGAAACGACGACGGGGAAGAGGCGTTCTTTAGAATTTTGTAATGAGTTGACCCAGAAGTCTGGCCTTTTTCGCATGTAGCAACTGTTTCCAGAAACCAGATCTGATTTCAATAGGGAAGGGTTCGCGTAAGCATTCTCGTCAGACCGACGTGGGGTATGAATCAGGCGGTAGTCCAGACCGCTTAGCTCAAATAATTGTAGACAAAATTGATAGGCTCCTGAGCGACGCGCATGAGTGGACGTTAAGCGTGGAGGACCCTGAATCGTCTGCAAAGGCAGTCCAGGCGGCAGTGTCACAGTGCACACGAATTGTTGAACCCCACCCATGCTGGGTATGGGTATGGGATGAACAACAAACAGAGGGTGAAGAGATGGAGTTGTAATGCTGCGCTGAAGACTTGTAGCGATGCGGAACACAGCAAGTAAGGCATCATCTTCAAATAATCGACCACCATTGACTGAGTCTCCTATTGAGATCTCTGGCCTGGAAACTGTCTCTTCGTCCGAGCGGTAAGGGTTGCCCGTTTCCTTCAATGGACAAGATGGTATTGAGGAATTTCCCCCCTGTAACACCACCTCGATCCACTTGTCATCAACAGCTGCACCGCTATACTCTTGAAGAATCCGGCGATGTAGGTCATTCCCTTTCTCCACCATATGTACAAGATGTCCATCAGGCACCATTGTACGTGCACAAGCAAATGCATAGGAAAGCTGGCTCTCGAACAAGTTGTATCTGGAACACATGTGAATGAAGCACAACTAGTAGCAAGAGTGACATGCACCGTATAAAGACATTGGCACGCGGAAGGTCGATATCTTCCAAGTTTTTGATTAGAATGAGGAGGTTAAACTTTCCATTCGCGAAGTTATCGAGCAATTCGAGCTGTCATGATACGGTTCAGCCAATCAAGTTCCAGGTAACGAGATTCACATACCTGCTCGTGACCATCAGTGACAAGGAGTTCACTGGTCAAAGCATAAGGTCGAACGAAAGCCAATTCATCAATCATGGTTTTCATGATATCCACCATAATAGTCGCGACTTCGGACTGTTGGACTGCAGTGTAGACCATTTATCAACGGCGATGAAGATAGATTGTCTCATACACACCCAAGACAATTCCACGGAACTTGTCCCCGTAAGCTCCACATGATTTGAGAACATGAATCAACTGCACGAACTTGGGCGTCACATTGAAGCCCCTGGAAGAAAGGTTTAAGTTCGGCATGGCGAACACCCAGTTTTTGACCAGATCGCGGATTTTGTTAACGATCTCAAAATTGGGGTCGTCATCGTCATTCCTGTTGGCAGCATATTCTCTGATGGCCCTGCGCCAGACGAGATCACTGGCACATAAGCCGACCTCGACCAGAGCATAGCGGGCAGCGCGAAACGTATTTGTAAACGAAGATTCCTCTGGATGAATCTCGTGGAGAGCCTCCATTAATCTTGATTCTGCATTTGGCAAAAGTGCATCATAGAGAATGACGGCCTCAAGAGGACGAATGTCGGACGCACAAAGTACGGGTTTCGAAGTTAGAGATTCGGAAGGATCCTGAAGCATGGCACGATTCAGGACAACACCATCGGTGGCTAGAGGTGCCAATGCGCTATTATTTAAACCAGGCCGGTCACCGCCAGCCTCACACGACTGGGTATCCTGATTCATGTCACACTTCAAGTTAGCATCTGGATGGCTACTAGTAGCACCAGATGTTTCTTTCCAGATTCTTAACATCGTGACTTCTTCTGCGGATGAGAAGCGTGATGGCCGCAGAGACCAAAGGAAACAAGGGATAACAACGTGACGGGGACAACAGCAGATTGAAGTCCTTTGGCAAGAACAATGTCAAGTTGAGCCTGAAGTAGTACTACAATTACGGCAGGCGTGACTCTGGCGTGACTTCGGCATTGTGACCACCTGGGTTCAATGTTGAACCACACATGAGCGCTCCACAGCGCTCAACCCATGAAAGCTACTGGTCTACTATCAGCGGACAGCTGCCCTGCATAGGCCGCAGGAGTAATGGTAAACAATGCATCGCTCATCCTTTCTATCGTAGATCGCTTCAGCCCCAGTCTTGCACAACGATCGGTGGCAAGGGCTCGAGTTTCCTCTGATCCATGCCTACCTGCGCGTTTGCCTACGACAGGTACGTCGTAGCATCATCTTCCTCACATCATACCCAACATATCTTAAGGCTTTCTACAGCGAGAGGCCGAACAGAACGCACCAAGGGCGGTATTGAGACAGTTACGACGCAGTCCCACACCACCTAGTCCAACTACCGAATACCATGATGCGACAGAGGACACCCCACCTCACGTCGAGAGGAGGGGCAGTGTCTCCTCAGAATCAGATCAAACGTCTTCGACACGGTCTTTGTTTTCGTTTTCCAGAAGCCAACCCTCAGGGGGTTGGAAAGAGCCGCAAGTATGTTGCTAACATTCGTCCCTACGAGTGCACGATATTCATATATTTCATTTCACTAGCCGTTTGAAGTCTTTCGTGCTATCGAGCGCAAGGATATCATGTTTCTGATGGAAGTTCGCGATCGTGCTTTCCCTGTAGTTCAAACACCTTGTTTCTCTTCCTCATACTGATGATCCCTCAGTTACTACTTCGCAAAACCGGAGATGCTACCCCTCTTCTTCACGCTATGCGTATTGGACAGTCTCATCGTGACGTTGCTATCTTATTGCTTGGAGCTTTCTCTCGTTGGATCAACCATCTGGAAGACAGCGAGATCAGTCTCCCACGGACAAGAGTGATCCTCAAGGCTTTGCGTTAGTCTAGGTTCAAGCAGTCCCTAATGAGCGGCTAACCCTGTGACAGGAACAAATCTCAAGCTCGGCATAGATTATGGTCTCTATAAATCTCAGAGCGATCTCGTGGCCTCTTTTATGCAAACACTGGTAATGAGCGAGGGCGAAAAATGGATTCGTGCCCAGGTATCATCGGCGTCTCTGGCCTTGAGATCTGGCAATGCTGGAAAACCTGTTTCCACTGCTGAGGCGGCGGTGCGCAAGTTTGCCACTAAAGAACTAAGCAAAGCAGACGCAATCGCTGCCCTGGAGGATTAGTAGGTCATTTTTGATTCTGTATTACCTCACACAATGAACAAACACACAAGTGTGGCAAATGCTACGACTGACCTTCTACTTCTTGGAGCTTGGGCGATCGCACTGGAATCTATCGAAGGGCAACCAATACCGGTAAGCAATGGGGTCGAATGCTACCAATAACTTACAGCTACCTTGTTTCTAGGTGTATTATTTTGCACGAGATGACAGAGTTTTCAAGGCCTTCATGGACAGAGTAAACACCCACCAAGCTACCATTCGTCGCGTACTCAGCCGGCGCCTGAAGTGGCAATTCCGCGTGCTGCAGAACGTGCTAGAAGGGAGAAATACAACTTATCGAGTGAGCAAGATGTGCTGCGTGCTATGCGACTCACTCAAAGCTTCTGTCACAGAGAAAAGTGGAAATTTTGACCGAAGAATTGGATGATGGAGATGGGGTGTAGTTTCCGCGGATGGACATGAACCTGATTACACTCTACGTTCAGGTATTGTTTCATTTAGTGTCTGTGTCTATCATATTATGTGCAATTTACTGCTGGTGAACATTTCACAGTTTCCTCAATGCTCTCTGCTCGTACAAGGTGCCCTCGGGATACAAGACCACATCCTGGCTGGGGCGTATCGTCGAGCAAATATGAAAACATGAACCTTGTGTTCTGTTCATCAGATGCCCATCCTTCCCAAACTATTGTGTGGGACCGCGGCGCATATTCCTAGGGTTATTTACACCTACTTCTCAGAATGTGTGTTGCTATTGTCCACGATGAACAACAGCTGAATTATAAATCATGTTGAGCTATGAAAATGAATCTAAGGGAACCCGTCCGATGCTAGTAAACTCCTGTATCTATTCGCGTGATTGCCATGGTTCGTGCGGTCTGTCGATGTGAAACATAATCACAGAGCGAGTTTCATTCCTGTGAACCATGCCCAAGCTCCTGTCACTACTAAAGAGAGAACGGCCCAATTCAAGTTCAACTGTACGACTGTATATAGCCATATTGTTGCGAATTGCGGACACTTGGGGGATGGTCTGTAAACAAGACATCTTGCCGAAACGGAACGTAACACACCTGTCGCATATTGACAAGCCATGATCCACGGTTTATAAGCCATATCATTCGGGGTCCAACACCAAGGGAAAGTATGAATAGAGCGAGTTGCATTCGAGAATTGGCCTTGTGTCGCGTAGCTAGAGGCGATCAGTCAGAAGGACCAAACTGACACAGGTGCATTATACTCACTGTAGAACACAAATATGGACAAAACTGCATGAATTTGAGCATCAAATATTCTCCATGCATATTTCGAACGTACTGGGTAAGTTTGTGAGGAGCCGTCCAGCAACATCACCAGCAGTTGGGTGCCGGGCATACTGCTGATGTATGAGGCTGTCGAAAACAACAGGAGGTGAGTTGGGAGGTGAGCACCAGGCATAAGCTCACATGTCCATCATGATGAGAAAGAAGGTCAACGGCATGATGAACACGACCGCATTGAAGATCTCGTCAGCAAGTGGGAGTGGTTCCACATTGTCTGTAGTCTCCTTAGGTTTTCGTGTCTCAGCTACCTTCCTAAGGACACCAGTTTGTTCTATCAAGCGCCACTGTTCGTCTTCAGATATCTCGACTAAAGGCTTCTGCACGGGCGTTGTCTGCGTTGTCTGGCGCTTCTTAGCCATTGGTCGTGAAAAGTTGAGTTACAACTTGTTTGCAACTTGTCCTTCAAGTCGTGGATATCTGGATGCTTGCCGCCGGAATTACCATTTAGGGTCTTCCATTTCAAAGGCCTCCCACAAGTCTTCTTGTCAGTGATGGAAGACGAGGGAGACAGATTGCTCGACCTCCTACAAGCACATGGCCAACAGTTCCTCAACTCTTTCGATCTCAATCAACATCCCCGGAAGAAGCAGAAACTAGAAGAGTCCCAAAAGGAACTCGAGAACGAGGATTTTGAGGAGTGGGGAGGTTTCAGCAATGCAGCTGTCTCCACTCACCCATCCGAAGAAAATGACGACGGTTTGTGGTTATCCAGGCTGCTATTCGTTTACTATATGGCTATATTATCAGATACTCCCGATGAATATGATGACGGCTTTACCGCCAGTTCCTCCACCAAGATACCAGATGTAGTGGTGTTCTCAGACTCGAGGCAGAAGCCTTCAGAACAGTTCTCGAAAGCTCAGAAAAAAGCTTTCATGGCAAGTCTCATGTATTGCCACCTTCGTGTACTGATACAGGAGTGAACAGTCTTCAAAAGTAGCTAAAGTTACATCTATAATGGAAGTCGATAGGGCCCCACATCGAGACGAGGATGACACACAAAATGATGAGGATATGTGAGTCTTTGACATCGTCAACCTGTTATCTTACATATTTTTCTAGCTCGAATGCCCAGAACGATGCTCTCCTCCATCGTTTAGTCCACACAAAATTGTTGTCTGGGTCTTTGAACCCTGCACTCGACTTGACTCATGCACAACGAGATAAAGCACTGTCCGGTCGTGTCTTAGAAATTGCAGGGAAAGCCAAGCTTGGCAAGGGAGAAGTTGACATTCGCGCTGCAGAACGAAATAAGGCTTCCAAGCGAGTGCGAGAAGGACTGCTAAGGAAGAAGGATGAGCGAGAGAAGCAACAGCTGGAGGAGGTTCGTTTCAGCACGTCTTGCCATCCAATCATATGTCAACAGTGGTTTTCTCCTAGGCCAAAAATTTGGGAAATTACCACCCCACTCTTAAAAAACTGTTTGATACATCATCTAGGTCCTCAGGCCGTCAAAGACGAGTTAGGGGTCTCGGAATGGGAGTGGGCAAGTTTAGTGGGGGGACGCTGAAGCTTAGTAAAGAGGAAATAAATTCGGTGACCGGTCGTGGGGTGCATGGCGCAGCCAGGCACGGGCACAATACAAGTCGTAGTCGTAGATGATGTCTCATAGCATTACGATAATTATCGATCATTGCGCAACGGACGTGCTCTTTCATGGAATTCTCAAATTTTGAGGGATTGCATTCCATCAGCGATATCCTCGACGGGGTGCATGTCTGAGGGATGAGGCCCGTCACGCAGCCGACTGGAATTGGAATGTCGGTCATCCGGAAGAGTCCTGCTGATCATCAGAGCTGGCTCTTGTGGTTTTGCTTGGTCACTCACTGTGGAAATGGCCTTTCGGACATATTCGAGGAAGTATGGCTGCGGTGGCTGTTTGTTCTGTGCATTGATGAGTGCGATCCTCGCGGTTGGTCCTCGGGCTGCCAATCATCCCTTCCATGGTAACCCGTATCTCGTGGCTGTCTATCTCGGTGATCCCGTGTTCTGTATTCCTTATCTCTGTATTCCCTGTCTCTGTATTCCCTGTCCCGGTAGGGGTCTCTGTATTCCCTCTCTCGGTAAGGGTCTCTGTCGTCTCTATCCCTGTAACCTCTACCCCTGTGCTCGTGATAGTAGTCATCGTAGTGCCTGTACGATGGACTGGAGTGATATCTATGGGATGAGTAGTCATCGTGGTGCCTGTGCGAGGGATCGGAGTGGTATTTATGGGACGAGTAGTCACCGTGATACCTATAAGAGGGATCGGAGTGGTAGTTGTGGGACGAGTAACCCCTGCTACTACTGTAAACCATCATCAAGGTCAGCATCATGAATCTCCTATGCATCATAGACAAACCTTGGGCGTTTTGAACTACGTTGATTGGGATCTATCATAACCACTCGTGGATCTCTGGGAGGGCCACTTTCGTGATCGCGGCCATCATAACTATAATCAACACTTGAGTGAATCTACAGAACCAGCATGACACTGTCGCACCTGTAAAGCTCACGCCCATGATTATCCTGCACAATAAAGGGTGCAGAACGTGGTGCTGGGCGCCCGCTAAAATCACCAACTCTTCGATCAACTTCAATGCAAGCCAAGGAACAGAACACTAAACCAAATCTTACCTTCCGACTTCATTCCCGTATTCATCTTGGAATATAACACTCACCCCGCCAGGGATGACGTAATAGATAGGGCCATGCCTGCCTGAGTGAGGGGCCCGGCCGTGCCCAACTTGGTGGATTTCATTGTATCGTATCGGACGAGTCTACAAGCAATCATTATAGTTGTCGAAAAATGTATATCAGTAGCAAACCTCATGGCCATCCGCATATATATTAGTAGGACTCTTCCCCGGGTAACCAACCGGTGTGTGTATAGAAGCCTGAAAGGTGGCTGTCAGAAAACAGACAGATAAACGAATGAAAAGTAACACACCGCCCTCGTATGAGAGTGACTAGACATTGGCGTCCTGGGCGCCTCGACAGTATGATCGCTCCCTGAGTCAATAGATCTGTCGATGTGGGTGATAGCAGGATCGTCAGGCATGTGACGACCTGAAACATTGCCGTAGCTAAAAGAATCTGCACGAGTGACTCCATCTCGCATTTGGGAATGTAAAGATGCAGGTTGATCTGGCATCCTTGGGGGACTATGTATAGAATGTCCCTGCTCGGAAAATGTTTCCGAAAATCGACTGTCACCATCGTCTCGCTCAACAGACGGAACAGGGCTCAAAGGGTTTTCTGGTCTTGTGGGACGGGCGTTGAGAGTTCCCCCTAGGATAGTCTGAGGGTTGTCCACCCGAACGTAGCCATCGTAGTATTCATCTCCGTCAGTAGGTGCACGTGATGGAACAGGAGTGAATACCTGTCCCCATTAAAGTTGAGCTTCATGTAGCTATATACAATGGAATGCAGAGCTTACTGGCTCCACTCTCTACGATCGTGACATCAGCCTAAATCTTGTAACAGACAGATTCATATGCTTACTTTTCTTGGCAGCGTCTCATGCCTTCTCAGTTGTGGATGAGAAATGGGTTGGTGATAGTCTGGTTTTGAAAATTCCTCGCCGTAGTCATTGTAGACTGCGCGATCGGGACGATGATTGTTGGGATTGCGGCCTCCGAATGCCTTGAACATGTTGAATGGCATCGTGACAGATATGTTTGAGAGCTGATGTTAGAACGGACAAAGGCTTGGGAATTTATGGCAGCATGCTGGCACATGAGGCCGCCATGAGTAAACAAGCTTCTTCGGTGCTTCTACAGCATGTCAAATTCGTGTACTGTGTTTAGAAGTAATGGTAGTAATCTCCAACGATAACACGAGGGACGGTGAGAAACCCGCAATAATCCGGTAGTCAATTCGGAAGCAGAATTCAGAACTATCGAACTAACATATCGTCTGGAGGAAAATAAAGATTATCATTTCCACTAAATAGTATTGTGGTGGGAACGACAAAAGTCACAGTAATAGGTGAAACAGATCTACCATCAGACAGGGGCGACCAGATAAATTTAATCCTGTTCTCCTAGCTGCCTTACTTGGGACAAAGCCTGTGCAACCTTGTTGATGGCATCTGCAGCTGATGCAATAGATGCCACGTCCATTTGATTTGCGGTTTCGCAGATCTGCGCAAGTCTTTGTGACATAGCATCCAAAGACAGCTTGAGCGCCTGAGCAGGGGAATACGCATTGGCACTTGCATGCTGCACAACATCGTGAGAAAATCATAAATAATTGTGAGCACCGTACTGACCAGACGTTCGCTATTATTAGCCAAGTCTCGTGTAGGTTTCGGAATATTGATCGTCAACTAATGACAGATCAGCTTACTCGACGATTGATTATTTAAAAAGACAGCTACCTTTGACGACTCTGACGCAGGAAGTAATGGCGAAGACTAGGATCTATGTCAACTATGACCTGGGCAGGTAGAAAAACTTTTGGTACCTGTGAAGGTATATTGCGCATCACTGCTTTTCCTTTGTCACGAGAGCCCAATGTCATCGGAGCACTTGACATAGAGTTTCCAGTTCCCGAGTTGGATCCTGTTCCAATTGCAGGTGGAGCTGGGACAAGGCGCTGCCACCCTTCAGAGACATCAGTAACGTAGACCGTCCCACAAACAACGCATTCCTGGACCCTGATGAACGATTTCTATGTGAAAGAACTGTGAAGAATAGCTCACCTTGCGAGGATCTCTCTCCTCTCCGCCTTTTGGAGGTCTTACAAGAGGTACGCCATAACACCTTATGTTCGGACATTCTTCACCAAGCATCGCCCATCCCTTCAAAAGACGCTTTCCAATCTCTGCAGATGCTTGGTCTGATTGTTGCCGCCTGCGGATTATCTCTTCGGTGTCAATGGGAGGGGCAAACGTTGGGGAGCTCAAAGCGCTAGATAGCTCTGTAGGAGGAGTTGATGGTCGCGAATTATATTCATGAGTTGACGATGAATTTGTTGATGAAGAATTAGATGTAGCTGTGGATAAGGTAGGCTGTATCATTGGGCCAGAGTACGACGTTCCTTACATTGTTGAGGACCATTGCAATTCACGCAAAGGTGAGTTACCGGTGATCCATTGTTAGGTGACCTCATGAGAGGAACGCCGTAACATGCCGGGGACGGGCATGTTGTGTCTGTTAACACCTATGAAGAATTATATGAAAGTGAGATGGGTGGCTGATACAAGAAACAGAAACCACCTGACCCAGCCTTTTATCATGTATTCTCCAAGTTTGCTGGATACGTCGACGATACTTGTGCTCATCTTTAAATTACTACTGCAGGGCCGTAGTAGTTGCAATATGGATTTCGAGGAAGCTGAGATATTTGTTTATAATAAATTTCGAAAATTAGCCTTTCGATCTGACGACCACGTGATTAACGGCGCGAACGTGAGTTGACCGTTCCACGTCTACCGATCCGAATCTGTGACTGCCATTGATTCTCCTCTGCAGCATGAAATGGGAAAAAGGTTATTCTTGTACATTTGCTTTCGCCCTCTTGGTTATTCTATGTAACGGAGTTGATGCACGGCAGAGCATAAACACAAGTCATCACCAAGAAACTGCTTGGACCTCTGAGCGCAAGAGATCATTCAGGTGTGTACGCCTCCCACTGTTTTGCTTTCAATCTTCGTAAACAACTATCTAGAGCAACCACAAAAGACTTATGGTACCATGGTTTCAACCATTACATGTCCCATGGTGAGCCTTGTCTAAATAATTCATGCATGTCGCCGATGGCATCTGTTGCTAGCTTTTCCACTGGACGAGGTTCGCCTGTCCTGAGCTAGTACTCTTTCTGTACTCCAATTCGTTTTCAGTTGTCTCCATTGTCTTGCACTGGTAGAGGTCCAGATTGGGAAAATCCGTAAGGGTCTCGGTTTTGACCTGGTTTTGAGTTGCTTGACGCACCTAACAGCGCAAATATAGCACATAATGACGTTTCAGGAAACTACTCCTTGACTCTCATTGATGTTCTGGATACGCTGGTTGTGCTAGATGATCCTCCAGGGTTTCAGAACGCGGTCCAAAATGTCCTTAACTGGGTGTCGTTCGATGTCAACACAAAACCGCAAGTATTTGAGACCACTATACGAGTGCTGGGTGGACTTTTATCTGGTCATATGTTTGCGAGTCAACCTGGCCAACCTTTCTATCTCCCTTGGTATCGCGGTCAGCTTCTGACAATGGCACACGATCTTGGGAATCGACTATTGCCTGCATTTTCCACCCCTACTGGTCTGCCTTTCGCGAGGGTGCGCATCTCCCTGTGTTTTTGTAGTCTCCAGCACCAACAACCTGCAGGTTAACTTACGACATGGGGTTCAGCGGGGAGAATCCCTTGAAACTTGTTCGTTACTGACAATTGGATCCGTCACTTGTAACACTGAAGTCACTCTAGGCACAGCTGGCGCTGGTTCTCTGATATTGGAATTGGCTACCCTTAGTCGTCTCACCGGAGACGACCGCTTTGAGAAGGCCGCATATAAAGCTTTCTTCGCACTATGGAACAGAAGATCTGATATTGGTTTGGTCGGCAATACAATTAATATTTGGACAGGAGTGAGCTCAGCCTGGTTACATTTCTTCCCGCTTCTAATTGAATTTTATAAGACGTGGACACCACCAGAAATAACAGGAATCGGCGCGGGCGTTGATTCTTTCTATGAATATGCCTTGAAGTGGTATGTCATGAGTGGTGCGTTCGTGGAGTAGCTGATGTGTTCTATACTTTGACATCACCCGTGGGTACCCTGCAGGTGAAGTTGAGTTCCTTGACGTATGGCATGAAGGTTATGCCGCTGTGATGAGATACTCCCGTTCTCCGGACGGTCATTGGGTGAGTAGTGATATCTCTTGTCTTGATGGTTCCCTCAGATTCTGTAGTTTCGCAATATCAACATACATACGGGTAATCAAGCGTATGCCACAATTGATTCTCTATCTGCTTTCTGGCCTGGTTTGCAGGTCCTGGGTGGTGATGTACAAAATGCCATCAAATCTCACATGACATGTAAGTGTTTCCCATTATCCTCAGCTAACCTTTTTGATAATCCTTGGACTGGGACAGACTGGAACATCTGGAGACGACATTCTGGTCTTCCTGAAGTATGGGACGCTCATTTTCTGCAGGCAACGTCTTTTCAATACCCGCTTCGACCGGAGTTCGTTGAATCGACGTGGTACCTCTATAGGGTCGGCTCTTTCACCTTCTCGCATACTGTAGCTCATCATCAGATAGGCCACTCGAGACCCGTATTATCTAGATGTTGGTGAACGTATTTTGAGAGACCTAACTGTCCGCGCCAAGGTGGATTGTGGATTGACTGGTATCCAAGATTTACGGACCAATGTCAGAGATAACAGGATGGAATCGTTTGCATTATCAGAAACACTGAAGGTCCGTCATAAAAATCTAGCCACGTCGAAGCGCTACTTGGTACCAATCACAATTTATCTAGTATTTGTACCTTTTGTTCGACGAGGACAACCCGCTACACAAAGATGATTCACACTACGTTTTCACCACCGAAGGGCACATTCTATCACTTCCAAAGGAAGTTTTGAAGCCCATGTCTCATGTTCGACGAAAGATGCGTGGCAAAGAGAACCACCAGTGCCCTCTGTATGAACCTGTACAGGACTTGTCGCCTGATGGAACCATTAGTGGCCTCATCCGAGGTGTCGGTTCGAGAGTGGACGTCGATTATGCTAGATACCTGGTCGGGTTGCGATCGCAGGCTCTGGACGAGCACCACTGGTCTCCTGATGGCTGGTGTGCAATCCCTGAAGTTGATGTATATGTAAGGAAATTTCATGACATCCTACTGTCGCAGTGACATCCTTCAGCAGTCTTTTGATTTCATCATGTCACCCGGTGGCAAGATGGTACCCGAGGACCCCAACCCTGGCCCCCTCAAACTCAAGACGGTGGCAGATGGTTTTATTCTCCACAATGTGACAGGCATCCGGGCCCACGTCGTCAGTCGATTGGATCGTAAAGGTTACGACGTCACGAAGCGTAAGGTCTCCTTTCCCCCCCAACTGGCTAGTGAACTCACTTATGGAACATGGTACTAGTTGGGCCACATGCTGTCCGTACTGGACAAATAGTGTATGTCAACGACTCTGCACTCTGGAATTCCCTTCCAGATCCTCGCCCGACTTACCGTAGCAAGGACGTTCAACTCCGTATCTTTCTTGACACGTTTGACCCAGCACTCGCAGCACAACCTGGGGCTTCAAGTTTTAACGGAGAGACATATGTCAAGGCTTACACTGCCCAGTTCGGTGGAGACTTGGCTGCACTTGACGCCTCCGATACCCTTCAGTTCGGTTATTGGGAGGGTACAGAGGTACAACAGGAGAAAAGCAACCCCCTCGGATGCAAACCTTATGAAACTAACTTCGACGGAAATGCTGTCCTCGTCCATCGTGGCGAATGCGCATTCCTAGAGAAGCTGGTCTATGCACGAGATGCAGGCGCTTCGGGAGTCATTGTTGTCAGTGACGAGGATAGTCCTATCAATCCTTCTGCTTCAGCCGCAGAGATCGCTGCTGCGGGCGATATCAGCGACGTCGCTTTGGTGCTGTTGCCATATACAATTGGCAAATCTGTTACTGCCATGGTAGACGCTGCTGGGATGTTTGGCTACGGACATGTCATGTTTGCTGTTGATAATGAAGCACAGGCATGGACAGAGGGAGTGATAGATCCGATGCCAGGAGAAGTTGGGCAAATCCTGTATATCAACGGACACCCTCTATTAAATACTAGACTAATAATATAACTTATGTGACACTTGAGGTCCAGTTGATAGTTTTGCGGCCTTCTGAAGACCTGATTGGAGACTAGTCACTGATAGGGTCTGCAGTGTTAGCCTAATGAACTTTCAAGCATGAGTGCAGCACAACGCTACCAGTATTGGATGTGTTGTTGGCTTTCAAAGCGTCAATTTGGTGGGCAACATTGTTACATGCTTGTGACAGAAATGCACGTATACAATGACAAGCTCTCAGTATATGAACTTATCTATAGTGAAATCCACAGCACTAATCATAGAAACGGGTATCGACATAAAATACTAATAAAGAGAATGTGCCTGGTAACTCAATCCAAGTGTTGAATGACGGAGTAGGCAGGAGCATCCAAACATTGGTATCCCTTAAGGAACATTATCTCGATGATGAAGAGATACTCGATTGTCACCCCGCCTAGCTTCTTGACAAGCTCGCCAGCTGCCTTAGCAGAGCCTCCTGAACAAGGTATGAGATACGGCACCAGATAATGAGAGCCTGGACTCACCGGTGGCAATGAGATCATCAACAATAACCACGGACTGCCCAGGTAGGATCGCATCTGATTGCATTTCGAAAGAGTCCTGTACGGCGCCAGTTAGAACGTATTTGACTTCCGAATATATATATATATAACTCACGGCACCATACTCCTTCTCGTAGGTTGCTGAGACACAGTCGCCGGGGAGCTTACCACGTTTGCGAACAGGTACGAAAGAAGCTCCCAGTCGCAGCGCGATGATAGGCCCAATGAGAAATCCTCGGGCATCTAGGCCGACTACGACATCAACCTTTTTGCGCAATGATTTTGGTACAGTTTGCGACGTGATGTGATGAACAAGGTGGGTGATGAGCGTCTCGAATGCGATCGGGTCACGGAGTATGGGGAATATGTCGAGGAAGCTGATTCCCTGGAATGGAACCATGTTGAGCTTTTCTCCGCGGCTGGAGCAGAGCTTTGACGAACCTTCTTTGGAAAATCGGGATGGAGTTGAATAATACTTTGCAGGTATTCGACGTCGCCCATGGTGTAGTTTAAGGTTACAAAAAGGTAGTTGCTAACCAGGGAAACAAGAATGACTCAAATATGGTGACGTTTTATATGCGACCTTGGCGGATATCAGAAGCAAACCGTTTCGAGTTGGTTCCGCGTGAACTCCGAGTGAAATTGGTGACCGTCTTGACATGTAGAATGGCACCGTGAGTAGGCGTTCATGATAGGACTGAAACTCCATTTAAAACCCGTTTCGCAACAGATTGATGCATGTTGTCATGATGTTCATAGATTGATCAATACCCTTTTAGCATAAGTACTTTGCGAGTGGTCATGGTCATATGAAGAGATACAAAGGTAGACGACGAGTAACAAAAGAGTTTTAAACAGATTGAAGAATCTCAGGCTCCTTGAAGTCCTTCGCTACGCGGGTGCCTGTCTCCTGCAACGTGGGCGTCAGTTCCAGTCAGCTAATACAAGTATGGTAGTTACTTACGTCTGTTGACTCGCCGTGAAGCTCAAGCAGTTTCGAGACATCGAACTTCGGTGCCTTGAGAATTTTTGCCTTGCGAACGTAGACATTTTGTAGAGGGTAAATGTTGCGGGTGTGCTTCTCTATCTCTCGTCCAATAGCCTCTGGCACAAATTTCTGCACCAACTCCTTCAAGTCACAACTCGACGCTTCCCGGGTCATGATCTCGAACATCTTCTTCCGAATTTCACGAATTTGGCTCGTCTGAGCGTAGGTGGTCTTGCGGACCTGGTTTGGGCGACGCTTGGTGAAACCGATAGCAAAGAGGCGGATGAGGTAGCCGTCAGTCGTCTTCACGTCGACGTGTGCCTCGATGAGGGTTTGCCACTTGCGGACAAGGGAACGTAGCTTGTCCGAAGTGAAGTCCATGCCGTGGAAATTTGTCAGACAGTTCTTTCCCTGCACCTCATCGATCCGTAGTTTGATCTTACGGAACGATTGTTCCTCGTCCTTGTTAAGGTCGGCGAGGGATACTTCGATAATGCGGCCCTTGAGAGAGTCGCTTGCGTTTTCTAGTGAAAAATTAGGTGGTGCGTTTGACAGACAGGATCTTGTACGCACTCAAACCCTGTGATCGGTTGACAAGGGTCTTGCCAACATTTCGGACTTCAAATGTGGAGGGTGCTTTGATATCATACCACTCTTGATAATCATGAAGTTAGTCCGACAGGATACAGGCAATGTAGAATACGACTCACCCTTGCGCGAGAAGGGGTCAACGACCTTCTTCTTGATACCCTTCTTACCCTTAGACAGACGTTTGTTCTACACAGTTGAAGAGTTACATATACCCTCCCTAATGCAAGTAAATCGATACATACTTTTCCTACAGCCATATTGAATTCGTGCGCTGGCGGTGGGGAGAAGACCGCTAGTCGTTATGAGCCGGCACTTGGACGAGCTACAGAGTTTAGGTGTTGTCGGTTATAGAATTTGGCTTTGTTGTGCTCCCTGAGATGGTGGCTTAAACCTTATTTCGATAATTGTGCAGTACATTCTCACGCCACATTGCTAATGACCGTAATGTTCACCCGACAGCAGTTTGACGAGGCATGCCGGGAATTCATTCATGCTCATCAATCCATATCCTCTGCATATGAAGCTAGGCTTTCGGGATGGTCTTGGAAAGAACATCATGTACGCCGGTATTATATAGCCTGTTTCTTTTCATAGATCTCGAAATACAGACACTACCAGGCTTCGGTTACATGCACCGGATTGTCACTTTGAACTGGCGTCACCCAGCATCAGCTGATACATTCCTTGAGATTGACGATAGTTTGGACGTCGTTGATGATGGCACAACTGCTTCCCATGACTCTCCTGATTCGTTGACTTGTCATCAGTATGTGGTGTTATCGGCAACTTTCCGTGTGCCAGCATTTTATTTTTCCATCCATGGTTCGAGTACGTCCGACTAAGATATTCCCCACATGAATGTGACACTCAACTTGGTAGCGCAGGCGGTTCTCCATTACAGTTGACTGATATTATGCAAACTTCTCTTCTTCGTGAGGATGTGTGCGAAGGGACAGTCGCTACAACATTCGCTGTATCGCATCCGGCAATGAACTTCCCCCTCCTATCGCAAGGAGAACACCCGACGCTAGGCACACCCTGTTGGTACTTTCACCCATGCGAAACTGCCAGTACAGTTGAGGAGATCCTCAAGGAATCAGAGGAGAACAGTAGGAGACCGCTGAGTTGGATGGAGGCTTGGTTCACAGTGTTGAGCACAGCCGTGGACATGCAGTGATTTCGATAATATCTTTGGATGGTGTTCCCAGGCCCTGGATTTGTATGGAAGGTGGAAGACCCAGTGACGAAAGATTTTGTAGTAGTATACATAGTAAGCTCACATGTGACGAAATCATTCCCGGATCTTACGTGCAAAGGACGTACATACTTATATATGAGAGATGCCAGCCTTGTCTTGTGTTTATCAACCTCGTCGAGCTCAAAGGTCAGATCATTTGACTCAGACATTTCACAAGATATATCGTACCACCTAGTGGAAACCACACGCTTATTCAGTTACCGTCGTACGATCATACTACATACCCTTCTCAAATAAAACCAGTCCATCATGATGCTTGCAGCACGTCTTACGTTCCTATCTAAATCATCCCGCCCTAATATCCCATCTTTGACCCGCAAAATGGTATGTTATCTTTTTTTTCATGATTAACAAGTCATAGAGCTCATATTTTCCCAGTCCTCCCATGAAGCTGTCATCGTTGCTGCGTCACGTACGCCTGTCGGATCCCTATACGGATCACTCAAGACTTTGACCGCACCCCAACTTGGTGCTGTTGCCCTCAAGCATGCTTTCGAGCAATCGAAAGTCGATCCCGCAGTGGTCGAGGAGATTTACTTCGGCAATGTCGTTCAAGCTGGTGTCGGTCAATCACCCGCACGTCAAGTAGCACTTGCTGCCGGCATGAAAACTGCATCTGACGCTACAACCATCAATAAAGTTTGTGCTAGTGGTATGAAGACAATTATGATTGCTGCTCAAAGCATAGAGTGTGGTTACAAGAACGCGGTTGCCGCTGGTGGCATGGAGAGTATGAGCAATGCTCCGTAAGTGATTCAACATTCGATTCCCTGTTTGCTCTTGAAATTGACGTAGCTTGAAGTTTCCTACTTCCCCGGACCAACCCATTGTTCGGCAAATTCGAGACCAAGGACTCTCTTGAGAATGACGGTCTCTGGGATGTCTACAGCAACTTCGCCATGGGTAATTGCGGTGAAATTGCTGCAGAGAAGTACGACATTAGCAGAGTCTCACTTGACGAGCACGCAATCGACTCGTACAAACGTGCTGATCGTGCGTGGAAAGAGGGCGTCTTCAATGCTGAGATAGCACCTGTCACCATCAAGGGCAAGAAGGGCGACACCGTTGTTAAGGAAGATGAGGAGTATAAGAAAGTCATGTTTGAGAAAGTTCCCTCCCTAAAGTCAGCCTTCAAAGCAGGCGGACGGATCACCGCTGCAAACTCTTCAAATCTCAATGATGGGGCCTCTGCCTTGATATTAATGTCTGCAGAGAAAGCAAAGGAGCTTGGCGTGAAACCACTTGCCAAAGTCATTTGTAAGTCCACCTTGGCTTATCACACCGCTATTCCTTATCTCATGTGGCATTTTCCGCAGCATATGCGGATGCGGGTGTTGAGCCCATCGACTTCCCCATGGCTCCTACTGTTGCTCTCCCGGAAGCACTAAAGAGAGCAAACTTGACTGTCGATGACATTGCACGTTTTGAGATTAATGAAGCCTTTTCGGTTGTTGTCCGTATCACTGAAAAGCTCCTGCAAATTGACCCTGCAAAAGTTAATGTTAATGGGCAGGTCTTACGACTTCACGTAGACGCTGCATCTGCTAATGTCACTTGATAGCGGTGCTGTTGCCCTTGGCCATGCGATCGGAAGTTCGGGTTCTCGCATTGTGGTGTCCCTGGTTCACGCCCTGAAGTCTGGGGAATATGGTGCAGCAGGCATTTGCAACGGGGTAAGTAACTTGCAATTTCGTGTGTTATGGCACTCACACGGTAGTATTCTAGGGTGGGGCAGCTTCAGCCATCGTTATTCAGAAACTATAGTCGTGTTGCGTTACTTGTTTCTGTATTATTTTATGAACTTTCGTATCATACACTCATCTCTACTCTATTTTATCTTTAGAAACCGTCAAAGTCTCTACACGGCGTTCGTGAGAAGCCCTTGAATAAATTTGTCTTGCCGGCTGCCGTGAGTCTGTCTTTGTCTTGTCGGGTGACTTATCTCTCGTTTTCCTCGTGGAACATGTTGGCTTGCTTATCTGTTACCTCAATTGCAACACGGCTCATTGAAACTATTGGTTTGTCACTTATCTTGCGGGCACAGCAATAACACCAATCCGTCGCGGATGCATTTCTTTCTGTGAGATGCTTGAGAGGATAAGAAGCTAGTGTGATGTTCGAGCGTCTTGATTACGCGCCAGTGCAATGTCTTCCGAAACTAGTGCAGTGAAGAATCTGGACGAAGTCGAGAAGAGCTCGCAGCTCGAGAACTATGATGACAAGCTCGGGCTAGGTTCACTCGATACTTCTGACGGTGATGCGGCTCTTCAGCTCGTCGGTGCACAGGCAACGGTGCACTTCAGCGAGGAGTACAACCGAAAGCTCAGGCGCAAGCTGGTATCTATTTATTTCTGCACTTTGGCGATTTTGACCTGAACATTGATCTACAGGACCTTGTCATCCCCCCCATTTCAGCGGCTGTCTACTTCTGTCAATATTTGTTCGTCATTTAATGCACACGATAATCTTTTGTGCTTATCCTTGAACAGGGACAAGACCTCACTGAACTATGCGAGGCGAGTGTTGTTTCGCAGCGATGTTGGGTAACATGAATATTGATAATGTCGCAGTATCATGGGCTTCCCGATCGTGAACCAGGCAAGTTATAATATTTATAATATCCAGTACATGCTAATATGACTTTAGAACTACAACTTGGTATCCATGGCCTTCTACCTGGGTAGGATGTTTGATTCTGTGAACTCTTACGAAGTTCAAACTGTTCAACACAGGTTACCTCTTTTGGGAGTTTCCGACCGTCTATATATCGCAGAAACTTCGGTTAGCCAAGTATCTCGGTGAGAGCGAAATCAAGTAGTCATGGCATCAACTGCAAATCAGCTAACCCTTTGAAGGCGGCAACATTGTTGTATGGGGGATATTGCTCATGCTGCATGCCTCAACAGACAATTTCGGAGCCTTCTTTGCTCTCAGATTCCTTCTGGGTACGCCTCTTCATATTTTATAGAAACAAGACACAAACCTGAGATGGCCAGGAATGTGCGAGTCTTGTGTCGCGCCGTGTCTCATTCTCATTATCTCAATGTTTTACAAGAAGGATGAACAGGCACGTGAAAAACTTCGTATAGAGTATAGTACCTTTTGACTGACGGTCCTAAGGCTCAACGTATTGCATGGTTCTACATCATGGTGCGACTGTATTGCATTCAAAAGTAGCATTGCCCCTAACTTTGTTTAGAATGGGCTAACCCAAGTGTTTGGTGGTTTCGTGGCATACGTGAGTAGTATTCAATGCACCAAGGGATGCAACATGAATGATTTACACTCTTCCAGGGTATCTCGTTCTATGCCGGCAATGCTTTACCGCCCTACAAAATCATCTATATACTACTTGGTGGTCTTGCGGTCGTTATTGGCATAATCGTCTTGATCTGGCTACCAGATTCCCCAGTCAATGCTTCCATGCTGACGAAGGAGGAGCGGATTGCTGCTCTTGAACGTGTCCGGAACGATCAAGGAGGTACGGAAAACAAGAAATTCAAGAAGGACCAGGTCATCGAAGCCCTCACGGATCCTCGCACATGGCTTGTTGTTTTATCAACGATATTGAGTAAAACCTTTTACTTGAATCTGCACGAGAAGCGGCTGATGCAGATTTTGTAGCGAGTATCCCTAACGGAGCCTTGAGTAACTGTAAGTCGCATCAACAGAAATTAGCCCAGTGGTAGTTAAGTTCTTGACTACAGTCAGTAACATCATCGTCAAAAGCTTCGGATATACGTGCGTAAACCGTGCTGTCTTTGCTTCTCTCCAATAGCATTTCTCCTAGATCAAAGCAAACCCTGATTCTTTCCACCCCTGGGGGAATTATTGGTTCCGCAATGGTGATTTTCTGTGGATGGTATGCTGATAAGAAGGTAGAGGGCCTAAAATTATCTCAACAGTTAATTTTCTCACCCAACTTTAGAACGAGCGGATGGTCCCCATCGTGTTTGCATTGATTCCTACCATTGTCGGTGCAGGTATGCTGTTCGTAAATTTTAGATGGAATGTCGGTTGAAAGTGGGAAATAGCTATCCTTATTGGCATGAACGGATCCTCTAACAAGGGTGTTCTGCTCTTTGGTTCGTGCAGTTGTCACTATTTGATGTTTTCATGAAATCTGATTTTCGCGGCAGCGACATACATCATCGGTACCTTTGGCAGCGCTCTTTCCACGATCTACGCATACAACGCAAGCAACACCGGTGGCCATACCAAGAAGGTATGTTTGATGTCAGTCATCCTCCTTTATTTCCTCAGTTTATTTGTGCGGTGCTTAGGTGACGATTAACGCAATGACGATGGCCACTTTCAGCATTGGCAATATCATCGGGACTGAGATATTCCAGCCTAAAGATGCGCCAGCTTATATTCCAGGAAAGACCGCGATTATGGTTTTGTTGATCGTGCAGCTGTTCGTCTCGTTTTTACTACGCTGGATCAATATCCGCTTGAACAGAAAGCGAAAAGCTCATCTGGCGGACTTAAAGGCGCAACGGGGTTGGACTGATGACGATGTGCAAAAGGAAAGAGAGCGTCACGCATTTGCTGACCTTACTGATAGACAGAACATTTTCTTCGTATACACATGTTAAGAAGTGCATATATGTGTATCAATGTGTTTCTTAGTATATGGACAAATTCAGATGCTGAACTGCCACCGCCGAATAAGGTGTCGTACGAGCGGTCGTGGTGATGGTAAAGCACACGGCAACACAACATTTACAAAGTGCTCAAGAATACATGCCTTTCAACAGGCTATAAAAACGTCAGTATGTGCACATGGTCGCAGATGAGATAGCACGTACCTCGTACACGCTTCCAATATTCCTTGATGGCATTGGGTGCATCATCGGCGAGCATATCTTCAGGTTCCCATGAAGCGTCATCGGAGCTGTACCCCTCCCAGTAAACTAAAAATTCCCTTTCACCTTCCACTTCTCGGTGTGATTGAATCGAAGACACGACAAACTTCTCGATGAACTCGACTTTCGCTTCCTTCGGGCATTTGATACGGAGCGATTGCCGCGCAGGAAGCGTCCATGCCTTAGGAAGACGCATCTTTGGAAGTGCGCCAGATGAGTGAAAGGGGCGGCGGGGTGGTGTGCCGATCTTCCTCATGTATTTATCGATCTCGCATAAGGTGTGCTCGATATCGCACAGCATAATAGGACGAGCCTTTGGCCCCAAGCCATTAAACTCCAGTTTGAGGCGCGAGAAATGATCGCTCTGCGTGAGTTGCATCCATCGGATTATGTCAATCTCGCATGCGTGAGGAATTTGACCTTTGAAACAGCGTTGAAGGCCGCGACGTGAACCCAGCCCGACCACCACAAAATCGTAGTCTGAGAAGTTCAAAACACTCGAATAGGAGAGGTTCAGCACTAGCTGGTACGCAGTGAAATCTCCCATGCTCTTAAAGGTGCACAGCCATTCAAAGATGTCTGCGACGTACTCGGCCTCTGTGCACCGCATGGGTAATTTTTTCATCAAGACCTCCATGAGAACGAGATGGTTCATGAAGTTTTCCACAAAGCCTAGACTAGGTGCAGGCTTTTGAAAAGCCCCAGTGTATAACGGGACCTTGTCATCGTACAAACGACGCAGGACGCCTTCGTATTCGGCTCGCTCGTAGGTGGACCAAGTGAAAGGTGTGATCGCACCTCGCAGGGTTTCATACGTTTTGATGCTCGTGAAAGTATTGAAAAGCAGAATTCGAAACACAAGTTCGGTGGGATCTTGAGAACCTTTTTCGATGACTTCTGCGACCAAGTATTGGCTCACTCGGTCTAGAACCCGATACGTATTGCAGAACGGATAAGTTTGTAAAATGGGGTCGTCCGTCCACCTGCCAAATACATTGAGTCGGGCGTACCAAAGAGGAATGAGTGGATACATACGGGGCGGGGAGGCCTTTGAGACGCTTCTCAGTGATAGCGTGTCTTTCTGCAGCGAAACGCCAAAACGTATCGAACACAGGTGTCGGCTCGAAAGTCCGGCCTCGTACAGTGACAGTCAAAGGTGGTGACAATATCGCATCTGACTGATAAAGTTTTGAACGTTTGGGACATTTGTCCGTGACATTCGTTTCAGCTATTCGTTTCCGGCTGGAACCCATCTTCAAACGAGGAACGAGTGAACTATAGGTTGGTGTTCATGATCCGGCTCGCCAACTTGAGAATAAAATAAAATAAAAAGACATACCTCTCCAAACAGCGATGATGGCTGGCTGTTTGACGGCTTGAATAGAACTAAGCGGCGTTGAATAGTTCTGTACATAATAAATGCTAGATCCCCGCGTCCTCATCGCGCCTGGGATCATGCGTTTCATTTTCGTTGGACTCCGAGGCTCAGCGAGGCTCCCGCTTAAACGTTAAATGACAACGCCCATTTCGCTACCCTGACTCTTTGTACGTAAGCACTTCTATCAAAGTTATACTAGTTACTGGCATCAGATCTTCGTTCCGAAGGCTCGCGACACCATGGATAAGTCATCAAAAAATGATTTTATCCAAGCATACCTCGACCGTCAGAAAGTCTATGTACATTCATATTCTTCTGAGGCAATCGACCCCCCCTCAAAAATATCCAACGGGAACGGGACACCGACAAGGGCGCGTGATGAAGAAACGAAAAAGCTGAAATTTGGGTTCGACACGCCTATACTCGTTCCCCGTGTGGCTGGGCCCAATGTCGTTAGTACGGACAAGCGCTCGGTCGTAGGGCTTCCCACCAAGGCAACGCAAAAGACCCGAAAGACACAAAAGGCACTTAATGTTGAAACTTCTATAAAGGAAAACAAAGACTCAGTGCGTGCACCGCTCATCACCGCTCGACGTGATTCATCCAAGCGGAAGCGTAAGAAGGCGGAAGTCCCATTTGGTTCCGACGAAGAACGGGAGGCTAGTGAGTTCTCGCTAATATCATGAATATGTCTTCTCTGAACAATTTTGCAAAGGACTGAGCGAGCGTCGAGAACGGAAACGCGTAAAGCGCGATATTGTGAAACCAAATACCAATATTGCAGTGCATGTTAGCCCATCAGCAAGTGAAAGGGAATATAAGAAGGTTGCTCGTAAAAAGGGAAAGAAACATTCGGGTACTGCAGGTCTTGCACTCTTGCACGGATTCTCAGCGACTAATGTCGGTAAAAACCGCCTCACGGTGAGTACTGCCGGTCTGGTCTATCTAATCCCTAGCTTTCAACACGACCTTAGTTAAAACCATTGGCTTCTCTCGGAGTGTTCAACAAGGGGCAATCATCCGCCAAGACGAAGATATACAAAACGAAGGAGCCAGGTAACATTAAAACCTATGTTTCCTGCTCCTCAATCACTGATCATAGTTCAGCCCATAAATTATTTTCAGAAATAGCGTTTCTCAACAAAACTGTGACAAACAAGCAATACGAGTCTCCGGTGGATGAGTCGGTTGTATCTGACTCTTCCTCTCGGCCACCATCTGCTGTGAAGAAGATCAAGATCACGAATCATCGCAAAGACAGGAAATCGACTCAATCCACAAGCAACCATTCTGCGAGTCCGGACCTTCCTAGGGGAAGTACAGCTATATCAGAGCCATGGGATATCGAGCTTCAAAACAAATGCCCTTCTTCAGATGGTTTTTGTCCTCAGCCAGGCAAACCCATAGCCGGAACGCTAGTACTTGATCCCCGTATGGCCAATTGGCACGATCAAGAGCTGCCATCTGAGGGCCAGGTGATACACTCTTCCCTCATAATAACACCCGTGAAGGAAACGTCTCATGACTGTAAACCCGACGAAATCTTGTCATCGGTTTCAGCGTCTGTCATCGCGACCATCTATGATCTCGACGGTGGATCGTCTATTCATCCCTCTCATTCCGCATCTCAGGTTGGACTCAAACGACTTGACCATCTAAACCCTTCTGTCGAGCTTCTGACATCAAAGTATTTTGCCGTGCATGACACGGAGCATGTGTCACCAACATTTGATCAACGACACCCTATAACTAACTCTGGTGGTGTGATATCGGGCTGCAATCCGCGTGACGCACACCCCCTCTCTGTTTCCAACCCGCATGACACGAGCACAACGCGTCGCGCCGCTCCTTTGAATGCTATGGTCGACAGCAGTCCTTTACGTATCCATGGTATCCCCGAGGAGCATTTTCTTCCCTTAGCTGACGACCTCATGCCAACTTATCGAGGTCACTCTATCACACAGTATAGTCGCTCAAACGAGGATGTCATTTCGGCATGGTATGCTCCAGACGCATGTACCATCAACTTCTTTGAAGGGGACTCTGGCCATGATGATGATGATATTCGAGACCAAGACCTGGTATATCTGGAACCTCCGCATCTTGTCGATGAACCCAGCTTCTACTCTCTGGTGCAGGCCTACTCGAGCGACGGACTGCACGATATCGCGGATGAAATGGTCGTACTCGACGAGCCATGTCAAGGTCCTAGGAAACTCATCGAGTATACACAAGAAGTGGATGACTACGAACACTCAGACCTCGTGCTGGAACTATCTTCATTGCATCATGATTCTTTCTCGTCACCCACCCGCTCTCACGCGACAGCCGAGGCATACGACGATGATTCCTGCTCACTGCGCCCGTTCTTGCAAGGTCGTGCGATGCTACTTGGCATCCCCCCGTACGTTCCGTCTTGGCACGATCCGCATGACCATGAACACACGAAATTTGGGAGTGGTTTGTTATCAGCTGAGGTGGATGTTGCAAAACGCTTGAAAGACCATTGGCGGCCGCATAGATTATGATTTGGCAGATAGTTTTTCACATACTCCTTATATAACCTGTCACGAACGCGAAGTGTCACGCGTGACCGCATAAAATAAAACTCCGCCCCTCACGTACAGACGATTAGTGCTGTGAAATACTGTCACTTTTCTTCTCACCCAAAAGAGAGCGTGGTCTTCGTTATCACGTAGCTGATCAAAAGATGGGCTCGAAAGAAAATAGAATGATAGGAAGCGCGTCGGTGAGTCCAGGATTATTCTATCCTTTGGTTTTGCCATTTAGCCCCTCTTCGTCGCGATTCCAGTCTGCACGTGGAATTTTCATCAAACCAGAACCAGAAGAACTGCATGCAGTTCCGTCTTCTGGGTCTACGCGTCACAATTCGAACAAATTGACCCCCACCCCAACTGTCAAGGCCGAACCAATTGAGTCAAAACCTGTTGTGAGAGGCATTAGAATACCCACGAATGCGAAGAATTGACGACGTCGAAAATTTCCAGCTGTCAGATAGGGGCACTACAGCCTCAAACAACATTGCTCTCGACAGTCAACATAACCTTTCTTCAGCTCCTGATGTCAAGAAATTCAAACGGGAACCAGAGCTGCCACACGGACAAATTGTGCACGAGTCAATGCTATATGAGCTCTACGACTCTGCCGACAATATTCCATACACCCCTGAAGCTGCTCTTCAAGCAGGTCTCGGCATGGTAAAGACTCTAAAGGCCGGAATCAACAAACTTGAACTTGGCAGCAAGCTTCGAAAGGATGTCTGGCTGCGTGAAATTGATAAGTACGTAATTAGCCTTGCCTGAAGACAGCGATGACAACTCTGTCACAGTCTCCTTAGTCAAGGTGCTCCTACAACAATGATAGCCGTTTGTGGAGGTGCGTAATTATGAGTCCCAATATGCATGTCCACCGAAGTCTTCTTTAGCGACTGGGGCCGGAAAGTCTTCGATACTAAATGCGATCTTGGACGGTAAGCTAAATTAGTGTTTGTGTCTCTCTTTATACTAAATTCGGTTTAGATAATATTGTCCCAACAAGTGGTATGAGAGGTGAAGCGAGACCCTTCGCTGTTGGGAATCGTGGTTGCTCAACTCACTTGTAGCATGCACAGCTGTGGTCACGGAAATCGCATATCATGCCGCACCTACTATCAATGCGGACGTCTCATTCCTTTCCGAAGCTGAGTGGAGAGCAGAACTCGCTGTTCTACTCGATGATCTTGTGGACGAGGATGGTAATTTGAAACGTGTTACTGACCTACGGAGTGATTCGGGTGTTGCTTGGCACAAGGTACGGACAATCAGAGCTCTTTGGTATGTCGGGGTCTGATTCATTGTCAGGTTCACGCTGTCTATCCATCCATTGCCCAAGAGCAACTCATCCACCTGACGGTTGACCAAATTTTGGCTCGCGATAAAAGTAAATGTTCTCAACGCAGATGCCAGATGATGCTGATGCTTCGCATAGATATTGCTAACGTCTTGGGCACTACGAAGAAAATATTGGCGAAGAATTCGACGATATTCGCCCAGGAGATTGCAAAATATATCGATTCCAAGGACCAGAAACGAGGTGGCAAGAAGGATAAGAACAAAGAGACTAAGAAGAAAGACCACGGCCCAGCTCTATGGCCCCTCATTCGTCAAGTCAGTGTGCGGTGTAACGCCCAGGCTCTTTCCACGGGCGCCATTCTAGTTGATTTGCCTGGTGTTGCCGACGCTAACGCAGCAAGGAATAGTATCGCAAAGGACTACATGAAGAAGTGCAACTGCATCTGGATTCTGGCACCTATCACCCGTGCAGTGGATGACAAGACCGCCAGAGGTATTAGTATCGACTCAGCACCTTTGTCGTGATTTTAATGCTTTTGAATTAGATCTTCTTGGTGAAGCTTTCAAACTGCAACTGATGAGTACGTTATTTATCTTCAAGCCTTGGTGATAGACTAACAATTATTTTCAGTGGGTAAGTTCTTCCCATCCAGCACTCTCAGGTAGCTTACGGTCTACGACGGTTCCTTTTCGTTCATCAGACGGCAAGTGAGTGATCTGTCCTTGACTTCGGTCGCGAGTGTCTTATTGATTTGGTCAGCTATGATGCCCACACGATCACGTTCATTGGTTTGTTGCAGCTCTTTTGTTTGGACTGATTCTCACTTAAACTGTGTGGCACAGCTAGCAAGTGTGATGATATATCTTGTTCTGAGGTTATCCCTGCCTTGGGTATTGAGGACGACCCCGAGCTAGAGGAGATCGAGGGCCGCATTGAGCAATATAAAGAGGAGACTGCTGATTTCAAAAAGAAGAAGACTACCGCGGAGTCTTCGATGAAAGGTAGGCATGCGAATTTCGTCCATGCGACAATGTACTCAGCTAAATTTCACAGCTATCGACAAGCAGCTCAAGGACGTTCGAGCTTTTCTAGCAGAGTATGAGCAACACAAAACGGCACTGGAGAACGGCGAGACATTTACACCACAGTTGACTACAACGGCACACAAGAAGGCCCAGAGCGCGGGCAAGAAGCGAAAGAATACTTGCAGGGGGAAATCTGGGTCACCTAAGCGCCACAAGCATTTTGGGGACGACGACGACGACGATTTTGAGATGGATGATATTGATGATTATCTCAATGACGACATTCATGTGGACGATGACGATGATGAAGATGACGATGAAGAGGAAGAGGGCGACTCGGATGGGGAGGAGGATACACCGGACGAGTCAGAAGAGGATGTCACAGTTGAGGTTCTCCAGGAGAAGATTAACGACGCCAAAGAAGCTATTAAAGTTGAACGCGAACAACTCAACAATGCACGCAAGGCACGCAAGGATGCCGTAGATGCCCTCGGCAACCTTAAAAAGAAGATGACAAAAGCGCAGCGTGACAAGAACGCATTCTGTTCTCTAAAGCGTTCGGAGGTTTGTCTCACTGTTAAGTTCCCCACCACATTTCTCACCCGGCGTCAACCAGTTCTCCCGCGATGTTTTAAAAGAAGATTTTCGCATTGGCTTGAAAGATCTTGACGGTTGGTTGAGTTCTCATCTTTAAAGAATGGGCTAATTCACAAAACACAGACGCCGCTGCCGAGGAGCGAAACCCAGATTCTTTTGATCCGACTCATAATCTACGCAGTGAGCTCCCATCTTGTCCTGAAAATACTCGCTAAAAATATGTTTTACTCAGATTATGATGACATCGATCTTCCTGTGTTCACCTGCTCATCTCGTGACTACGTCCGCATCACGGGACAAGTCAAGGGTGACGGGGACCCGTCATGTTTCTCCAACCTCGAAGATACTGGAATTCCTTCCCTACGGCAATGGTGCCACAAATTGACCATCAGTAGCCGCTCACGCGCTGCAAAGCAGTTTCACACTCACTTGAAGACATTTGCGAACTCAGTGCGGGTTTATGTCGATGGCATTGGTGATGTGACTATTGCAGACCGTGAATCTCTTCGTGAAAAATGGGAGTCGACACCACAGGGTGGGGAGGGGATGTATGGCGATGAAGATGAAGATGAAGACATGCCTCATTGGCATAGTTCGCCTGATCCTATGAGCGTCCATCCCTTCCAACCATATCGAGGTACAATGCCCAGGGCACTCATGGATGCTAGACTCTTCTCGATGAACAATCAGTCATCCCTGAAGGTGGATGCTCGCGGCGAACCCATAGGAGTGACTCCTCGGCTTGTCAAAGTGCGTTGACATGTGATTTCTATACAGCTCATATTTCTTATTCCTCGCAGGAATTCGGTACACATGTTGAAAAAAGCGTCTCGGATTTGCAAGACTTGTTCCGTGATGGTCTTGAAGATAAATGTCGAGTGGGAGCAGCCAATGTAAGTACTACATTATGGTAACTACCCCATCTGATGTTGCGTCGATAGGCTGCTGAGGGTGCGGTTCAACACGTTGACGAGTTTGCCGCGTCCATGCACTGGGCGACTTATCGAGCCAGTGGGTGTCCTAGTTCACATGCGAGTTCTCGCTGACTATACTCAATATTAGCCCTTCGTCGTCACGGGTCCTGGCGTCGAGATCTGAATGTCGAACTTGTCACGCCATTCACTCGAAACATTGCTTCTTCTTGGTCGACACTCTTCGAGTCTGATCTATTCGCCTCACTATCGAATGCCATCACGACATGCATCAATAAGCTAATCACCGATGTAGAGGCCAGCGCAGCGGCAGGACTAAAAGACCACGTACATGCACAAAGCTCTGTTTCGCAAGAGGAGGCGCGTCATGCATTAGTACAAACCATGGAGGTTGTGAAGGAAGCGCTAGGAAAGGAGCAGAAGGAGATATCGCGTTGTCTCGCCCCTCATGTTCAAAATGAACTGACGGATGGCTACAATCTCGCGTTGCAAGAGCGAGGCAGTGGAAGCGTCGCGCGACAAAAGGTTTGTCACAAGGCATCACTTCAAAACCTCTTCTGATTGAATGCAGGCTATATTCCATAACTACGTTGATGGGCATAAGCACGATGCATTCGATGGCGGAGCTGAGGTCCTGATGGGTCGGCTGTCAACTGCGGCTGAGACTATCGGGAAGGTTCTCACGGAGTCCCTTCGAGAACTTGCGGAAAAGGTCAGGCTCTTCGGTTTCATCTCAGCGTGGGCATCGTTTATACTCTATGTAGATTGAAGTGTCGCTTGCCGTCCTCTGGGAGGGCACACAAGACGTCCCTAATCAAATTCGCGCTCGATTGCAAATTATGCAGTCTGTATCCAAGCTGCTCGATCAGTTGGACATGTGGTCAAAGGCAGCGGAGAAGGCGTCTGCTGCATCCTAATCCGGGATTATTGTTTCATTTTCAGGGCATGTCGTCAGCTTCTCATACAAGGAATTTTAGTGCTTTCGTTAACGGTACATTATCAGCTGTTCTGTAATCTTTGTGCTTGTCATGTCTATCGTTGTTTTGACATTTCTGCTGTACATTCTACTAGCTACCTTATGATTGTTGCTTTTATTGTTACTATAGTGCATGTATATGGGCAATTAGCATTCATGAATTCGCGAATTAGACTTGATTGTACACAAGAGCTAGTAATATATAAATCATAGTTCAAACAAGATAAAGTCAGATGACACTGGGTCCTGCCCTTCGGGTACCTAAACTACATTTAGTAAAAACAGCTGCCTGAATTAATAGCGATGGATCATCCGTCCACGACTATCCACTTCTCTTCCATGTTCGTCCACATAGCCACTGTGTTTCCTCGGTCTTCTTTCATCTCTCATACCACCGTAAGAGTTGTGGTGCCCGTGCCCTTGATTTCCGTAGGAATTGTAGTAAGAGTTCGATGAGGGCTCCATTCCAAGGAAATTGCGAAAGCGGTCACCGATTGAGACTGATCGACCTCTGTGATAATCGCCACCACCTGCGTAAGAATGAGCAGGGCGCGAGTGCGAACGGTGTCTGTGTGACGTGGAATGAGAATGAGAGCGATGATGTCCCGAGTTAGGTTGCTAAAAATAGCAACATATAGGTCATTAGCTGTTAGACTGAAACAAAGCACGATTTAGACTTACGATGTATACGGGAGCAGATGTTGCGTATGTGACTGGGTAGGTAGCAGTTGTACTGTATCCATGCCCGTGCCCATGCCCGTGATGACTGTGGCTGTTGGCTCTGGGTCTGCTATGACTGTGCCTGCTCTGACTCCTGCTGCGGTGGTGAGAGTTAGGCACAGACAAGTATTGAGTAGTCTGCGGGGCCTGGACTACAGGGGGGTACCCGTATTGTGGGCTAGATGCGTAGGTATGCCCGGTAGATGCCCGCCTCAGGGGAGTACCGTAGTTGTAACTCCCATGACCGTGTTGCGAGTGTGAAGAAGTGGGGTAGGCAACAGACTGATGGGTACTGTAGGGTGAATGGGAGGACGGAAAGGTGTATTGATTCATCGTCCGGTGATGATTTGCTGGCTATTTGTGAGTATGAGGGGTAGTGGTTATTATTTGCGAGGTGCGATGGTGTGGTAGGGAAGATAAAAAGTGGGCGCGGTGTGACAGTAGATAAGGAGAGGTGCTTGACTGTGGTGCAATGTGGAGATAGAACACGTTGTGATCTTATATGGGAGTGGGAGTGGTTATGACCCGGACTGTCAAACAGTTGCGTCACGGGTGGCTGCGGGAATGCACTGCCCGTTGGAGTCAGGCCCCAAGAATATACTGAGTCAGATTTGTATTATGATAGCACGACAATATAGTAATACGATGGTCCCTGGCCTTGTACAACATCAAACATCATTGCAAGATTACCATCACAAGGGATTTGTCACCTAAAACAAGCAATACTGTGTTGACGTTTCTGTTTATAAATCAGCAAACCTTGTTAAGCGCATCAGTACTCACTCCTTAGTCCACACAGGAAAGGCAAATGCGCAGCCTCATGATATTTCCGTAGTACTATGTCAAGGACCGCCTAGATATACAGGAAGCTGTCGAACTTAAAAGTTAGTCGCATAGCAAAATGTAGAGACACGTCAGTGTTATCACATCACCGTAGCCCTAACTTGTGATTCCGTCGCCCGTTCCAATCGCACGGCGACGCACCGACCGACGCCATTCACTATGTCCTGTGCAAGAATTTCTGTTGAAGAAGTGGCGTACAGTGACGCCTAGTATTTCTTGGGTTTGGGCTGATAAGACCACGTGCGGCTAGCTTCATGATGTCATCGAAATTCCACGCCTCCCTAAGCACACAAGACCTTGTGGTGACGTGTACCAAAGATGAATAGTCGATCAATGGGAAAGATTTTTTTCAGTGACAGTCTGGCGCGTGCTAAAATCCCACCGGAGATGAAGAATAGTAATGATGGACGCTGTCAAAAAAAGGTAAGTCATCAACAAAGTTTCCTTGGGCTGGTGCTTATGATAGTCCAATCAATACGGCCGTGCCGTTGTCGGTCAATGCCGAAGTAAATTCTTCTCATCGAAATGATAGAAGTGATACCATTGTAAGCTCTGGCACTATAGAAATTAGATTTGTTCAACTTACCCAGTCAAACTCCTAGCGTGTCGATACGTCAGGTTTGATCCCCATGTGAGATCGCTCCCCAAAAATTCGGAGCGCAGTTGTCTCAAAATGTCGTGTATAAACACAGGATGCGATATTTGAATAACACTGTACACTCCTATTCCATATCAGCAAAGTCCCCTTCGTCTAGATCATGTGGCTGATAAACTGCCGTTAGTTTGGAGTACGCTAGACAAAGGACGTGATCTACCTCTTTCGGCTCTTCGTCTTCACCATATTGCATAGTAAAATCAATATGACTGACAACTGTCTCAAGTGAGTCCGTCGACGTTAGATCCAGCGGCAAGAACGACACTAAAGGATGGTCCTCGATCTACGCGGCAGTCAGTCTGGAACAAAGCCCCAAGCTGCAACATACTAGCTGTACGATGGCCCGGTTTAGGTCGTGAAATCTGCTGTTGCCGCGTTGCTGATCTCTCCCGTCCCTCGCGGCAACAAGCAACATCGGATCTGGATCAAGATACCGAGCGATATCGCGCTTTCCACGTTTCCCATTTCTTGGCTCAAACGTGTCTGATGATGATCCGGAGACAAGATCCATTTTAGACATGATGTTTATCCAGGGTACTTCAAGATTGACCATCGCGGACATCGCGGACAATACACCGCTGGACTAATTTCAATGATTGGATAAAAGAAACCATGAACTGAGACAGACCTGAAGAATTTATATCGGTCTTCCATGAACTGAGATTCCAAGAGATACACAGCACAAGTCCGTATGCTCATTCGCTGCAAGTTCCGCACAAGTTGCGGGAGGAATGGATGATGTGTGTACAGCTCAATTTGACCTGTAGGCAATGAAAATATGCGCGGTCATATGAGTAGAATCATACCTGGACAATCAATTATTAAGTAGTCGTCGTCAAACCCTCCGAGTTCTTCCTCAAGCCAATCCATATTTTCTAACAAGTACCTTTAAATACGGAATGAGACTGAGCTTGATTTCTTTAAGGAACCATCACGCGTGATCACTCACTCACTCAAAGCAAAACACAAGACCGCCATTAGGACCCATATTCATCTCGCCCATGACGTCGTCCAGCGTCACAAGCTCTCGGATGTCAATGGCAGGTTGATACTCGAAGGCATCGCCGGTTGCAGCAGGATCAAGATTTACGATATGGGCCGTACGTTTTGAGACACGAAGATGGGTAGCAAAAGCAGTCGAAAAAGTAGACTTGCCTGCACCAGCAGGACCGGTGACTAGAACAGCGTAGCGCATAGTAAAAGAGGTACAAGGAACAATTTCAAACTCAGACTCTCCCCCTCTGTCGGAAACCAAGTAACTGCAAGTTCGAGTACTACACATACAACTAATTCTACAACATGGCACGCCCGCCATTATTCCCTGAACAATCCGCAGCTGGCATAGCCGTCGATCCACGCACCCTTGAACGTGTTATACCAGAATCAAAGAGATCAGATGGAACGTACGTCTGCTTGAGCCCAGCATCTTCAAATCATTTATGATTAGATCTCTACTGCATCACCAGTGTGCGCAAGCAGCTTAAGATTAGACCTGGATTCACACCTCAGGAAGATGTCTCTCGATTTCGTGGATCACGCCAGCAGGCGATGGATTCCACGGCCCTTCCAAAGGGCCACATACTAGGCTGGGTTGCGCCCTCTTCTGCTACATCACCGAAAGGCAAGACCGCTACGCCACCTCCAAATAAGAACGCGAAAAAGCGCGCCAATGCTCGAGCTAAGAAAAGCATGGAGAAGGAGGCTATTATTAAAGATAATTGGGATGATGAGGAGGGGGAAGATGAAGATGAAGCGTCAGCTGACGTCAAAGCAACTACCGAGAAGTTGAAGGAGGGAAGCTCGAAGACCAGCACGAACGATGTGGCAACAACGGGATCGCACGCTGAAGACAAGCCAAACCGAGCCTCCGCACCAAATTCAAATTCAAATCCATCATCAACAGATCAGAGCACTGTCGAGCTTTCGGACAAACTTGAGAAGCTACAAGTCAAATGATCATGTTCTTTGATTTGGAATGTCTCTAGAGCTACTTGGGGTACAGGATGTCAGGCTGAAACGAGAGTGGCAGGTAACAAATAATAGGTGTTACGATTATGAGCAGCATAAAATTAGTATCTTTATATGTACAACAATCTATGCGGCTGTTCCGTTCTCTATGTAGATGTTCAAGCTGTAGACGGTATAGATGAATGTGGATGTATGATAGCGACTTATCTTATCTGCACGTCCAGGTGAGTGATCGGATAAGGCCTAGGAGTGATGCGGTAAAGCCTGCGCCTTGGAGCTGTGTGCTATGACACCTGAGACACCGCCTCACCATTTGGAGGTGATCTTTCCTTCAACACAGCCGGGGGCGGCGGCGGTGGCTTCGGTTGTCTGAATGTATACAATTCCATGCCGATGACAATTGATAGAACAAAAGCGCCCAGTGCAGCTATACCGTTGCTAAGAATCGGTGATTTGACGCAAACAAATGAGTAAAACGTACCAACAGCTTGACGCATGTTATTCCATTTTACCTCTTCCATGTTTGCGCGGAGGTCACTGAGCGTTATAATCGCCTTATTCAGGACTTCCTATTTCACAAAATTACCAAATTGTGCAACGGAGATGAATATCATCCGAACCTCAATTGCGATTGTCTGTTGTTTCAGCTGTGCCTTTGACTCATTCTTGCGAGTGTCAAGCTCCATTTGTATGCTAGTAATCCTATGAGAAATACAATCGTCTGATTCGACGAATATGACTCACTCATGTTTCAAGGTACCAAGGTCTTCTTTCATCTTGACATCCAAACGATCGACTTCTCGGCGCAACGCAGCTGTGGCAGAGCGTATTGTCGCGCTTTCATTACGAGACCTTGCGGTTTGCTCCGCGCGAAGCTCAGAAAGCGCTGCACGGAATAAATATGCTTGCTGTTCAGCATTTAAGTCAGTAAGCATGACAATTTCTGGACGGGTTCGGCGCACATTATCCAAATCTTTAACCGTGAGGCCTTCCCGCCTTACGCGACCTATTCTGTCCACGAGCAAAGCACGCGTAGCCCTCATCAGACTTCGCGCTGTGGGCGTGGGGAAGGACTTCTCGAGCGCGGCTACGAAGGCATGCGTGTGGAATGGAGGGACTGCATATGACTGTTGAGGATTTGGTTGGTAAGCGCATGCAGGTGGACCTGAAAGGGTCGTAGGAAGAGCCAAAGCGTCCTCGGGTGGAGGCGAAGATGACGGTGGGGCAGGATTGAGGTCGGAATACCCGTGTCCAGATCTTGGGTCTTTCGGATGAGCAAAGGATATCGAGCCCGGGCCAGATGCTGAAATTGACTGTGACGACGAATCTACAGGGCTAGTGATAGGTTGCCCGGTCTGAGAGCTATAGTGCCTCTGTAATATAGTGGTACAGGAAGTTCTATTGAGCTCTTGTATTGAGAGTGGTAGCGACCGGTAACGGTATATTCGGGGGATGACCTTTAGCATCCTTGCATTTGGTTGATGGAAAGCCGTAGATTTATATAAGTTAGTTATGGGTGTTCAGAACAAAGTATAGAGAGCGAAGACGTTACCGTCACGTGTCACCGCGGGAGACCTACACACTTCGAGTTGAACTTGAGGCGGTCTCTCAGGCTGCTTTCCCGAACTTGAAGGTATAGAGCCAGTCACAAAGGTTGTTCCTCTCCACAGAGTCCCCTTGTTTCATATTCTGAACTCGAGTTTACCTATACGAACCGCTATAGTGAAGACTTCTCTAGTGACTAGTCTGCCTTGGTTCAACTGGGGTCCTTCCAGGAGAGCTCGTACGATTCTTGCAAACACTCCATCTTTGGGTTCCGAACTGTACGTTTGGTCGGGTCTGCTCGGCGACAGCCTCATCCGCGACCGCTGCCTTCAATTTTCATCAAATGGTGGGTATCAAGGCTTGGAATAGAACTAGATGGAATCACCGACTTACGGAGGGCAAGGCGCCGTGTTCTTGTCTTTTCTTTGAGCCAGTTGGACCTGGTCTCCTGTATCTCGACACGATCACTCAGGAGAAGTTACTTGTGACCGATATGACCATGAAGGCAAACTAGGTGATACTGCTGTCCTTACAAGTGACGAGAAAGTGGACAGCACCGTGCTTTTGTCGAGCATCAACTTAAACAGAGCATCGAATGACTTGGTTTCGAGTGGTTATCTACCTCGGGCTTGTGTTACTTGAGCATTTCAATTCGTGTTCGGATGACCCATAACGGTTGGAAGTAAGTACGATGTTAATGTTAATGGAGAATTTTTTAACTGAGCCAGGGCGACGACGAAAGACTAAATTTGGTTCAAATGCGCAAATACTGTACAGGGAGAATTGACGAGCGAGACCGGTTCAAGAGTACTCTAAGGGATAGCTATTCCAGCTTTTACAGTTTCTCTCTCCAGAAGCCGATCGAGCCAAGCCTTGAAACAAACGATTTAGTATATTCCACCACCAAATGATAATGATTGTACTACCTTCAGGTTCGGGAAAGCATCTAAGGTCTCGACACCTGCATGCTTGTGAAACCTCACCCTATTTCGCAAATCATTATCAAAGCAAGATACTCGTTCGGATAAAAATGCGAACCATGGCATGACGTTCACATCAGCGACACTGAGCTTCCCAGCTCCTGGACCCACCAGGTAGTCACGGCCTTGAAGACCGATATCGAGCACACCATAAAGACGAACGACCTCATCCCCATAGCCTGACGCACGACGTTAGAACTATAGAGACTAAATGAGGTCAAACAAGTACACACGTTTCTTGCCGTAAGGCACATCTTCAGGAGCATAGTGTCGGAAGTGGTGCGCTGTAACATTCGGCTGTTATGCGAGAACACTATATGACTGACCACAACTTACATTGACCTTGCATAGGACCGACCCCTCCGTGCTGGTTTGTACGGTTGTGAGCGTGCATCTCCAGCTACATCACCTAGAGAATCTAAACACGCACAGCAAAGAAGATCCATTGCAACATCTGGCTCTCCTCATCGCTGCCGCTCTCAAACTTGAACTTCCCTTCCTTGTCGTACTTTTGCACGAGGTACAACAAAATCGCTGCACTCTCGAAGACGGGGAATCCATTCGGGTGGGCAACAGTGGTATTGGAGCGGTCAATGAGAACAGGGATGCGTCCGTTTGGGTTCATTGCGATGAACCATGGCTCTTTTTGGACATTCGCGGTCAGGTTGATCTTCTCGACACTGAAGGCCTATGAATAACGGCCGGAGGACATGACGGAAGACCTACTCGTAGTCAATGTTCCCGTAGGCCGCCTTGAGCTCTTCGAGCATGATAGACACTTTGTGGCCATTGGGGGTAGGTGCAGTGTAGAGAACTAGAGGCTTCGACATATCGAATTCAAGTTACTTGGAAGGAGTCTAGTGGAGGGAAGAATCACTGTGTATTTAACTCAAACTACCTTACATTAAATAGTGATTCGTCACGCGTCATGTTCAGCTGGCATGCATCAGGTCCAAAATTAACCACTTGCGCGATTAGGCTCGCTAAGCAACGGGCTTACGAATATGCTTCGATGAATTTCTAATATGCTTAGAAAGACAGCTAGCGAATGTATAAGCAGCATGGCTCGTAGTAGTGAATGCTTTCTTTGATTCCATCGGAAAGACGGTGGCTCAGTGCTACGACGACAGGTGTGCACTGTGATCGACACAACTCCTATTGACCCCCAGTGGATACACTAGGGAAATTATTCGTTGAGGGGGATATAATGATAGGGAAGAAGATACGCACTCGGAACGAGGTTCTAGACAATGATTCGCGAGTATCCGAGTCGCCATCGTGATATAACTTGGAAGCCATCCATCACATCACGATTCTGCAGGAGGTGCAGGAATCTTCTGCTGTCTCAGCTTCTCAGCATCCATTCCCACCGTGTTACCTCGAAACCGAGTCCTCATATCCAACTTTTGCATATCAGAGCATGTTCATGTGTTTAGTAGTCACTTACCATATTGCGTTTGCATTCGAAAGTGGACTTCCTGAGTAGCTGACATTGCTCCGGCAATTCATTACTATGTTGCTTGAGACACTCCGAAGGAAGATGTCCTTGCTTTTGGACACAGTCGGAATTGAGAAGGCATTCCTTGAGTGCTTTGAGGATAGCGTCACAGGAGGAGGACATGGCCGATGCTAATAGAGTCCGTTGGCGCACTCGAAGTTAATTTCCGCTATAGACCTAAACCCGACTTGCTGTCGTGCAGCGTCTAAGTGTTGTGATAAGAGCTCAGGTCAGGTTGGATGACTAGATGGTTCAGGAGAGCAGGTTGCAATCATGCGTAAACTTCTCATGCTCTCTTGATGCCTATACCACCATCACTCCGTGCGCTTTTAAGAACAATTCCGACACTAGCGCCTGTATCTAATCGCGCAGTTCTTTCTGTTTCCGGTTCACAAGCAACTGAGTTCCTCAATGGGCTACTAGCGTGTAGTGTGCAGGGCAAGCAGACATATGGGGCGTTCTTACACGCTCAGGTGCGACCCAGCTTCGAGTATCTGGCAGTGTGTAATGTAACCATGCAGTTTCTGGTCGTAGGGACGCGTCTTGTATGACGCCTTCCTATATAACTCCCCGACGCCATCACTTTCAATTACTGGGCCGACATATCTCATAGAATATGACCCCACTCCATCCGAGGCACCTACCCTCATGAGCCTTCTCAAACGCTACCTCCTTCGCTCAAAGGTGCGCATACGGGACGTGTCGGAGGAGTGGGATGTTTGGGCCGCATGGGGGTCAGAAAGAGCAAAAGAAACCAGGGAGTGGAATTGGGCACGGAGCGGCGCTGTCGAGCCAGTCTGGCGGACTAACGAATGGCCATGGGGAACTGAGAATGGTACCATACACGATCAACGTGCTCCAGGGATGGGCAAACGGATGCTCGTTCGCAAAGGCGAAATACGTGAGCTTGTCTTCGGGGTGTTTCTTGCATTGAGCTGGAATTGATATTGTGCAGCTGCCGATGCGTCTACACATGAATTGGCTGGTAAGGATGCATATTTGCTCCATCGCATCATGCACGGTGTTCCCGAGGGTAGCGTGGATATTCAACCCATGCATGCATTTCCTATTGAATCCAACTTAGACGTGATGGGTGGACGTATGTTCTTTTTTTGTTTCATCTGATACTTATACTGACACGCGCAGTGGATTTCCGGAAGGGATGTTATGTCGGTCAAGAGTTGACAGTGCGCACATATCACACGGGCGCAGTTCGGAAACGTATACTCCCAATTCACATTTCCTCTCCGACGTCATTGCCACCATACATGTCGATTAAACCGTCCCTTCCATCGACTACAGACAGTGCCGCGGTTAAAACACCCCGCTTGCGCGGGTCATCCACGCTCCTTTCCACGATAGCTGCTCCAGGTATGGGATCAAGCGTTGGCTTGGCCTTGGTGCGACTAGAACATTTGCGTCCTGATATAGCGTTGGTTGCTGAGGAAAAGGGGGAACAGTCGTGGAAGGTGGAGCCTTTGTGGGCAGATTGGTGGCCCGAGCAGCCTCCTGACGAGGCACATGATCTGAACAGCCTAGTATAATTAGGATCATAGATTGGATTCTTTGTATCATCTCGGACTAGACACATCACTCTTGAAGGATGATAGACGTCAAATCACGTCGACTCTGCGATAACCTGTGCGTAGACATAATCTCCGTCGTGGCTCGCTGAAACATGCAATTTATTCGCTGGTCCGACATCATTGCGTACGGGATGGTAAACAAGTGTTGGTTTTACGCCAGTGGTTCCATTGAATGACAAGTATGTCACCTCCTTCCAGGTAGGGCGGATGGGATACAACGCTTTGTACGCAGCTTCTTTCACCGCCCATCTAGACGCCATGACAGGTTGCATGAATGCCTAGCAAGATGTAAGACTTACCGCACACCCAAAAACTGTGCAATCCCTTTGGTCTCATCTTTTCCATGCTGTTCTACGAGCAACTGGAATGTTCGTAATTCCTGGGAGCTTAAAATTCTCGTAGCAAATGCTTCGGATCCCCTTCGACTCAATAGACTGATGAGACGAGGAAGGTGCAAAATATCGACACCGATGCCGAGGATTGGCATGTGAATGGGTTTTAAATGAAGTTTTTAGAGATATGCGATATGGAAGGTGTGTCGGTTAAGCAACTGGGCAGATATAATAGACTCGGGAGATGTACAGCCGGTTCCTTCTTGTGAGCAAACTGTACCAGACTGGTTTGTAATTGCTGTCGTGCAACACTCATGTATGCCATGCGCATGAAGAAGACATAGATGAATGTGACAAAGTGAGCAAGTATGCCGGACCCAAATGTGTGACTTGACTTCAACCTCGAGCCTTGTACCGTCCGTGTCACTCAGAGTCAACGATCACCAAACGTTAAGGACAGTCGACTCAACGTAACTGCAGAACGCGTATCAACACTAGCGCAGTCCGAGATCAGTGTATGACCATTCTGCGCATTCTGAAAAATATTCACTAACTCGTGTTTTAGACTTTGTAGCCTGCGATCTGTGGCGATGTCCAAGCCATCCATCAGCACGGCATATATTTCAGCATCTACCAATCGCTTCAACCATGTTGCAGATGCCTCCACCTCTTCCCTGATTGCATATGGATCAGGTACATTAATCGCGTTGTGGAACACTCAGGTGAGTATATTGCCATCGCTTTCATAACGCGCCTAACATCTCATCGGAGGACCCTGATGGCGGAGGCGTCCTCCAGACGCTGCCTGGTCACGATGGCTTAGTGACCTGTGTTCGTTTTGTGGCGTCCGACGCATTTGCTAGTACGGACGACAAGGGGACCATTCGCTACTGGAGATTATTTGGGACAGAGGTATGTTAATCCGCCTTGTGTGCAAACGTCCCCACAATGTTCATAGTGGAGGACTACCGCGATTGTGCGAGCACACCAACAAGCCATCTCTGTACTCCGCGAATTCGACAAATTCTTACTTACTGGAAGTTCAGACTCTTCCATCAAAATATGGGAGGTGCAACGTGGTGACGTTGATGGTAAATTTCGTATTCATTTGCCTAGTGAATCAGGCTAATTGTAACAGACGAGGTGAAGGAGTTTCAAACCATCTCGCTTCAAGGATGGTATCCTTTATCAATAGCGATCGCATCTCTACCATCGTCTGAAGGTGAGAGACTCAAATATCTCGACGACGAGGCACTTACCTTGCCGAAGCGATAATACTTGCCATTGGCGGAACCGATCGTAAAGTGCATATCTGGACACGTTCTGACGGACCAGTGGGTTTCACATATTTCAGCTAGGTATCAAGTGCTCATCCCTTTCTTGAAGTTTATTCGTTCAGTCACCCTATCAGGACATGAAGACTGGATACGTGCGCTGGCGTTCCGAGCTCCATCCACGCCAAATGATCCCATCGTTCTCGCTTCAGGCTCACAGGATGGAACCATCCGACTTTGGAATGTGGAGTCCTTCACTAAGATGCAGGCCCAGTCACAAATTCATACAAACCAATCGGGAGACGATCTCAGTGACGATCTCCTGGACGCATTTGAGGCTTCATTAGGAGACTTGGGTGCAGACGCAGAGGAGGGTGGCAGACAAATTTCACTTAAACGGCATATTCTTACTGTCAAATCGAATTCCAGGTGCGTTGAATTTGTAGTGAAAATTGTTGGATCGAGTTTATGACCGGGTTTATGATGGGCAGGACGCAACAATACTCTGTCACATTCGATGCTCTCCTAATCGGCCACGAGGCAGGAGTTACGTCGCTTTCTTGGTCTCCTTCGAATGCGTCATTGCTCTCTACATCAACAGACTCCTCTCTCATCATATGGGCTCCTAGCTCGATCGTCTCAACTGCATATTCATCGTCAACCTCGTCCATTTGGATTAATATACAACGCTTCGGTGATGTGGGAGGTCAGCGTCTCGGTGGCTTTACTGGAGGGCTTTGGTCAAATGATGGTGCCGAAGCCATGGCATGGGGTTGGAGTGGAGGCTGGCGACGGTGGCGCCGCATTAAAAGTGATAGTCACGGAGGAACAGCTGGCGAGGAATGGGAAGAGGTTGGTGCGATCAGCGGACACAGTGGCGCAATAAAGGGCCTCGATTGGAGCCCCAAAGGAGACTATCTGGTATCTGTGGGGTAAGGGTCGTTTACTATCAACGCTGTATTCTAGATACTAACTGCACACCTTTAGTCTGGACCAGACGACGCGCATTCATGGCGCTATTACATCCTCTACCTCCGAACAGAGCATTTGGCATGAGCTGTCACGCCCTCAGGTACATGGCTATGACTTAATGGGCGTAGCATGGCTCGGCCCGTGGACCTTTGCAAGCGTTGCCGATGAGAAGGTCGCACGAGTATTCGAAGCTCCACGGAATTTCGTCGAGGAAGTCCGAGTACTTGGAGTAAAGGATCTGGCCCAGAGCGAGGTAAGGACCACTCCTTGTTATATTTCAGGGCTTCTGAGAAAACAAAGGGGGATAGACCTGCTACGGCTAGTGTGCCTCCTCTCGGACTCTCGAACAAGGCTGTTAGTGATGGTGTGTCATATGATATGCGTGATATCTGCTGTTTGACAGACTGTCTTCTATTCAAGCACCTTCAGAATTGGATATTAACAGACCTTGTAGGCGTCCTTTTGAAGGAGAGCTAGCTTCCATCACCCTCTGGCCTGAAGTCGAAAAAGTTTTTGGGCATGGGTATGAGGTCAGCCAATCTGTGATTCTTGTGTGAAATGCGATTAATGCAATTCCATCGACCCAGTCGATCACAATCTCAGCTTCTAATTCTCTCGACCTTCTTGCAACTGCCTGTCGTGCAACTTCCCCGCAGCATGCCGTTATTCGCGTGTACACCACAGCCGGCTACCAGCCTTTCGGTGTCCCTCTCGAAGGCCATAGCCTGACAGTTACCCGTATAGCATTCAGCCCACCAAACGATAGATACGTCCTCACCGTAAGTCGGGATCGAACGTGGAGGCTATTTGAGAAGAAAGAAAATGGTACGAGGCTATATGCCTTCATGTAACAAAATGACGATTGACCATCCTGCTGCTTACTAGGTTATATGCCCATCGCTGCAGATAAATCGCACGGAAGAATCATCTGGGATTGCGCATGGAGCTGTGAAGGGGACGTTTTTGCCACCGCGTCTCGTGATAAGACTGTAAGTGTTTCTGATTTCGGAGAAAGATTCTTGATCGACCATCCACCAGGTAAAGATATGGAAGCAAGACTCAGACTCTTCTCGATGGGGAGCAATTACGACAATGAAATTCGAGGAAGCAGCGACCGCTGTCGCATTTTGTTCTGCCGGTGCCGATGCGCCAGAGTAAGTAAAACCCTTCTGTATCTCGTCTCAATCACAACTCTCTCCAGACGCTGGCTTGCGGTTGGTTTAGAGACAGGAGAGATAAAAGTCTATTCAAGCTTGATGTCCACACCTGATCAGTGGACCTTAGTCTTGATAATTAACTCAAAGTAAGTCTTTATCGTAACTTGCAAGAGATTCGCTCATGAGTTCAAAGTTTGGCACACGTTGATCAAATCAATCGTTTGGCGTGGAGAGCAACTGACAATCCATCGAGGAAGCAGCTGGCGTCTTGCAGCGATGATGGTACACTGAAAGTACTGATTGTCCAGTTTGAAGTAGACTAAAGTACGTTGGTAGACACACTAAACTCCACAGTAACAAAATGACATAAAGAGAATTGACATAAAACACAGTAAGCCGATTCACGAGGCAAACGTAGTGAAGACAGGAAGGAAAGACTGCTATACAGTGGTCAGTGTCGAGAAGACTGGATACCAAGTAGTGGTGGAAACAGTGTCAGTACGGAAACATCTGAGTTGATATCGCTAAAGGGGTGCCAAATATATGGGTATAAAACAGATTTGTGCCATGGCTGGGCACCTGCCTGGGTAAGTGATACGTTAGCAAGTATAAGGACACATCGGAAAGTGACTGAAGCAAGGCCCGAGAAAATAGAGATACATGAACGCCAAGTGCGTGTTTAGATGACATCGCGAAGGCTCAGTGGGACTTCAGGCTGTGGAAAGTAAGTCAGATACAGTTTGTGGTGTACGATTTCAACAGGAAAACGCACGCATTTAATTCTGGATTGGAAGAAAATCGTCAATCGTCAGCACTAGGCTTTTTTTTGAAAAAAAGTGCGTACTTGTAAAAACATTCAATAGAGCGAAGCATTTCAACATCACCCCCAGTCGCAGTGACAAAGTTCACTACAACACCAGCTCGTGCATAATTGGAAGCAATGGCTGGAGCAACGCTGTAATAGAGATGAAATAGAAATGAGCGCGTGTTTGACACAGGCAATGGGTTGGCCTACCGATGCGCGTACTCCTCTACAGCTTTAGGAAGGTCTAACAAAAAAGTTGGAACATCAATTCGGACCACAGCATGGTCAGTTACTTACCATAGTTGATGATCAGAGGGACGTGAGACACTTCTGGGGTCTTCACCTGCACATCATTCACAACCAACACTTTCGTCACAGGCTCTCTCATCATGACTGAAGCTGAACTTTTGAACTTGTTCAGCGCTGCCAACTTTGTGCCTGCGTTCATGTCACCGTGCTAGAAGAAAACCGTTTAAGCATCGAGAGAGAGAGAGAATGCTTCTGGTACTAACAAGAGGTACAGCTTCAAGCCCGCGGCTGGCAAGCTTGTGGACAACTGAATCCAAAGATGTCATGCCACCAACATGCACAATCGCCTGGCTAACCTCGACGTCATCAAATATATCTGCCAACGCGTCAAGTTTCCACTCGCGAGCTTGAGCACTTTCAGCACTAGACGCCCCGCGGCCCGAACCAATGATGCCGTGTCCACCACCCGGTGCAGCAGGATTAGTCGTGTCTGTTCGAACACCAGCGGTGAAAGCAAGATAAAGGTAAAATTGCCTAAGACCACGAGACCCTTGAGCGGACTCGGTGCTGGTCACATTTCCATCACGGCGGACTAGAACGCGCACAGGCTCCTTGAGTTGGATAGCCGTAGCTAGATTGAGCACATCCTGCGGCACAGTATTGGAAAACAGTGCAGTCTGTCGTTCAATAATGTTCGACGAGCCGGTAGTATGCTCATTCGAAGGGGGCGGAGAAATTGCAGAGAACCTGCGTCCTGTGTTAGAAGTCGACAAGGCGGGGTGGCTGTTTGCATCAAAGGAATTGAATGATTGTTGAGGTTGGGCAGAGGCAGAATTTGGCGTGACATTTCCAACAGGTCGAGACCTTGGCGGAGGAAGAAGCTTTACTATGTTGAAGACAAACTCGTGTAAATTGCGGGCAATCAGCTGATCAACCTCATCAAGAACAAGGAAGCGGACTTCAGATCCGACGAGACCTCCAGAGGCAGTGAAAAGGGCATGTAGCTTCTGTGGAGTCCCACAAATGATGTGGGGCATGTTCTGCTGCAGAAGGCGTAGCTCCTGGCTGAGGTCACTAGGCGAAGTGGATGTGCCAACGCCTAGCGCAGATCTAATGCCAATCGGACCCCCGAGGTCACGAATCATACGCTGAGCCTGGGTAGCTTGGTCGACCGTGGTAGATATCATGATTACTAGAGGTCCCCTGGTAAGGGGGCGTCCAGCGGTATTTATCACAGCTACCTGAATAGCAGGTATCACATATGCCGCAATCCGCTCTTGAGTGGGTGGAGCTTGCGCAATGATGTCTGCACCTCGCAGAAGAAATGGAAGTGCGCGTTGCTGAATTTTGTTAGGAGGGCCAACGCTACGAACATCGTGTTTAACAGAAGAACTGATTCCGATGGATTACCACTAACCCAAATTTGCTGAGAGAACGAAGTAAATCTGGTGCAAGATTCAACTGTTCCCACTTGGAAACCATGGGACCGCTGTCACGACCTGAGCTACCAGATAGCTCATTGCCCTGTGCATCAATCATCTAGCAATCAAACGGGTCAGTTGATTTGGTGTCGCTAGGGAGACTGAACTACGCACGCCTACAGATTCACGCCGTATTATGCCCCCAGTTACAGAACGACGTTTATCCCGAGGAGGTTCGAGTCGTCCCAAATTGCCGTGAGTCTCGGTCCGCATGGGAAGATCAAGCGTCCCTGCAGACCAAGTGCGCATTGGGGGATTAGGTGCGCGTGGTGACGGTCGCATATCTGGTCTGTTCGGTATACCATGACCAAGGGCAGCAGGGTTAGACCCCATGCCATGGGGAAAGGCTTGGTTCGAGGCCATGTCCTGCATCTGTGGGGTAGATCGTCCCATCTGAGCAGGAAGAAGGCCTGTGGTAGCATTTTGAATATGCTGCTGTGTTTGAAGAGCCAGCAATTGCCCAACGGATGTGGTCAACGTGTTCAGGCGTTGAGAGATCTGTGTAATATCATCCGCAGGAGGTGATTGATTTGGTGCAATGTTTGCACTAAATGAAGCCCGCGCGATATTGACTGCGGGTGTCGACATGCCAGAAGCAGGTGCGAAAGGATCCTTGAATTCAGGCTGAGCGCTATTGAAAGAGGTGGCATTGCTAAGGGTCCTCTCAATGAGAATGTTGACTTTGCGATGTATGTCGCTGATGTCGCGCTGGATTTCGCGCGTGTTATACTCGCAACGCTGAAGCCGGTCTAATAGGTCACGTATGATTGGAGAAGCTTTGAGTTGTGCCTCCAGATTATGATGAAAATCGGTACTGGAGGCAAGTTGACTGCCGGAGTCCAAAGATGAGACCGGAGACGATGAGGGGAATGGTCCACTGATGTTGAATGATGAAGAGCGTAATGAGTTGTTCATGATGTTGACCGGAGGTGTTACATTGCGATTCCGAGATTGTTGCACAAGAGCCGAGATAAATGGAGACGAATCGCCCAGGGTGTACATGCCTTCGTCATGGGTATTTGGATTGGGGGTATCATCTGCTTCTGGTAGAGACTCTAAGCTGCCAACCTTACTCATGTCTCGCGCACGAAACATATGCTGCCTCTCAGATTCAACCTGATGGAGATATGGAGGCCTATCCCCGTGTGGGGGCAAAAGCTGGAAGCGGGCGTCTGGGAGACTATCGGGCGCTCCAGTGTGTTCCAGTAATCGGGGTGGACTTGGGGACGACTTCAAAGACCTGCGATCAGCGGAACAGGCTGATTGAGAGGACACAGACGCTCCATCCTGCTCCCGAAGTGTGGGAACCCCAAATACGAACCCAGTGGCCCCATCCTCTTCATTGTTTCGCATATTGCCAGGGAAGAAGGGCGTCGAAGTGGGATTCAGAGTTGCGCCTCTCGCCATGGCAGTGACTAGCTCCAACGAACGGTGAACAAACGAAGGGCAGCACTTAGAGCATAATAAGGCTTTCAGTTTGGCACTAGAAGCATTAAGTTAATCTCACCTTAGGATCTGAAGAAATGACCTTTCAAACCGATTCCATACAGGCAGTGTAAATGAGAATGTCAAGAAAAATACCTGCGACTGGCCTGTTGACGCAGTAGCAGGTACTCGATTGAAGGCACAGAGGCGTTGCCAAAGGCCCAAAGCTTTATAAAGCTCACAAATTTAAATCCGGCCGAAGGCGTGGTAATTGAAGCTTAAGCTTGTTCATTTACTAGTACTATGCAATGTGTCAATGCTTCCAGAAGCCTTACATTCAGGGCATCTCATCGCCAGCCATAGTACACGTTGTGTATGGACATGTTGGGTATACGGCATAAATAAAGAATGGGGACATTATTGAAACAAAGGTACAAGGGAGAGTCAAAAGAGGGGCAAAGGGAAAGAAAAACCAAAGATCTTCCCGCGCGGGTGTTTATCTCCGCGAGTTTCTAATAAAATGGTGGGTTGGAGGTCCAGAGCCCTATGTAGGTCAACGGTCAAATCAGCGATGAACACATAAGTCAACGACGGTTGTCATACCTCATTGCGCTTTGTCGAGCACGCCTCGCATCAGTGAAGCCATTGCGAGCTCGGTATGCTTCAAGACGCTGCTGCACTTTTTCTATCACTTCTGGGAGATCAGCGGGGCTGCGAGTGACCTAAATTACAGTTTTGAGTTGCATTCTGAAATTAAGATTCAAGTGACATACCACAAGCTCCGTGGATTCATCACCTATTTGAAGACGAGACCCATTGAGATTCAAAGCTTTATTGGCAGCTGATGCATCGATCAACGTGATCATGGCGTACTGCCTAACAGAATGTTGGGCAATATAGGCTGGATCCGGGCGACCAGTCGTCATTGCCAGACCACCGCTGCAGCGAATCTCGACAGAGAGAATTTCGCCACAGCGACTGAAGTACTCTTCAATACTGTCTTCGTCGACTGTTTTAGGAAGCTTGCATCGAGGTCAGGTTCCATATCGTAATAGTTTTCACGGTGCCTTACATTGCCAACAAACACATGCATAGGATCACGTCGTCGCTGTTTGACATGCCTCTTGATAGCATGAGAAACACGTTGGTTCTTTTTTTGAGCTCGTGCAGGATTGGTACGCGTCGGTTTGGCGTCATTTTTCCGCGAGCTCGTTACTTTTTTTGACTACGGCAGAAACTTGAGTGACACGGTTAGGAGGAAATCACGATACGTCACTAACCTTGGGGATAGATTTGGCTTCCGAGTTGTGAGTAGGAGAGTCATCAGAGTTTATGCTATGGCAGTGGTAAACCATGATGATAAGTTAATCGTGAATGAACCTAGTAGTAGGGTCTCGAAGTTTGTGAGTTGAGCTGGCGGATAAATATCAGATTGAGCAGCCTTTTAAAATATCGAGCAGTGGAAGAGAGTCTAAACAAGTTAATTTCCACAGCATTATGGACGGGGGCTTGTGTCAGTGGCTTGAATCAATGTACAATGAGATCTGTAGAGAACTTGAACTTGTGGATGAATTGTAAAATAATAATAGTGGATTGATTGATCGTCCAAAAAAGGAAATCGGATTTGATGTCACAATTTGTGAACGCTTCGGAGGCGAACGTTTGCTTGTACCCTAATATTCAATGGTTGCACATCATACACACGTCTATCGAAAGGTAGTCCGAGAGATAGCCAAAGCGGTACATTGCCAGTCTTTTCATTTGTGTTGCTTGTATTGACTTTCAGTGACCTTCAGACTGTCAAACCTCGGCTAGCTCGGAACAAAGACATTGCTTCAAACTTCCGAGCCCTGTTCGCACAGAGTGCACGACCCGAGGATACGCAACATTTTCATCACGATATGCAGAATGCCTTGACTTTCTTGCGATCTCAGCGAGAATATAAGGCGAGCATTCTGGTTTCACGCAAGGTATTACACATCAACTGACTTATGCTAGGCTTTGTTGGAGAGATATAACCCATTAATTGACCTAACAGCGGAGGAACGTATCGAAGCGACCGCACGACGAGTTGGACTGAATATGCCCAAGACCCATGTACCTGATTCCCGGGACACGTAGTGACAGAGTTACTAGATGCATTCGAATGTAACCGGTCAATCTCTGTTTACCAAGAGTAGTGACTCGATAAAAGGATGTCAGGCGTAGTATATCATGATACCAGGTCATTTTAGATGTCTATACCATGGCGCGCAGCGAGACTAACTTAAAAGTTGTATCTAATATACTATTGATTACCCGATCGGATCCCGGACTCATCATGCAACTGACTCGGTCTGGACCGTCTGGGTTTCGACAATCCTACTAATGAATGTTTTGAAAAGGTACCTCAACTTTTTGCGGAAAAGGTTTTCGCAACCACAAGGCACGATGGCGGCGGTGACACAGGTGTTCGCATGCGATTCTACATCCATCGTCTTTTCTTTAGACGACCAGGTAGCGGTCAGCTCACCTGAAACCCTCACAGCCTTGCATACCGCAGCATCCTGCCTCAAAGATCTCTCCCCAGTCGCCTTTCCTACTGAAACCGTTTATGGGCTGGGTGCTATTGCTCTAAACGCGACAGCAGCCCTTAAGATATTCTCCACAAAAGGCCGGCCAGCTGACAATCCTCTCATCGTACATGTGTCCTCGCGGCGTATGCTACAAACCTTGCTTCCACAAAATTATACGCTCTCGCCTTCTTACGAGTTGCTCATAGAGCATTTTTGGCCTGGACCCCTCACGCTACTTTTCCCCTGCGACCATAGCCTGATACCCGACATCATTACCGCTGGCCAGCCAACTGTCGCAATCAGAATGCCATCACATCCGGTAGCACGAGCACTCATTGCTGTTACCGATGCACCGCTCGCAGCTCCAAGCGCCAACTCCTCCGGAAAACCTAGTCCCACCCGTGCAGAGCACGTGTTGAATGACTTGAATGGCAAAATTACAATCATTCTAGACGGTGGCCCATGTGAAGTTGGTCTAGAAAGTACGGTTGTAGATGGTCTACATGAAGACGGAAATATCCGCATCCTGCGACCTGGCGGAATTACAGTAGAAGACATTCAACGAGTGCTCATCAATGGCTTCTCCGATACCGACACACCAATACCCCAGATCCTCGTCCATCGTCGTGATTTTCGTGACGACGCATTGGAACAGGCACCTACTACACCTGGCATGAAATATCGCCATTATTCCCCCTCAGTGCCAGTGACGCTGATGCGCATGACCGATGTTCCCCTTGGAATAGAACCTCGGAGCCCATCCGCTTTTCTGGAGGATCTCAAGCGTTCGATGCCACATTCTCCTAACGCTCTTCGCGTGGGGTTATTGATGCCTTCGGATTCTATTTTGATGAAATCTCTTATCAGCGATACGACCATTCAGTGGCATGAATTTCCTTTTGGGCTGGTTTCAGAGCCAGCAATTATTGCAAGGCGGCTATTTGATGGACTGTTGACGTTGGAAAGGGAAGGGGTGGACTTGATCTTAGTGGAAGAAGTTCCAGAAGAAAACGAGGGCCTGGCAATCATGAACCGGGTCAAGAAAGCAGCTGGGAGCTCGCAATGGATTGCTATTCCCTAGAAATCGCATGTAAGTGTTGCTATCTCTGTCATGCACTTTTTGCTTACAGCCTGCTGCAGGAATGTGGCTGCGTTTACATTATAATTTTAATGAAACTAGAGATGTAATCATAAGGCTGGGCAGCGCGTTTCATTATCCATCAATCGACATCGCAAGCATGACTTGTGACCTTATCTCAATTGACATGCACCATGCGGTAACGCCGACGATAATTGGTTGGCCTGTAAGCCTGTACCCGGAACTCAAATTAATGATATTGATAGAAGCAGTACACAGAAACGGATGTTGTCGATGTTCACGGGAGGAGATCGGCGACACATGCTGCGGTATTTCTGGTACTAAGTGTCGTCGTTGTCATACGGTGTCATTTCCCGCAGAGCGGACCATCGTTGCTCGCACGCCACTCTTATCTTGCCACGCTTTTGTAGCTTCGTGCCTCGTGCCATATCTCGTCTACACGAGGACTTTCAGTTTCTGGTGAGCCAAACTGCATTACTTATAAAACATCTAGGCCCAGCGTAAGAGATGACATGGTTTTTGTTATCGTCTACACCATAGATGACGGCCCAATCAGACCATGGGCTAATCAAAATGCTGGAACAGCTCTTGCCCTTGGGAGTGAATCGCCGCAATTTCGGGACGTCCTTCGAAAGTTCTATCATGCAGAACTTTGCGGGAGGAGTATGACTCCGAAGACATGGCTCGCTGGGCAACGTGCTTTACAACGTGCTCTCGCGCGCTTCCGATTGCTCTGTGTCGGTCACGTGATATCAGCCTCGCGCCTTCTTTCAAACTGATTGACCCCAATGTTCTTTTGCTCTTCACATTTTTCCCTTTGTATACTTATGCCGCCCTTCAGGTGAGCTCACGAAGCCTGACGAAGATAGTGGGACTATCTCCAGCTCCCTTTATTGCGCTGAGCGTACGCATATAAGAGTGGTCATAATCTTTGACCTCACAATGTTCATTACTCTCAACTGGTGTTGAGATCTCTTTTACAGTCCAAAAGCAAGTTTTTTTAATACAATGGATTATGACGGTCAGTCTTTCCTTGGGTAATCGCCAGGCCGGGCCGAGCTGACTTTACTTTGCCAGTTTCTAACAGCAGGCACATGATCAACTCTTATCCTGTCCATCTGGGCCCTGGTCCTTTGAACTATCCACAGCACTTCGTATTTTCCCAGTCCCCCGTTTTCAGTGATATATCCCTTCCTTTGGATGATTTGTGTCGTTCCCAATCAGCACCTCCGTGCCTGGAGCAAGGAAATAATTTATTCAACTCCACCCTCTCCATCCCTCAGCTATTTTCTAATTGCGACGTGTTCTCATTGGCTGCTTCGACACATGGTGGGGTTCGTTCTTCGTCAAAGGAACATATTCCTCGCCCACCGAACGCATTCATGCTCTACCGTTCACACATGCTCAAGAGCCGGGGAAATGCTGACCCTGAGAAGCGTCAGCAGAATCTCAGCCGCATCGCAGGGCAGCTTTGGAGAGCTATGAGCAAAGAAGACAGAGCTGTGTGGCATAAGAAGGCAGCGGAAGTCCAAGCTGCACACTGTGCGAAATATCCTGGCTACAAATTCAAGCCCAACCGCAAGAGCGCTAAGTCGGCCAAGACTTTTCAAAGCGGCGCTTACTACTCAAAGCCTACTGAACAAGTTTGTGCGGAGTCATCCATAGGCCCTGTGCGACGTGTTCGCTCGTCCAGGGTCCGCCCTCAGGGTGTCACGCGTGATGCTCTCCTCGGTGCATTAAAAAAGCAGTTTCCATCGGCTTTCTCATCCCCTACTGGGCTCTCCCCTTTACATTTTCCACCTTTCCTTCCAACCTTTTCTTTACCAGAGGCAATGTGTGTTAACGAGCAGCCGAACGCCACTCTGTCCCTTCCTCAGTCTCAGTGCACGAATGCGCTTGGCTTGGAATTGAGTTCATCACAGCCATTGCAGCCTACTACGCCAAGATCAGGACTAGCTGAAATGCTTTCCGGTTTAGATCTTGACGCCGTACGTTCTGATGCTCCTCTATATTTATTTCATCTGATCTTCATTTCGACAATTAGACGCCAACTGCAGCAACCTTCAAACGGAACGGCGACATATCCGAATCTGATGCTTCTATGTCCCAAGATGACATATTCCTTGGAATGGAACAACTGCGTCTTCCCCACAATTCAATGGATTATGACGTAAATGGTCTGTCTCCACTACTTCACGGATCGACGGACGGATATCAGTCGTCAGGCCAATCCTTTTCGTGTTCGGACGCTTTCAGCGGGGCTCCATCATGCACCTCCGATTCAATGTTCTCCGACTTTATGTGTGATTTCTCAATGCCACTTGACCACGAAAGTGATGAGTGGAGCCACACCTCGTGGATGCTTAACATGGACAAGAACTCAACTATTTAGAGGGTTTGCAATCACTCATTTTTTTCCTCCCATTTATTGTCAAGCACTCATATAGCCATCATCGTCACGTCCCTTCTTTGTAGCTTAACATTAGTCGCTGTATCCGTAGTATGCCACGTTCGATGTATCAATAGAACTTTTTCTCAATTCTGACGCTCGATTCGACCCAACCGGGGTCTTGACTCGTCATGATCGTCGTTTGTTCTACTGTTAGTATAGCAACGATGGGATCACCCACTGTCCCACCCTCCAGGACCTACTTTCTGTTTCGTTATCACTTTCCGTCCCTGGGTTGGTGGCACAGTGTAGCACCGATTGCTTCCATGTGAATCTCACTCCACTCCATATTTTGTCCACGGCTATTATGAGAACAAACTCAGCTGGGCTGCTGGACCCGTACTACACTAGTTCAAGTTGGTACTAAATATACCGAAAGCTAATTAATTAGTAAGCACGTGACCGTCATCTCATTCTCGACTCAGCATTTGACGGTGTCAACTGCTACTATAGACTCGCTTGTCCCCCCAAAATCCTCAGCTGGTCATAATGCACCCTACAGGGTCATTTGCTGATATGGGCGTGACGCCTCCTCTCAATGCTGCTCTTGCTCGTATGTCTATACGAGCTCCAACAGAGATCCAAGCTGCCTGTATTCCTCCCCTTCTCGAAGGTTTGTCTTGCAGCAATTAATATAGACGTCGAACCAATCAGTAATCTGCTTCTAGGAAGAGATTGCATAGGAAACGCAAAGACAGGTTCTGGGAAGACTATAGCATTTGCAATCCCAATCCTGCAGAAGCTATCTGAGGATCCATATGGCATATTCGCGCTAGTACTGACACCTACGAGGTTCGCTTACTCATTTATTGATGTTGCGTCGCATTATGACATCCTACTAGGGAACTGGCATTCCAGATATCCGAACAATTTGCAGTGCTTGGTGCTGCAATAGGCGTCCGAACGTCTGTCGTTGTCGGTGGCATGGATATGATGACACAAGCTTTAGAACTGGGTGGCCTTCCCCATGTTGTAGTAGCCACGCCCGGGCGTATCGTTGACCACTTGCGGAGTAGCAACGGCGAATGGAATTTGTCTCGTGTAAAGTTCCTTGTCAGTGAAAATTTTATGCGAGTTTCTGCTGGCACTCATGTCGAACTGAGTCAGGTATTAGATGAAGCGGATCGGCTCCTTACATCGACTTTTTCCCCCGAACTCAAATTTTTGTTTGAGACTCTCCCAAGCGATCGGCAAACCTGTCTTTTTACTGCTACCCTGACAGAAGCAATTGAGTCCTTGATTGAAGCCCCGCCGAGATCTGGGAAGGTGAAACCTTTTGTGCATAGAACGTTATCAACGTAAGATGCACATCGTGTTGGACGGCAGGACGTGGTTCTGATCTTTTTTCAATACAGTGTCGAAACAGTCGCGACGCTAAAGCAACATTACGTTCTGGTTCCTTCGCACGTGCGCGAGCCGTATCTCTATCATTTACTTTGTAATCCTCCAGAAAGTGTCGCATCACTCCGGAGGGTAACCCCAGAGCCAATAAAACCGGGAAAACCCAGAGGAAAAACGAGAACATCGCAAAAACCCGGTCCAGATGAGGATATACCCATACAACCACCACCTACCATCATATTCTGCACGAAGCCTCGGACGGCTGCTTATATTACGCATCTACTTCAGACATTGTCTATCCGCAGCACCGCGCTGCATTCAAGATTGACACAACGGGAGCGATTGACGTCATTATCACTTTTTCGGTCATCTTTCATCCCTGTTCTTGTATCGACAGATGTTGGCGCCCGTGGTTTGGACATTGAGGACGTAGCAATGGTCATCAACTGGGATCTGCCAAATGAGCCTGAAGAATACACTCACCGAGTCGGAAGAACTGCACGTGCTGGTAAAGGTGGTGTTGCTATTAGTTTTGTGACCGAAAAGGATGAGGAGCGTGTATCGCGAATAGAAGCACGGATTGGTACGTTATTCGACCCTTGGTACGCAGTGATAGAGTTGGCTCATAACTTCATCAGGGGTGCAATTAGAGGCTATGACCATGCCAGAAAACATGGTTTTAGAAAAATTGAATGCCGTATCAACAGCGAAAAGGCTAGCAAATATGGTGCGCATGTTAAAGATAGCACACCTCCTGTTTCTTACATGAGCCTCATCTAGGAATTACATGATTCAAACTTTGGCCAACGAGAAGAAATACATAAATTGAAGTCTAGGAGAAAAGCCGAGGCATGATCAATTCATGTATTTTCCCCCCGATCTGACAGCGGGTCCATTTCTCGGCCAAAGTTTGGGAGTTGTTGCCCGTAATGATCTGGTTTCTTCTGGAACATGCAGGGATCGGAAACACCCGAATATTATGATAGTTCGCTCCTATCGATTCCGTGCTAAACGGCTCAAGTACTGCGGAATAGAATGTCAGGGCGATGCCGCTGGAATTGAATTTGCAAAACGACCCTTCATACTCTAAATCTGCATGTGGGGGGCCTTTCCAGTATCCGACACTGGCAATTCCCGAGCGGGGCCTTGTTGTGGGGAAGCCAGGCCTCTTCCAGATCATGACCATGACCGTTTGGTATCACTAACGCCAGGTCCCCGCATTTCAGCATGGTGATAGTTAGTGCTTTGAACCTCAGTCAGACCAATAGAGAAGCAAGACAGTCGTTACTTTTTAATTCCGATGGGGAGAGCTACATTTTCTTCAGATCAACGCAGACTCGGGAGTCACTAGCAAGCGGGGACCTGAGTTAAATCGGACCGTAGTCTGGGAGAAGTCTGGCCCTTTGTATATAAGAGCGGCGAGGATCTCGGCTGGTCTTCGGCTAGCTTTAATATCAAACTCAGCGAAGTGTGCATATTTGGTTTATCACTTCCCGAACTGCTGTCCCCCTTTCTCTTTTATACGTTATATCCGCTCGTCATCGCCCGCGTGTGGTGTACTAATAATCTCCCTCCACAGTCAAACACCCTTTCTTGCTCCTCAACCTCTATTTTTATTTTAATCATCCTCTTTCGAATCCCTGCACCCAGTTTGATCAAGGCAGTCATGAGTACTTGTATGGAGAACACAGACTGGGACTTCCTCTTGCAGTTCGTCTCAGAGCCTTTGGAGATGGAATTTTCTGATGTGCCTGAAAGGCCCGTCGCAGAACGTACACGTTCGGCGGTACCTGTGCAGGTACCAACACCCCCCGTACGTCGTTTAGACTAGAAACATCATGTCAGGCAGATAATATTCACCATGTCTCACAAAGGACTCATTCACCTCGTCACCGGTTGACCCACCAGCAGAGGAAGACACCCTTGTTTCTGTGTCCACGACATTCTTTCCCGGAGCACATATCCACTCATATCCACCAGATGTCGTGCTGCTGTCATCCGACTCTATATTCTTTTACGTCCACACGCGCGCGCTGCTTCGAGTCTCTGAAAATAACTTTGGCGGTTTGCTACCACTGTCGCCCAAACCGACCAACGGCCAACTAGGTCCAGTCTTGGCCGTCCCGGGATCTTCTACCGTTCTCAATATCGTACTTCACGCCATGTACGACATGCCATGTTCCCACTATTCTCCTTCATTCGACTCCCTCGCAACCGCATTGTCAGCGCTAACAGATTATGGCGTTTCTCTCAAGCGCCATGTTAGCTCTTCTTCTGCCCTGCACTCCCTGCTTCTCTCGTATGCACCACTTTGCCCCTTGGAACTCTATACGTTGGCTGCTTCACACGACCTCTATGACCTCGCTGTCCCAACTTCATCTCATTTGCTCTCCTTCTCCCTCGCATCCCTGACAGATGAGATGGCGGACAGAATTGGCGCAATATATTTGAAACGATTATTTTTTCTCCACTTTGGCCGCGCAGATGCTTTGAAACGTCTCCTCCTACCACCACCCCATCCACATGCCGCCACTAATGACTGTGACTTCACCGAGCAAAAAAGGCTCACAAGAGCTTGGGCTCTTGCATCTGCATATCTCGCTTGGGATGCCAGACCAGGTATGTTTCATAGGTGTTCAGCAGCACTGTTTTAATTTTAGTCAAATACAGACTTGTCCACAAACGCAATTGAGTCTGCCTTGGCACCTCTAGGTGATCAGCTGTCATGCGAGCACTGTAGAAAGGCACTTCGAGACCGGCTGAAGACGTTGATTATACAATGGTCGGCAGTCAAGGTACGCCCACCATTTCAGCCCTTCGAACTTTCTGCTTATATCGGAACTGCAGAGGACTATCTAACTCGTAAAACAACATCATTCGGAAGAAATATCTCACACTCTGGACGAACATACCCCAGGAAAAGCGCGCATGTGCTTCTTCAGCTCTCATTCTTTCAATCGACTGTATCACTCATCCCTTTCTTCTTTTTCACTGCATTCATCGTGTAACATTGCTCGCTTTTTGTAACATCAGTTGGGAATGTTCAGTGAACACTGCCGCCAAGTCCGTCATACACGACCTGTACTCAGTACTCATTAGCAGCTACTCCTTCCGTAAATAGTATCCCAGTCTGTAACGCTTACGATTTCACACCTTTGTACTGTCCACACACGCATAGCATATAGCCGATTGGTAATAGCATCATGATTCAGAACTTGATGACAGATTGGCGTCAAGGCAGTGAGATAGGTATACAACAGCGAACGGTCAAACACAGGACTCGGTCATCGGGCCTTGTCCTCAGCAAGGATGGCATCATTGAGCTCGTCCAGGGGTGCTAATTCTTTCTTATCCACGAGGTCAAACTAGCCAGTTTATAATTAAGTGAATAGGCAGTTGTTAAGATGGCTGTGGACACACCTCATTTATGAATAGAAAGAAATGGCGGTAACTGGTGTTCAGATGAGCTACAGAATTTGGTCAAGCCATCATAATCAAAGCCGAAAGTAAAACGAGATGATACCTTCGATGCCAAGCGCACAAATTTGGTCAAAGTGGTTGCTGTATATATGCGCGTATACACGAAACAATCGGCGTACGATCGTGCGCACCGTTTCACGAAAATTTCGAGGGAATGGTACGCCTAAGTTTCGTCAACTACAGCCGCAGAGTGGATGTATCGTGTGGTACACACCAATCTTGTTCGGGAATACGGTTTCATCGTCGAGAATGTTCTGAGCCCAATTCATCAATGCATCTACGTATTCGGGAGCGGGCAGCTTCGTGGGTCTCTTATATTTAACACCATCTTCCCAAAGGTACTCGTAGCTACCGAATTACAGTAAGTTTGAAGTTATATATATATATTACAGGAGGCTCACCGCGGACCAGCGGACATTATGGGACACTAAAGCTGGCGTTTCAGATCAAGCAGCAAGTAATCAGCAACGCCATACCTCCTGCGGCGTACAGAACTCGGTAACCGTACCGTACAACATATTCAAGTGATTGAAGAAATCAACAGCTGCTCATGTAAATACGATGACGCATCGCAGACGAGTATAGATGGTCCGCACCATGGACAGCAAGCCATTCATTTGTATCTTCACCTTCAGGTAACCGAACAGCCAACCTCAAGTTGCCAGAACCCTGGATTACATGTGAAAGTTCGATGTCATCCTGGCATTTAGTACAGATCAGTGTACCTTACCAAAGTTGCTTCTGCATACTTTCGCAGTTGATATTGTTTGGTGCCCTCCGGGACGTCCTTTCGAGGTTTGAACGTGCGGGTCTTGCCACTGGATAAGCCGACGCGTTAGTTCATGGTCTTGCTGTTGGAAGGACTACTGACAGTCCGAAGAATGAAGACATGTCGCCGATGACTGCGATCTACGGTATCACGCTGCGTTCGAATGCTATAACCCCGGGCCCAAGTGCCAAAGGTGCCGAAGATGCCTGTGGTTCGCCGCTTGAAATTGAGGTTCGCGGTGGTGATACTTACGTAATACTTGTATCTTATCTTATCTTATCGAAATTAAAAGCCTCGTGCTCCCAGCCTGTTATCAAGTGCCTAGAGCCTGTGAGTCCCGATGTCCCAGGCTGATACAGATTCGAACGAATTGCCTAACGATTCAATTTTTCAATTCACGCGAAGGTTATCCTGCTCCGCTACAGAAGTGCCGCTCCACTCGGAACTGGAGCCCCGGGGAGAAATTTCACATATATATAAAGGTCACAACGGCCGCGAAATCACACATCCACTATCTCACTCACTGAACGTCATGACAAAACGCATCCTTTTTGTTTTCACATCTGCAAACCAAACTTTGACAGGTGCCAGCACGGTCAGCAGAGCCCTGCACTTGTTTTTGGCATCGGCCCTTTAACCACGTTTGATCAGGGATGGTACCTTCCTGAAGCCGCTCATCCTTACTACATTCTCGCCCCTTATTTCACTATCGATTTTGCCTCTCCTGCGGGTCCTAATCCACCTGTGGATGAATACAGCGTCCAGGCGGGTGTTCAGTTAGAACCCAGGTCATTGATGAGTAGTCGCTAAAATCTTACCTTCAGACGTTCCCAGACGACATAGGCAAATTCCTCAAAAACTCCGAGGTCCAGAAGAAGCTCTCGGCCACTAAAAAGCTCTCTGATGTTAATCCCGATGATTACGATGCGATTTTCTATGTAGGGGGCCATGGTCCTGTCTTGGATCTGGCAGTGGATCCTGTCAATATCAAGTTTGCATCTGAAGTACGTCTGTCAACTTTCTTGTATGACGGGCCTGTAGCGATTGTCTGATCTTATAGTTCTACCGTACCGGAAAATTGGTCGCCGCTGTTTGCCATGGACCAGCGTCAGCTATAGTATAACAAGTTCTACAATAAATGTTACTGACACTTTATTGCAGTGCCCTTGTTGGCGCCACTGACGAGTCTGGCAAATCCATCTTTGCTGGAAAAGCTTTCACTGGCTTCTCAAATGTCGAGGAGGAGCAGGTCGACAAAGTGAAGGCGAGTATCACTCAGCCAGCGTTTGGTACTTTTGCAGACGTGTTTTGAACACAGGATATACCGTTCTTGTTGGAAGACAAGATCTCCAGTCTTGGGGGTAAATACGAGAAAGCAGCAGAACCTTGGGGGGTCAGTATTATGCTTGGACTTTAGCCGTATGTTGACTGATCCACTTTGATTCCAGCCCAAGGTCGTCGTTGCTGGTAACCTAATCACCGGGCAAAATCCGGCTTCAGCTCATCCCATTGGAGAGGCCATTCTCCAAGCCTTGCAGAAATAAGTGGAAGTAGAGTCGCTCTGAAAACGGTCTTTCAAATGATCACTTGTGCCTTGCAGCATGAGCAGATGCATGAGAATATTAAAAATTAGTACAAATTTTCGCGGGTACGACCTACACTGTATTAAATATAGGCTACAGACATCTTCCAGCCCTTTTTTAGTGTGAAGCCATCCAGGGCATCTTTTGCGGTTGATGCGAGTTCGGGGGAGTCGAAGAAAACTTGTGCCATCTTCACGCTTGCGCCAGCAGCATTTGGAGTTGGTGATTGTGCGACGTGTGTTGATTGAAAACCCTTGTACCTATTTGCAATATTCGTGAATGACTTGGATAAAAAGGGAATGAGACCCACTGTTGAAACAACACAGAGAGTACACTATCCGTGACCTCTTGAGGAAGATTCGTACAAAACAATCTTGCAGATGGATGTTGTGTAGGCGGGGGAATGGTGGCTTTGGGAAGAATGACGATTGAAATCATATGAAAGTTGTTCATGTTAAGACGTACCTAGAGGTTTGAGTTGTGGAGCGGGTTCCTCATCTTCATCAATCTCCATTTCTTCGCCATCACTGTCGTCCTCTGACTTTTCGCGTTTGGACTTTGGTTGCCCATCTGCCAGCTCCTCATCGCGCCGACGCTTATCAGTAGTTGAAACAGTGACTTTTGCAAGCACAGCGAGATCCGGGTTTGCATGAACAGATGTTGGGGCGACGAAGTGGGGATCTTCCCTTCGCGAAGTAGCATATGATTTAGATTTCGCATAGGTGATGCGCTGCATAAGTGAATTTGGTTTAATTATCTCATAGAAAGTCAGGTTTAAGGTTACCATTGGCTTGTCATAAAACACCATACCCTCGCAGGCTCTCATGGCGGTAGTTGCGGATGCCAAATCGGTGAAGACGAGGAATGCCTGACCCCTCATCTTTGGACCTTTTGACGCGATAACATCAATAACCTTGCCGAATGTGGTGAAGAGGGCGTATAGTTGAGTACGCATTTCATCCTTGTTGATTTTATCATTAAGATTGTTGATGTAGAGAGTAGGAATTGGTTGAGTAGACATGATTACTGCGAGCCTAACTGTTCAAGTCGCGTTCATCGAGGATGATAGTTGTTATCCTAAAAAGGTATTATATTCTCACGAGTTGAGGTAACGCATTTACTTACTTTGATGATTTATATTAGACCTCATTTCAGTTTGATTTCATTCTCAAGTCTTTCAGGTCTTCACTAACACGGTCCAGGATCGTTTCTCTAGTTTCGCAAGAGCTTTGCTAGTTTGTAGTCGCGTTTTCCGCTATCAAACGTAAGACTTAACAAACAGGCACAAAACGCATCATCGCACGCTGCCTACCCTGTTCATGAAATTTTTGACGACCTTCTGCTGACTTGAACCTCTTCCGACGCGTCTACCGATGAACGCCCATCATGCCCTTGAGTGGCTACCATCTTACCTTGTTCCATTCGTTTCACTTTCATACCCAACTCCTCCACCCGTCAACCCCGACTCATTTCACCATTCCGCATACTACAAGACTGGCGTGCTAGATGGTTGCTTCATAATAACTTGCATTGCCGTCATGGCAGTTCTGCGCGACGTAGTTCGCATCTTCGTATTGGAGCCTTTCGCTAGGTGGAAACTCACCCGCGCTTGGAAGCGTTCTAATTCCTGCCACGTACAACAGAACGGCAACAAAAATGGCATTACAAATGGAAATGGACATGCTGGGCATGCCAATAATGATTCCAAGCCAAAAAGCGTAATGTCTGCGCGCGAATCTCGCAAAATTCATCGCAGCGTTCTGAGGTTCGCAGAGCAAGGCTGGTCGGCCATCTACTACACACTCCAATGGCTATTTGGCTTTGTGCGTGGTTTTATGCAGCTGACGTGTCATGTCTAACCTTAATTCCAGTATGTTCACCGAAATCTTCCTACTCAAGCCTTAAAACCGACGGAGTTGTGGTTGAATTACCCCCATAGTCCCCTTGCTGGACCTCTGAAGCTTTACTATCTCACCCAGACCGCCTTCTACCTCCATCAAATCCTCATTCTCAATGCCGAGGCTCGCAGGAAAGATCATGTGCAAATGATGACTCACCATATCCTCACCATTTTCCTCATGGTCATGAGCTACTTCTGCAATTTCAACCGTATCGGATGCCTCATCATGGTATTGATGGACTGGAATGATATCTTTCTCCCAGTAAGTTGCTCTCCCTACTCTTTAATAATGCAGACCAAATTAGTCACCCCCCAATAGATTGCCAAAATGTTTCGTTACATTGGTTTATATACCCTTTGCGATATCACTTTCACTTGGTTCCTTTTATCATGGTTTGTGGCACGTCACGTTCTATTCGTCATTGTCATAAAGTCGGCCTGGTTCGATGGCCCGCGGTTGATCTCTGTGGGCTGGGTGCCAGAATTGGGACATTATTACTCTGAGAGGACTTATAATACCTTTGTCTATTTGCTGGTGGCACTACAGGTGAGTGTCAGAAGTCCCATCAACGTTTGTATCTGCTAAATCCTTGAAGATCATCCAAATCGTCTGGTTCTGGATGATTTGTCGCGTCGCGTGGCGCGTGATCAGCGGTCAGGGTGCCTCGGACGATCGCAGCGATGACGAAAGGTGAGGTTTCCAAACGCATGTATTCCATCCAAACTGATGATGCGTCTGCAGCGAGGAAGACAAGAAGAGTCAATGATGTAGTACATTGGACGCATTGGCGCGGTATTTCTGTCATCGATGATTTAATTGCTACACGTCAGCCTTTGCATATCTAGACATTTCTGGACTCAACTACCATACAATTCAACATTTTGGATATTTTCCTTGTGATGACTAAAAGCGCAATAAGGAGGCGAACTGCCTTATTCGGTTATCAGTACTTGCTGGTCAGAGCTAGCCCGCAGCGGCAGTAATAGCATAGCACTTGTGCCAGCTCTACCCTTTGTCCCGCGTGCATCTCTTTTGCTTTGATCTGCTTCTGTACTTAAACCATGATGGCTGGCATTATGTCTTACTTCGGAGGGAGGCGAGATACGAAACAGGCAGCACGAGACGCTATCGTAGGGCTAAGGCAGCAACTACAGATGATAGAGAAGAAGGAGGAGCACCTACAGAAGAAGATTGACGAGGAACTCAAGAAAGCAAAGGCGAATGCTGTTTCAAACAAGGCTGGTACGTCTGCACTCTACCGTCGACGCACATCCTCTACACACAATGCACAGTGGCAACGCAGGCTCTGCGGCGGAAGAAGGCGAGCGAATCAGAGATGGATCGATTAGCGGGTCAACGACTGCAGCTGGAACTACAAATCAACACACTAGAGTCTGCGAATCTGAATGCGGAGACGATGGCTGCTATGAAGAAGGCTTCAGACGTGCTGGCGTCGATCCATGGTAACATGTGCGTATCCTCCTTACGTTGCTGATCACACGTATAGTGGTGACATTGGTTCTCGTAGGACCATGGATAAGGTCGACTCGACCATGTCTAAGATCACGGAACAGAGAGAGATTGCTACTGAAATCGCAGAAGCTCTATCATATCCTACTGGTACGGAGGCAGACGAGGTGCGTCCATCTCCTGACTTGATGGCTGCCTTTGTGCTGATGATTTAATTAGGATGAACTCAAGGCAGAGCTCGCGGAGCTTGAGCAAGAGACACTCGATGAACGCCTTGCTGGAGCAGAGCATGTTCCTTTGCACATTCCTGCAGGAGCTCGTCGGGTGGAAGAGCGGCGTAAGATGTCTCAAATCAGCTTCACGTTCAATCAGCTAACCTCTTACGCAGCTACTGTGGCGGTGGAGGACGACGAGGAGGCTCAGTTGAGGGAACTGCAGGCCGCACTAGCAATGTGATAGCTGGAGTTCCCTTTCCCCTACTGCATCCCGGTCGATCTGTTCACCGGGTACCCATCTGACTTTATACATATATCCAAGCCCCTTCTCATAATAACCTCTTGCAACATATGATTGTTCAGGATTTCCCTGTTGGCTCTGATCGTGTTCTTGTGAAATTGAGATAGTGTACAGGATAAGCAGTATATTAAGTTATGTAACAAAGCTTGCTTTATTAAGTTATGAGCTCGATATGCAGCAAGACGTGCGTGCAAAATGCTAATTGTGACATGCAGAATGATGGGGTGCGGCAATGTTGAACTTGAAACCATGAGGTAAAAAGTCAGTTGAGGATGGTCCAAGGTGTTAGAGAGAGATATTATGAGAACCCGCGAATGCCTAATACCCTCCGTACATCCCCCGTGAAACGCAGCGAATCAAGGATGGGCAACAAATCGAGTAGGGCTTCGTCAAGTGGGTCGTGTGTCCAACCCTCTATGGGTATACCATTTGCTGTTACGAGAGTACATTTATATTGTGATCTGTCAAGATGGAAGTGTGCGTACCTTCATTGCCACGGTAACTAACCGGCGAGTTATCGATCAGACAGACACGAGCGAGATCCTGTTCTACTACGGACAGATCCTTGATATAGGATCCATTAGGAAGTTGGGTGCAAGACTGAACAAGTGTGACAACGCGGTGGTGAGGAGACAGATATCGTAAAGAATCACAAAACTTGCCTCTCGGAATAAACGGCGCGCAAGAATGCCACGTCCAGCGTCTAACCAGTCAATGACTGGGTCGGCATACTCTTGCATAGAAGCAGTGAAGACAACGAGTGTGTACCAAGCAGAAACCTGACAACCGCTAGTCAGGCTCTAATAGCTTGACGACAGTGGCGCGCAAACTAACCTTGCGAAGGAAGTAGTCAACAAACGGTCTCTTGTATACGTGATAAAGGGTGCTCCGGCCACCCAAGACTACTTCGACTGTGTGTCCCTTATTCCTGCGTCCGAAACCGAGAAGCCCAGAGCTACTAGAGAGATGACCAATTGGTTTGGACGTCGAATGTATAAGAGTTTCATCGAGATCAAGAACAAGAGTCTTTGGTAAATGGAACGGTGTCTTATGCGTAGTGGTCAAAATGGGTGTCGGTGATCTCGATGCGGTATCTGTTACGGTGGTTGCAGGGATTCTAGGCGAGTGCGGATAGGGTGGAAGCGAAGGGCCTGGGGAAGGCGGCGGTGTGGGTAAAGTGGCGATATCTGGCTTGGCAAAGATGACTTGAAGGACGTGAGATGGAACATCTGGGGATGATGGGGACGGAATTGATGGTGGTGACGGTTGTGTTTCAGGTAATAATACATCAGTAGCCTCGCCCAGGGGCTTTTCGTCGACCAAAACCTCTTTCTCCTTGCTTTCGATCTCTCCTGGCGTCACCTGCGCCCATGTAGCGCAGAGGGTGTTCCAAACGAGAACAAAGGCTCGAACAAGGAACAGCCGCCTGAGTGCGCTTCTTACTCTGAACCTGGACTTGGAGTGTATTATGGTAGCCTCTGTTGGAGGTGAAGGAGAAAATGGCCTCAAAATTGGTATGGGTAAGAAGCCTGAAGGAGAGGAATATGAGCGCTTCGGTCTTGGAGGGTTCTGTGAGTCCGAGCCATGAGGCTGCTGGAGCGACTTATTTGCCCATGAATTCGTACGCTTGAAGGAAGTACCAGAATGTGATCCTCTGCGAATGGACGAGGCCCTACGAAGAATGGAGGTCTTATCGTCTACGGGGGTCGACGGGGGAGTTCGTGGTAATGCGAATACATCGAATTGACGTGAGATATATGTTAGAGAGTTCATTGCTGAGCTGCGCAGCTTACACGGGCTCGAATTAACGAGCTAGTGAAATCTAGCTCACAAAAACAAACTTGAAGTTGAAAGGCTAACTGAGGGAGGTTTACTGTTTACTGCGATGATGGGAGTACTGGGCTTAGGTGCTGCCAGCGCGCGTGACCTATATCGATTTATTTAATTGCCAGTCCGAACAATGTTTAGTTCTTATCGTTAGGTTTTGATCTCCCACTGTCAACAACATTCGTTTGTCAAACTATTCACATCCAATCACAACCGATTTTGTTGCTGCACAACCAGCCCCTTCCGCTAATAGCGTATCATAGCCGATATCGTGGGCCATCCGACTGCAGGCAACAACGTTTCCAAATCGATTGCTCCTTAGGCCTCAAGGCTCATAATATCCACAGTGCAAGTCATGGTAATGGCATTTCGTGTCTGTCGCCTAAAAGGTGTAGATCACCTCGCGATCAATCACAGAAGGTATCGGAATCCTTTTTCCTTGATCCCTTTCTCATGCTCTTCACGCTCCAGTTTCTCGTTTAATGATATAAGATGCTGTTTGAAAACCCATGCCATTATAATCGCGGTACCGCTAGCCGCAATGCAGATACCATAGGAGTATCGATAGGTAGGGCCCCAACTCGAAGGCCAAATATACCTGCAACCGGCTTCATCAATGAATCCCACGTTGATAGGTGGGTTGTACTCACGAGCCTGCAACATTGCCAAGTTGCGAAAATCCGTTGATGATCGCCACACATACCGCACGCTTTGATGGCGGTCGAGGAAACGAGTTATTCATCCATGCGAGCATCACAACGAGTCCTGCAAACGTCTGCGCCATGAGGAACCTGGGTACAATCAACGACACGCCCCAAATCGAGATCCTGGCTTACAAGGACACGTATCGGGCTGCCGTGTTCATGGTGCTTATTGCAATAATGAACCCAATAATACCGGCAATCCATGAACCGATAATGTGGTAGAAGCGTTCTTGCTTGTAATCAGAGTGCCTGGGGAGTTCTTCATCATCAGTTCCTAGATCACATTATGAAAGCTTACCTGCACAAACAGAATGTGACAATGACCGCAAAGACGAACGGAGGGGCAACAAGGAGAAGTGACACTGTTGGGTTGTACCCAAGTGTCGCGCTAAGAGTGGGGAAGTACGCATTGAAGGATAATGATACCACTATTGCGTTCACTGCCATTGCAAACCACCACACTGTCCAGTCGGTAACAGCGAGGTAAAGACCGTGAGTAAGGCCACCCTGCTCGGTTTCTTTCTGGTCACCGACACCTGCATCCTCTTCCATACGCCTCAATGCAAGTCGACGCTCATCATCAGAAAGCCACTTCGTTGTTGACGGAAAGTCTGGCAAAATAAAGATGGCACAGATTGCGACAAAGACAGTAAGAGCTCCTTCGAGGTAGAAAAGCCACCTCAAAAACAAGTTTCAGACTTTCCCTCGACAAAAACAACTTGATTGAAATACCTCCATGCGGCGTGTCCGAGGACATTGTTCATGCCACCAAGAATACCCGATGCGAGGAGTGCCCCAAAGGCATTGCTAATGATGTTTCCGCTGCAATGTTCCTGGTAATGGAAAGATCTTTCCGTAGATTGGTGCCCTTACCAGTAGAGAATTGCGGTTCTAAAACCTATCTCTGTTCTCTTGTACCTGTATATAAAATGTGAGGCTGTCCACTGATAAGATCGATTGCTCACGAACCACTTCGAAATTAAAAATAGGGAACCAGGGAAAAAGGCTGCTTCTACGAAGCCCAGAAAGAAACGCGTTATGACGGCTCCGGTAAAACTATTGAAAGTGACTGGTTAATTATTTTTCAGTCATAGAAAATGCGTCATACTTGGTCGTAATTCCAGTCAGTGCTGATATCATACCCCAAACGGCCATACAAGCAGGCAGATAAAGTGACGGCTTGCCGGTGAAGTTAAGAAACATGTTAGACGGGATCTGCATGATAATGTATCCGACGTAGAGAATGGACAACAACGTCGCAAATTGCTGATCAGTAAGATGAAGGTCGGCGACGAGCCCTCGGAAGCGTGCGGCACTTTTTCTTCGTGACTGACACATCAGGAATGGATAAAAGGGACGTACCCAGCATTGTTTCTATCGACCTAGTACGTACAAACGTGAGATGGAGAAAAGACGCTTTGACAAAAAGTCACTCACATAATTGAGGATATAGATAAGTACCAGGATCGACATGCGAAGGTCAAGTTTCCGCAAGAGTTTGCGCTCTAGTTCTTTACGTGCCGCTGAACCACCAAATTCCGCGTCAGGATCGATGACTTCGGGATCCACACCCCCCTTTGAGGGTGGGAGCGACGCAGAATATGAATATTTGCTTATTGACATGTCAATAGTAGTGGGAAGCCGGACCAGTGGATTTGTCTTCCGTGCTTGATGTTTAAAGCACTTCAGACGGGTGGGACATTGCCAAAAGGAACCAAAGCGATAACAGAGAGCTGGTCACAAGGGTGGCGGAGAGACGCCACCTGAGAGTTGCCATTTGGTTTGTTGATCATCTGAGCCTATCTGCATGGGAAGTAGTACTTCAATATTTCAAGACTTAGCACCCGGTGACCGGGTGCTAAGTCTCGCGAATACTGAATTCTGAATTTTTATATTTGGCCAATAACTAAGTGCCTGCCATCACGTGATGATGTCGCGCGTAACGCGTGTTTGTTGACGGGATCAGATTGGGACCAGCATTATCTCCTCGAGGTCGACAAAGACGTGACGACTCCACATTTTAGACAGAAGAATACAATGGACGACAACAGAGATATTCCAGTCTACTCCGAGCGTCATCTTGCGCTCTTCCAACGTGTCAAAGACGCCTTGGACGAACTTCCTGTGTTGCATAATTCAGCCATTCCAAAGGACGAATCCTGTGCCATATGTCTCACTCCCTTTGATGCTATACTTTCAGGCGAGATACCTCAGGAAGGAGAAGAAGAATTTGAAGGTGGGGTGACAAAAGTAGTGGGCTGTGGTCACTTGTTCTGTCGAAAGGAGTACGTGATAATCTTCGATCAAATCCTCATTATTTTCTGTTGAGCTACTATCGCATGCAGCTTATCAGAGTGGATACGAAATTTTGTGAGTGCTTTCTTCTAGTGGTAAATGACTGAGTCGAGCGTTCCGCTGACATCTACTCCTATCTGCAGCATGGCAGTTGTCCAACGTGTCGACATCCTTTTCTGGATATAAAACCGTACACTGAATCGGACGCAGAATCGTCTGATGAAGAATACTTTCCCGACGACGATGAAGATGAAGAAGACGACTTTTTCGGGATGGATGAGTTCGACGATGAACTTGAGGTAGAAGAGATGGAAGTAGACCTGGATGACATTTGGGGTTATGTTGACTTGCATGGTGGTAATGAGTCTGACGATGAGGAAGAGCATGCTGAACCGGATATAAACGGTCTGTTCCAAGAGGATCGCGGTGTGTTATCCGACCTATTCATCGAAGTACACTGATATCTTTGCAATAGAACAATTATGTAGCACATCTGATGCTGAAAACAGCGTAGAGGCAAATGCTACTTGCGATGATCCGGCTCCACGCGATAAATAGGTTTCTGGAGGTAACTTATGGATGCACATTAATTTCTTTTAGATGATTTTGTTTGTAATATTCTAGAGCGTGTATGGATTTTATATCGAAACCCCTTGGAGGACTTCGGAAACGACAGTATCCTCGCGGCCTTCTCTCCAAACGCCAGTAAATTTACCACTCCATCTCGTGCCCTTACCTCCTCCTTTGACGTTCAGTTTGCCTTTGAGCAAGTCCCCAGCCAGCTTGACATATTTCTCGTCTGATCCGAAGACTAGCAGCACGCTTGCGCTCGCGCTTGTCTGTGACGACGGAGAAGACGAAAATACCAGTACGAACGGTTGCTCTGCTGGAATGATGTTTGCGAAAGCAGTGGTTATTGCTGACAAAAATCCGAGAGGATTGACAGAATCATCTGTCCGGTGCACATGTTTGACAAATAGGGTTGCTTCAGATGACTTCATTTCTTGCCAAACGTCACCTGCGACATGTTTTGCAAGTTCGAACTCAAGGTCATCGACTCTCTTCTCAGCTCTCTTCCGCTCATCCACGACTTGACCTATACGATCTGGGACTTGCGGAGCGCCACAGCTGAGCGTGGCAGCAGCGGCAGTGAGTTGGGAGTGCGTAGATGTGAGGTAGGTAATGAGCCGCGGTCCAGCGAGGAAATACAGGCGAGCAGACGTGGTAGCCGACCTAGAAAGGGCCTCCGTTTGGGGTATGATGAAAAGTTGAAGGTTGTGAAGGGTAGGAAGGTGGGTGCCGCAGCATCTGTAACGTTGATGTTAGGCTTCTAAAGTAATGCGCCAGGATTGGATGAACTTACGGGCTGCGATCTACTCCGTCAATGATTACTGTTCGCATGATGCCTCCCGTGTAGTCAGTCGGGACGCCTTTACCTACGGCACGACCACTTTCTAATACAGGTACCGCAGGTTGTGGTTTATCATTCATTTCTTGCACCTCTACGTGGACTTTCCGTCCCTCAAATACAAGTTTGTTGGCTTCGCTCTGTATGGCCAAGATTTCCTCCGTGGTCATGCTTCTGGCGAGTTCGACATAAGAGGGTGCTGGTGCAGCCGTGAGCGACCAAGAAAGGGTATGAATATCGAGACGATTTTCAAGCACCGCAGAAAGGAGATGCTGCGATGTGTGCATGGACATCTATTGGGTTTTCGGTTCGATGATTTTGCTAGGATGAAAAAGTCAGGTACGTACATGATCATATCTGCGATCGAAATCGAGCTCTCCGAGAGAAACAGTGACGTTGGCCCCAGGGGTGAGGGAAGCAAGACCATCTTCAGCTTGGTCAGCCCGGACGTAGTGAACCGCATGTCCACCGTGTCGTTTGGCCTGAGTCACCGTCCATGTACGTCCATCAGCTGTCTTGATTATACCTGTATCTGATAGTTGACCCCCGCCCTCCGGAAAGATGACAGTATCATGCAGTATGACCTCAAGTGTAGGTTGATCGGCCGATGCTGGTGCCGATGCCTTCTTTCCTTTCTTACCGCTAGGAAAGGAAGCAGGCTGTGAGATCGTGCAGCTGATAATTGATGTTTCCAGTTCGCGCAAGAGCGGGTCGCCTGGCCTTCAGTTTAGATGGAAATGTCTGTGTGTGAGGCCAAGATGCTCACGTTGACATGCCAGGAGACCCACGGGTATTGGTCGTCGGGTATCTGTAGGAATCTTCAAGGTTGGGGAGACGATTCTGTGGTAGGATGGAGGGGTCACTGTAGGGTATAGTGTGATTACTGCTGCCATGATCGCGATAGATGGATGGGATCGGTGCTGGTGCTTTGTGAGGTACTTTGAGTATCATATCAGCAAATCCCAGGAGTCGAGGGAAATTGAGCCGTGATACATTTCGAGAATGCCGATGCCGTGATACGTCTCACAGCTTCAGACCACAATGAAACCCTACTACTCAATAGCACCATCAACAAGTTACTTATCGACCCATACGATAGCGTGGTACTAAACCTTGATAGGCGAAGCAAGGGTCGTTACCGTGACTTCTTTGAATCCGGGCGGAACGGCGAATATCACTCCGCTCTATCGCGTTATGGTATGCCAAATTAGCCTACTTGGCCCTACTACTAGTACCACCACGACCGCTACTAGTATCTGTGCTGACTCGGAAGCTGCTAATCTTTTGGCGACGCATCAAAAGAAGACCAAGCCTGAGGAATGTCAGACCGTCCCTTGCTCGATGCAGACAATTACTATTCGCGCTACGGTGCTGAGTCTAGCAACAGGAATGACACTCCCGTACTCCCATGCATTAATGAGCAGAGCAGACTTGTCGTGGAGAAGAAGCTTCTCCGTAAGCTGGACCTTCGAGTAGCATTCCTTGTTTTGATATACATTATGAACTATGTGAGTTGGTGCACTTGGTGTTCCCGCTACTGCCTAAAATTCCTACATAATAGATGGACCGTGGTAATGCAGCGTACGTGGCCCAGCTTCAAAATCATTTGGAATAATGTGGCTCAACCGTCCGTTCGCAAGTGCAGCAAGGTTGCGTGGTTTTGAGGAGGACCTCAACATGAAGGGGAATCAGTTCAATACACTCATTAGCATCCTCTATGTGGGGTACATGTTGATGCAAGCTCCTTCGTATGCGCTATCCTGTCATCCCTGTGCGGCATCCCCGAGAATTCACAAGCAACATTTTCTTAGATCGCATGAAAAGGCCATCGTTATACCTCTCGAGCTGCATGGCAATATGGGGTGCCATCACTTTGTTCACTGGTGTGTACATTTTTCGTTTGATCAACATCACCTAACGAGGGTCGTGGAAGGTGCGGTACGAACGTCGGTATCTATCGCTCTTGCAGTGCGGTCCACACTCGAGTTAACTTTACTTCAGGTATCATGCAGCTCTGATCTTGCGCTTCCTACTTGGGTTTATCGAGGCAGCATTCTTTCCCGGAGCTGTGTTCCTTCTTTCGCGATGGTATAGTTGTTACATACCCTCCTAATTTTGTATATTGAAATCTCTTTAGGTACAAACGCAACGAACTAGGTTTACGCACGGCGCTTCTTACTTGCGGGAGCTCAGTCAGTAATGCTTTCGGTGCCCTTATAGCGTCAGGAATTTTGGCAGGCCTAGATGGTACACTAGGTTTCACAGCTTGGAGGTCTGAAGCAAGATTTGTGTTCTCCCAGAAGTAACGCAGCCTGACTCAGATGCTGCAGGTGGCTTTTCCTTGTGGAGGGCACTTTGACTATCATAGTTGCAGTGTGTGCAATCTGGATCCTACCAGACTTTCCTTCAACTCCGAGCGTCTGGCTGTCGCCTGATGAGCAAACACTGGCGAAACGACGGATGGAGGAGGACACTGCAGCCGGAAATGAGGACAAAGGCAAGCCTATAGAGGCCTTTTCCGGTCTTTCCGAGGCTCTTATGGATTGGAAAGTATGGTGGCTTGGGGTCGCACTTAGTTTCATGATCGCTTCTTTATCATTCGGCAATTTTTTCCCCACACTATCTGCTACCATGGGTTACAACGCGACTATCAGCCTCTTATTCTGCGCACCCCCGTGGATTGTTGGGACTGCGACCTCATTTTTTGTGGCCAGGTTAGTCTTTACACGACAGGCTCGAAAGTCAAATTAACGATAGATAAGGCACTCCGATGTAACTGGCGATCGCTTCTGGCATATCACTGGTCCGCTAGTCGTTGGCATCATCGGGTTTATGATCGCCATGTCTACCATGAATACGGCCGTTCGATATCTGTCACTGTACGAACCTTCTAGTCTTCGTTCTGCGATTTTACGGGCTAATGGGTTTCGTGAAGATTCTTTATGACTCAATCCTCAGTTGCCTATGTTGTCTTTTTGACTTGGGTATTGAATACCTTTTCCCAATCGCGGTCGAAACGCGCTGCAGCCATCGCATTTATCAACTCGATGGCGACGTTTGGCAACATTGGTTCATCGTGAGTTTACAGCCGCAACTCTGTACTCTCACTTACACCATCGCAGGTACTTCTGGCCATCCAGTTGGGGACCTTCATACGCGAATTCATATCTCATTTGTATCCTGACAAGCACCATGTCTATTGCGATGTGCTGGGCATTTAGAAAGCACCTTTCTCGGTGCAATGAAGCTGCTGAGGCCGAAGAGCATGCTCTAGGGTTGCCCAAAGGGTTTAGGTATCTCTTGTAGTACTCGCTGTTCGACTGGGGCTGCTGGGAAACAGTACTTGGGCGGTGCATATAGGTTCATTAAAATAAGGAAAAAAGGAAAGAGAAACCACGGCGAACATCGCAGGAGCTACAACTTGAAAACATGTATATATATAGACCTAAGTAATTACATAATCCGAAAAACCAAGTCGTGATAGTCATTAACGGAAGATGCCTGAAAAATGGCTCGTCGGACCGCTCCTCCATACACACATGACGTTGTTACGGGAACTTGTTTTGCCAAGCAAAGAAGGCGACCCCCCGGGAAAGAATCTTTTCCCGGAAAGTTGAGCTAAATATGGTATCTGCATCCGATTATGTAATTTTGGAAGTCGTATTTGAAATACTGAGTTCGGCGTCCTACTAGCTACTAAGCTCGGAACGGCTCATTCAATGAGAGTGCTACGATAGCCTGGATGTCCAGAATGGTCAATCCTACGAGAATATGTCAAATCTGCTCCCGGAGATTTCTATAACGTTGCTTCAAGTTGAATTAGTACATGCCTCGTTGTCTGTGACATCCAGGTACACAAGTTAGCGGCATGCATTCTAGTAATTTCTCAGGCCATTCTTACTTACTGTTATTCTTTATCCAGGACCATTTCATATGTCGAGCAGAACTTCTCGCGGGATCCCATACGAACGTTTGCGTGAGTCCAACAGGAATATTGTCGAACGGAGCCATTGACCCTCCAGTGAAGCATGTGAAGATGGTGTTGATACTGCACGCGAGGGCAGCCTGGACAGTGATATCGCCTCACAGAATGCCATTCACGACGAGTTTCAGGACAGACAGCGTGTGGAACAAAGTCTGCTTCGTAAAGTCGACCTCAGGATGTCCATCCTCGTCCTCATTTATATCTTAAACTATGTGAGCCGAGTCAGTACCTATTGACTTTGGCCGATAATCTAACGACTGCAGATCGATCGCAATAATGCAGCGTGGGTTTACATTTTATGCCGATCTTTGTACCATAGCTGAAGTTGCAATTCTGCTCATCACGTAACAGTGCGGCTAGATTACGCGGCTTCGAGGACGATCTTCACTTAGAAGGACAACAATTCAATACCATATTGAGTATTCTTTACGTCGGCTACACACTAATGCAGGTACCATCGTATGTGACTTGATGACTCTTCTTAATGCAATATTGACGAATACGAAGGAATATGTACTTGAACAAGATAGGGAGGCCCTCCATATATCTGCCGACATGCATGGCCATATGGGGTTTCATATCAGTTCTAACGGGTCAGTTCAGTGGCTGAGCATGAAGATGGTTGATATTGATTCAAAAACAGGAACTACGAAGGGGTGCGTTTCTAGCTTTTGGGCTACACACAAACTGAATAAATTCTGAAGCTTCCTTGGAGCTTTGTGCACTCGGTTTTTCCTGGGATTCGTCGAGGCCGCATTCTTTCCTGGTGCTTTATTTCTACTATCTAAATGGTGAGTAACTGAAACGAAAGAAAACATCTTTTCTTCGCACTGACATCGCTCAGGTACAAGCGAAGAGAGCTCGGCCAACGAACAGCAATACTAAGCTGTGGTCAGTCCCTTTCCATATAAATTTTGATGCACCCAACGTTGGTGGTATAGGTATTATGATCAGTAATGCATTCGGGTCACTCTTGGCATCAGCCATTCTGGACGGCATGGACGGAATTATGGGCTTCGCAGCGTGGAGGTGGGTGGTCTTAGTCTTTTGTCGACCTGGTATTTAGCGACACTCGTAAGATGGTTGTTTTACATCGAAGGTTCTATGACAATTTGCGTTGCAATATGCGCCATATTCATCCTTCCCGACTTCCCTACCACTACCACAACGTGTTCCTGGCTCACAACGGAAGAACAGGCTCTTGCTCAATTGCGAATGGAGGAAGATGTCGGTGAAGATGATGAAACTGAGTTTTCCAAAGGTGAGGAATCGGGTCTAAAGCAGGCATTCTCAGATTGGAAAGTCTGGTGGCTTGCACTTGCGATGGCGATCCTGAATGTCTTGCTATCATTCAACGCCTTTTTTCCAACGTTGAGTGCAACACTGGGCTACAGTCCGACTGTGTCACTGTTGCTTTGCTCCCCACCTTGGCTGTTTGCAACACGTGCAGCATTTTTGATGTCAAGGTAGACTATCTTCTGCTCCCTGTCTGAGTCCCACTGACATCATGTGGAGACATTCCGATGCAACAGGTGAACGTTTTGGTCACATTGTGGTGCCTTTACTCGTCGGGATCGCGGGGTTTATGATGGCCATGGCGACTATGAACACCGCAGTTAGATACCTCTCATTGTAATGTTTTCTTTCTTATTCCGTTCGTTGACCGACTGAAACTGTTTCGCAGATTTCTGATGGCTCAGTCTTACACGGCGTTTGTCGTGTACTGGGCATGGGCTAGCAACTCTATTCCCCATCCGACATCAAAGCGAGCCGTAGCGCTTGCATTCATTAACGCATTCTCATCGTTGGGAAATATCGTTGGGTCGTGAGTATTCAACTTCCGGGTCTTTTTACTGTTCAAAATATCTCATGCGCACTTTCGGATAAATCAGCTATGTCTGGCCAAAGTCATGGGGTCCTTCGTATTGGAACTCGTATGCTATCTGTATAGGAAGCGGTGCGCTTTGCATCATAATGTCGTGGATATTCAGGCAATACTTGATGCGATTGAATCAGGAGATCGAAGCAAAGAAGATAGAAGGAGGGTTGTCGAAGAATTTCACATATCTGCTGTGATTAATGTTATGGTGAGCAGGCTAATATCCAATGCCTTTAACTACACACCACATCGTAGTAGTCTACTTTCTTTTGTGTGTAGAAGTCGTCGTCGTCATTTAATCTTCGATCGTTGTATCAATACTTGCCTTGTTTCTTTCCTGGTGGCGGTTGGAAGTACAGTACTTGCGCGTAGAGGTCGAGAAGTCACGTGATATCCATCGTCCCGGAGAAACATCGGAATGCCCCATGCCGTGAACCAGTGTGATATATTCAGGATTAAGATGCAGGTGACCTCGATTGTCCCCATGTCGTAGGATTTATAGTTGCTCTATCATAGAGAATTAATTCCTCCGTTACTACCACCTTGACTATGAGCACCATTAGATCTTTGACACAAGATTGGTCTTTCACCCAAGTAGGCGGCGGACGTGGCACGAAGAACGGCGAATGGTTGGCGGTATCGCAGTTCCCAACCACCGTACACGTTGAGCTTCTGAAGGCAGAGCGTATTCCAGATCCAGTGTGTCCGATCATGGCAAACATCACATCGACTAACTCGACTCATCATGATTCCGCAGTTTCTAGGTCTCAATGAATGGGAGGTTCAATGTGCGCCCTGGTCTTGATTGTGTTTCAGGGGCTCACTGAGGTTCGGAACTGATAGGGGTCGGAGAGTCCGACTGGGCTTTCAAGAATACCTTTGAAGTTTCTGCGAAAGAACTTGCGGCCGTCAATGTTGACCTTGTCTTCGACGGTCTTGATACGTTCGCAAGTGTGGAATCTGTACGTTACATTAACTTTGTCACCCCACATGAAGGCAACCCGCGTGCTAACACGATACTTTGACATAGAATGGTCATAAAATCTTGGAGTCAGCACGTTTTGACCTGTCTCTGTCTCGTCCTCTGATATTTATTGCTACTCAGCACGGAAAATCAGTTTATCGCATACAGAGCACCTGTTAAACAATACTTGAAACTGGGTACCAATGAACTCGTTATAAGCTTCTCGAGTGCGTTCCTGAAGGTGAGCTAATTCAACATTTTTAAACACTTACTTCTGAACATCAGATGTTCAGGGGAGGGAAGTGGAGCAAGCCCACGGGAAGTTGCATCTTTGGAACGGCGATTCCAGTCGTTTGCATGTGCGCAAGGCACAATACAAGTAAGCATTGCTGTCGATATTAATGGAAAGGCTGTCGACGTCCACCGAAGTTATGGTTGGGACTGGGGGCCAGTCCTGATGACCATCGGCCCTTGGAAGCCTGTTACCCTTCACACATATAATGTCTACCTCACGGATGTTGACGTCAGAAGTGATGTGTCGGAGGCTCTGGACGTAGGGGTCACTGTTGACTTGACGCTGTCTGAGAAGATTCCCGGCGGGTTGGCATCTGTGGCGCTGAAAAGTGCACAGAATTCTGTGATCCTCTCGGAGAGCAATATGAAAATTGGTTCTGGGAGTGCTCGCGCTGAGTTCCGCTTCTCGCCCGGAGTGCTCGAATTATGGTATCCGGTTGGATTTGGAAAGCAACCTCTGTATACAGTCGAGGTGACTATTTCTGACTCGGTGAGAGGGATCCTTCCCTATATATTACATCATATGGCCTAACACATAGTTTCAGCAAGGAAACACTCTGGACACGAAAACTCAGAGAGTATCGTTCCGTCGTGTTCGAGTTGTCCAGGAGCCTCTTGTTGATCAGGAAGGCCTCACTTTTTTGTTCGAAGTCAACAACATCAGGATTTTTTGTGGTGGTAAACAATGCCCTTTTCTTGAGAGAATGCAAAGTGAAACTATGTCCATAGGCTCTAACTGGATTCCTGCTGACTCTTTCCTCACTACGTTAGTATGACGTTATCTTTATCAAAGCATTTTTTGACTAAATTTACTACAGCCTTACTCCGGCAAGGTACCGTGCATGGCTTCGACTTCTCGTGAATGGTAATCAGAATATGGTTCGTGTCTGGGGAGGGGGCATCTATGAACACGATGTTTTCTACGATATTTGCGATGGTGAGCACCACCATCTTAGCCCTCGCGCACTTGACTCACAACCTTCCTTCCATTAGAACTTGGAAGTAAGGCTCTGTTCAACTCGGCAGTCCGTTTTTTATACCCCATTGCAGTTCTTGTCTGGCAGGACTTTATGTTTGGCTGCGGTCAAGTGAGTCGCTGTTGTTGTTCTGTCAGTCGAGGCTCAAAGGTATTCTAGTACCCGGCATATGATTCTTTCCTGAAACTCGTCGAACTTGAGGCGGAACAAAACGTCAAGCGATTGAGACACCACCCATCTATTGTTATATTTGGTATGTAGAAACTTTCGTGAAATATTTCTCCTTCTTAACTTTTTTCACAGCCGGAAATAACGAAGATTACCAGCTTGCAGAGTCGATAAATATCGTGGATTACTCTGATGAAACTTCGGACTTCCGAAAGACCAAGTTCCCCGCTCGGCACATATATGAGCGGACACTGCCATCCATCGTCCAAAAATTCTGCAATATCCACTACCACCGCAGTTCTCCTTATAGCGCCCCGGGTACAGTGACCACAGATAAAACACTCGGGGACCTTCACCAGTGTAGGTGAACAAGTTCAGTGATATATGTTGTAATTTCAATGAATCTTCAGGGAATGTATGGCATGGGTCTCAAGAACCGTGGCACAATTGGGATTTACTCGCTGGTCGCTTCGTATCTGAATTCGGCATGTAAGCAGTTTTGGCCCTGCTGGTACCCACGATTGCTCATGCTTCGCCAGGGAGGGATACCCAAACATTCGCACAGTTGATTATTGGCTTGCTGGTGACAAGTCAGAACGATATCCTCAATCTCGGTAAGCGAATTGTACTTCACCGTACATCATGCTGAAAGTCCCCTCAGCGTCAACAACAACCATAACAAGGCCGATGGCTTCGAACGTCGGTTGGAGGTAGGATAGTATTTATTATGACATTCAGAGCCACACTACCTTCTTTCTAGCTTTACCTCGTGGAAAACTTCAAGCATGCCTTCGACATGGACAGGTTAGTAGCCGTCACCATGGGTTTAGTATGATTTAATCGACTCTTGTTTAGCTACGTGTATTACACACAAATCATGCAAGCTGAGACGCTTGCATCTGCTTACCGACTCTGGCGGAGAAACTGGCGTGGAAAGGGTCGGGAGCACACCGCTGGTGCTCTCGTGTGGCAGGTGAGTTATCGGACAAATGTCGGGTTCTCAAGTTAACAGCAACCAGATCAATGACTGCTGGCCCACCACGTCATGGGCAATTGTCGATTACTTCATGCGTCCCAAACCAGCGTATTTCGCCATTTCACGCGAACTGTGTCAGTACACAGTCGGGATGACGCGTAAGGAACAGAAGACATTTGCGAATGATTTATCAGCTGCCCAGTTCACAATTACAACAGTTCTTGAGGTCTGGGGTACAAATGGCACTCTATCAGAGAAGAAGGCCAAGCTCGAAGTCACTTGCTTCGACCTTTACTCCTCCTGGACGACGCAGTTCTCTAAGGATATTGTGCTCGCTCCCAATTCTAGCACTGAGTTATACTCGGGCGACCTTCCTGGTCAACCAGTGCGCACAAAGCAGAACGAAATTCCACGTGCTATCATTGTCTCAGCACGTCTCCTCGACGCATCTGGAACTGTCCTCGGCAGGCATTCCAATTGGTGAGTCTCGGTCACATGAGGTTTTCTGGGTTTGTGTTTCCTGACACTCTGTTATAGGCCAGAACCTTTTAAATTCATCAAATTTCCAGCCATCGAAGATCTGGGGTTTTCTGTCAAAACCAGCAGCGACGGCGAATCCGTCGAACTCTCTACTCAAAAACCTATAAAAGGAATTATTCTAGATGCTGAAGGCGAGGACGTGGAGTGGAGCGACCAGGCCATCGATCTGGTTCCAGGAGATCCCCAGATTGTGAAGGCCATTGGGTTGAAGGGTAGAGAAGCGAAGGTCCGCTTCCTTGGCGATGGCACGGCGTAGATGATAAGGCCACTTGTATTCATATCAATATACACTTACGTATAACAAGATGAGAATTAACCTACCGAATATAGGAGCAGAGCGTCTCACGGAATGGACACATTGTGGAGATATGAATATGAATTATGAACCACCAGGGAAGACATTACTAGTACTGTCGAAAACCAGGCAGAAAGACCCCAGGAAACCATTATTTTACACACTGTACAAGTCGCAACGAGACATGACCAATGTAGCGGATTATATAGAAACAGTCTAACCCGAAGGAGAAATCGGATAAGATGAAGAACTCCTAGGGAGCGGAGGGAAATACTTGTGCAAGGAAAAAACGAGTGGCTCAGGGTATGAAGGGAGACTGGGTAACCGGAGAGCATGGCAGCAAGGTGACCAGGGACGGCCGAGTCGCGTCTATCACATAATAAGACACCTGCTTGCTTCTGGCTGATCCGTTTTGCTAGATGGTGATCGTTTCTCAATCTCCGCAAGACATAGCTCGAAGACTTTGCCTGTGATAAGGCCGCGTAAAGAAGAGAACTATTGAGAAGCGCGATGATTCCTTACCGACGTTGACATTATTCTTCGCGCTAGTCTCGACCCAAGCAGCGTTGTTGAGTTTTGCAAGCTCTTCCCCTTCATTTGGAGCCACCTGTCTACTATTGGGACTGTGAGGCATGAAAATAGAGCATTGACAAAAAAAAAACACAAGTGTGGGACGGCCAAGTACAAAGAAGGATGAAGACCTACCTCGACTGTAAATCAGTTTTGGCGCCAACGATCACGCATGGGATGTCGTTTTTGCCACAAAAATCAACGATTTTGTCGTATACGATTTTGATCATATCGAAAGATCGTCTTGAGGTGACTGAGTACACGAGGACGTAGCCGTGAATACCAATTGCATGTTTAGAATTGAGAATTGAGTACTCGTCCTGTCAATGTAAATTAATCTTTAATGCGCAGCCCATCATGAGAATACACACCTGGCCAGCGGTGTCGATGATGTCACAGTCATATTCTATGCCTCTATAAGCTACACCTTTCGAAAAGGTGCTTTCGATGGTTGGATAGTATGCATCAACAAAATGGTTCTCGATGAACTGTATGACAAGAGAAGATTTGCCTGTTGCGTGAGTAGCGGGTGAGTATCATGACATGGAGAATAAATATCAACATACCAACTGAACGGGAACCTAGAACTGCGATTTTTCTCTTCCTCAGAGTGTTGGCAGCCATATTAACAAGATAGTGTATATGAAATAAACGAGAGAAGTGGAAGAGAGAGACGAAGAAGGCGGAGCACGATGGAGAGACCAAAAAATGTAAACAGTTGTGGCAATTGTGGAACTGTGACCCCAAGTTTAGCCGGAGCCGTCACAGGACTTCGTCAGCGAGCGTCGCTGGACCTTTGGTCGTAGTAAGTCTCGGAAACTCAAGTGGGTTATTCCTCCCGGTAACTGGGTGAATGTAGGTATGGGCTAGGTCTATATAAATACGAATGGGAAATAGAGGTAATTGGATTCTCCAAGGCAGGAAAAAGCAGGAACTCCTGTACTAGTACCATATCGTATAACGGGGTCTTACTCGTTCCAGCACAGAAAGTTTCGTTATGTACGGACCGTAACTTTATTCGGATTGTAATGCTACATTTTTCAGGAACACAGTCCACGAGTCATCCACGTCGAAGGTCTCGCACTCTACGCACTCGCTTCTTAACCGTCGGGCTAGCGTCACTGCTCTCACCGAAGGTCCCACATGGTTATCTCCTGGGTCTTGTGATCCGCTGGAACGGCCCGAATCTCTCGGCAACTGCATCATTTCCTACAACCATTGTCAGGCAAATGCAGATAGCAATGAGTAATTTATCTTTACAGCCTCCGCAGTGTAGCCAGTACGTGCACGCCAGCGGTTTTTTTTACCAGAGTATGATTGACATTCCTGATGACTGCCGCTCAAGGCAGATATCTTTTACCTAGGGTAAGGACAAAACCCCAGGAGAGATGCGCCGTCAAAACGTGCGATTGATTGTTTGATGGCCGTTGGGCGCGAAGATAACAGACATATTGATGACGCATGCCGTAACGCAGAAGTGCACTAATGGGCCCTGCACATTACGTTGCTAATGTCGTAGCATTATCCTTTTCAAGGGAAATAAGAATGCTGGAGAAGGCAGAGTACCAAGCTTTTAGCCAAGCATTCAGACTGTAGGTGATGATAGATGTACTATGTGAAGCCCCTCGGGAGGGAAGCATGTGCGTGCATCGGCAACCCAAACAACAGGACGTAAGAGACCTTGGGAAAATTTATATTCAGTGGCGCAGACAGGGAGACAAGCACTAAATTGAGCTAGCCACGAGTGTAAGGTTCGACAAGGACAAATGATCCATGTTCAATTACTCACCACGGTACGAGAGGAGAGGTTTCCTCTCTTGCTTGAAGATACATCACATAGAAACGGTATCCACGAGGTTCGAGGAGGCCACGAAATAAGAGATGTGACACGCAATATGGCACGTGGGAGGACGCGACATTATCAACCAACTCTCCTCCACACGATCAACAAAGCGAGTTCTACGACTTCCTGCCTAGACGAAGAATAGCCATTTGGGCTTGAGCGCCCCTAGAAGCCTGTGCACAATTATGTAGAACTTGAAATGGCCGTGGAAAGTAACGCCACACCTGCACTATGGCCAGTGAAGCCAGATGACCATCACTTGGTTGAATTTAGGAAGTATTGGACCTACGCAATCACGAACATTTGGCGGTACATCATGTGGCTAACTCGGAATTACTAGTACCGGTACAGCCTGCGAGATTTCTATGACAAAGGGTCGGAGATTGACTTGAAGTCCCGGATTTTGAGGGGAGTCCGAGGATTAATGGACTCCTCAAGGTGAGAATGGAGATTCCAAGTCACAAGATAACACGTGATAATAAGTCACGTGCAGTCACGCGTCCAGTTGATTTTCGAACGCGACCAAGTGGCTAGAGAGATTCGACTTCGACTTCAACTATCTGACACTTATTTGCTTTGTCTTTCACAAGTCCTTTCTGCTCCTACTTTGAAACCAATCATCAAAATGTCTGCCACATCTACACCTACAGACTCTCCGGTCTCTGCTCCCATTCAGCCAATGCACAATCCCTCGCAAGCCGCCCACGTCGTCGTCCCACAAGCACCTCTTGGGCATGTCGCAAACGGTGCCAATAATGCTATACCTGGAATGGGCATGAAAGCCCTCCTGGCAAAAAAGCTGGCGAAGAGCAAGTGGGTTCACGAACGTGTAGATCAGTGGCAGATGTTAACCTTATTCACGCGTTCTTTCCAGCAATCCCAAGTTTGTCTCACCGACGGACAACCTGATGACACCCGTCACACAGAAGCTGAATGCTGCGAAGCAGAAACACTTCACTAAGTACGTATTGCCTATCCCCGTGGACCTTTGTACTCCGTCCTGACGCAATCTGTGATGCAGGGGCGCGAAACCCATGGGTCCTCTCTTCCCACCTAAAGAGTCACATTCATCAGAGCAGGAAGATCACAGTCAAAGCGACACAGAACCTACAAAAGATACATTTTCAGAAGTACTGATGGAAGACGAGAATCCCTTTTAAGACAGAACGCAGTTGACCCAGTCGGGCATCTCCATGATATTCTTCACGTCGTTTGTTGTATTACGCTCTTGTTTGTGTCGCTAAATCTTGCTTGCCTGTGTAGAGTCTAGTGGTGTTGTAGGAGGTTGTAGTATGTTCCCACGCTTTGCTGTAGTGTTACGCGTCGCGGCTAGTATGTATGCCTTATTATACGGATACATTGATTGCATTCGTTTCCCATCTCCCTTCTAGTTGTGAACGAGATCATCATGGAGCGTCCTCAGTCTTCTATGGATGTCACGGCTACGGGTTTGCGTGCGGCGGCCTTCATAAGGATATCTAACCTCAAACGGATACAAGAACTCATTACAAGTCTCCCTAAGATATCAGAAACCGAGCTTAAAGACCTGGGACATTCTGGCAAGTTCATTCATGCGTCTGACATGCGTTCTCAAACTAGACAGGTATTAACAGAGTCTGTTTGCCCCATATGCTTTAATACGTTCTTGGCCGTCCTGGCTGAAGAGGAAATGGCGCTCGTAATGGACTCCCCTGCGCACCCGGTAGAGGAACTGGGAGTGACCAGGCTCCACGAAACATGCGGGCATATATTCTGTCGAAGAGAGTTGAGTAGACATTCTCCATTCGAATGACGTTACTGACAAGCGAGATTAGTATCACGAAGTGGATACAAGACGGTGTGAGTTAAAAGCTTGTATTACATGACAGCTTTCATTTACGCCACCTCCCAGCGCGAGTCTTGCCCCACTTGTCGCAGGGCTTTTTTCGCGAACACGGCTAATAGTGACCAGCGTGAGACGGATCAGTCTTCTCTGCCAGAAGATTTTACCGAATGGATTGTCGAGAGCTTAATGGTTGCCAGAGAGTCTGACGGCGCAGGCTCACTGCCCATTCTGAGCGTACCCTCGATGGCGATAGGTGGACATCCATTTGCCCAGCAACGGGAAAGTCGAGACGAATTTTCTGGGATGTACTCGTAGCTTTATATTACATACATGTCCTGCTCAAATTGAGACCCTTGATTATTGAATATTGAATAACCATCCATCTACTACTCTTTTTGGCAGACAGGCTAATTTAATAAAAACGAGTGAGGCATCAGCCTGAGTAGTGTAAGATGATACTCATGAAGTTCAGATTGTCCAGCTGCATAATACGGAGAGGGATACGAAAGGAGAGTAGATAGCGGTTTTCATCAAGTCCATGCACAAACTAAATTCTGTTTACCCAACACGAAAAAGAGAGAACCTGATACACAGTTCAATTCCTCCTGCAGCATCTGAAAAGATTGCGTTTGAACCAGTAGAGCAAGCACTGAAACAATGTGAGTGACTTTGCGACAAAAATACAGCTAGAATAACTGACCCCAATAAACCGCACAGCAGCAAGAGCAAACGTGGAGTACAGGATGACAGAAAAATAAATGTTTTGCTTTGTCTGAAGCTCCGCCGCGTCCTGTACTGCATCTTGAGCAGTCGCGAGACCGTTGATGTTCTCAATGGCAACCGCCAGTCCAGCGTTCGTGAGCATCCAGAAGGCAACAAGACGCGTACGGAACGTCTTGTTTTGATCATCCATCGTCGGCTTCTCAACGACTTCCTTGACATCAATCTTGGTCACCGCGCGAGTAACGGTCTCTTTGAAGGCAGCATCCACATCTTCTTGGATGCGTTGCGTATCTTCGACAACAGGAGCGTCCGCGTCTTTGGTCTTAGACGACGAGACTGATGGTAGAGCTTCTGCCTTGTCACTGCCCTTTGTACCCCAGGAGACCTGAAACCATTCTTGTCAATCAAAGCCGGGTTCTAAAAAATAAAGCGCGACGCACATCGTGCAAGTTACAGAATGCATAAACGTTAAGTACATTCGTGAAACTTGGAGCCAAGCACAGATATTGGAAGAAACTGGAGAAGATGTGCCAAGGATCCCGCTGAAACACGGGATGAGACAGTGCCATCTCGAACAGATAAAACTCACATAGAGGAACGATGCAGTGAGGTAGATGCCTATCTCGTGAATGAGCAAAGGAATCACGAGAAAACATGAGGCACAACATACCGAAAGTGGAGATCATCGCGGCAATCAAAGGACCAACAGGGGGCGTGAAGAAAGTAACAACGACTTCAGATACCGTCTTACTCTTCAGTTGGCTGGGAATGGACTACCAGAAAAGTGCATCGTCAGGACACTCTACGCAAGGACCCAAGAACAGTGAAACTCACAGAGAATGCCTTGCCGGTTAACCAGAACGAACACACGAGAAGGTAAACAGCCAAGAAGGCGTAGACCCTGCACACAAGTCAGCTTAAATCGAATAAAAACTGACTTGAAACAAACCATAGTGTGACTGCATATGCCGTCCGTTCACCCTTTGGTCTGTTACCAAGAGCTAGCACAAACTGCATCGCGAGGAAGGCAAGGTAAATCCATTTGAAACACAAGTTTACCCAGTGCGTCTGCGAGCCCAAGCTTAGTGTCAATCTTTCAAGAGCAACGATTGTGTACACACGACGTCTGCAGTGCCGAAAATAATGATGTTTTGCGAGGGAAGCAAGTCAATGATGATACTAAACGTTAACCAAATGTTCGCCAACGCAAACCACGAGAACACCAATGAGAAGATGTTGTACTGTCACTTCAGTGAGTAACAGAATACAGACCAGAAATGACAAGACGTACAAGAGCTTGAACGTGGAAGAAGAACATGCGAATGATACCATGACCAGAGCGGTATAGTTGGAAGAAATTGACCAGAGCGTACTGGCAAGAAATAATCAGACATATTTGTATTCAACGTCCTGGTCGATACTCACAACTGAAGCAGCGAATGAACCATTCAACCACCGACGACGTTGGCCAATCAACTCGACGGCAGATTCTGGCACATCTGTCTCGGCTTTTGAAGGTTTAACATACGTCAACGTCCACCTATCACCAGCCTTGGCAACGAGCTCGAAACACAAGATACGATCCTCAGCCAAGAACATATTCTTTGTAAAGATGTTCATGCCGTAGATACCCTTGGGACCAAGACGGTCAGCCAACGAATGGTCACCGTGGAAATATTGCTCTAGTGGCCGACCCAAGATCGCACGGAAACGGTACGCAGAGAAAGCACCAGGAAGCACTGATACATAGCCGAAACTACTTTCAAGTGGCTTGTCTGTCATGCAATAAGATAACAGTATGCAAGATCTGGACCCATGACATACCAAGAATGTTGGACATTTTGTACTCGAAGTTTTGGGCAGCGACCAGAGGGTTGAGGAGCTTCCTGCCACCCTCAATCATGGCGTGAATTTCACCACAACACCCACCAAGATGGGCATCGTTGTAGAATGCCTCCCAAAGATAATAGATGGATTTGTGTCCAGGTTTGGTACCAGCGTCGATGAGCACGCAAACTTGAGGCTAAAAAAGTTCCAATTAAACGAACGTGTGCTTGCAATTCGCCTCACCTCCAAAATTTTACCAATGGCATTGAACAACCACCGATGTGAATTGATCTTCTTCTGATTCTTAGCCTTGAGGACGAAAATTATCTGTACGGGTACTAAATTGTTGGGATCGTTCTCATGAGGAAGCACAAGCTGGGGCTTGGCATCAACCGACAACTGAGTGGTATACTGGAGGCAAGATATGAGCGATATAGCTAATGACAATTGAATGATTGGTACAAACCTCAAATATATGTGCGACAGTGTCTTTACCGTCGACTTGTTTCTTCATGACACCATCTTGGTAGACACCGACGGTGGCCAGGATATCCAACACGCTCTTGTCCATGGGCTCGAGTCCATCGACAATAAGGGCAACTGTGATTCTTTGCCAACCAGGCAGGCCTTCTTCAGCCGCTCGCCGCCAGTACTTTGACTGTTTGGTCTTGCAAATGTCGCGAATGTTCACCATGACACCATGGAGTGTTCTCGCATACAATGTTTTGTCTTCGTTATAGGATGTGACAGCGATGAGAAGGTCGGTTTGCCGACCATAGATCTTGGTTCTCAAAGACCAGCCATTGGCCTCTGAGAAATCGTCGGGGTCACACGTTGCTGCGCTGTACCGCATGTGGCTAGGAGACGTCCGCGTGAGTTCGATTCAGTTTCATATTGACTTGCGAAGTAACTTACGAGAATTCAGTGGTATTCGTGGCGGCATATTTTGCCTCGATGGCACTATGCACTGGCGTTGGAACCGGGTATTCCGCAATGAAGTTACCCTTTGTGAGCTTGACTTTGCGGGTCACACCACGTTTAATGGTCTGACGGCGCCTCCAAGCAGTGTCTACACCATTTGTCGAGGATGGCGTAGTAGACAAAGGGCGCGCGTACGGGTCCCCATAGGCTGAAGGGTCGACTGGTCTATATAGATGAAATATAATTTGTGAGTGAAATTTTAATGATTCATGAAGAAAAGAAGTTCAAAGAAGCGCCGAAATAATCAAGATATTAATTCAACTTACCCTGGTGGATAAAAGCCGCCAGGATTATAGCTATCGCCTCCCGTGAGCGGAAGCTTTTCAGCATAGTCTTCGTCTACATAATTGGCGCCAAACTCGCGGGGTAAGGTCGTGGTACTCTCGAAGGGCGAGCCAGACGCGCTATCATAAACACGAGGTGCAGGCTCCTGGAAGTGGGTCTGGCGTGGTCGATCTGCAAATGGGTCGGCGGATAATTGTTCATTACGGGGCCTCGGGGACGTCATACTGTATCACACCAGGTGAATTTCGCTGTCAACAAGAGCTAGAGGATGCCTTGGACGATGCCCAGATAGTTGAAGGGGCAGAATGGAGAGAGACAAGGGTTGTGAACGAACACAAGGCAGCAACGGTTTTGTACAGTCAAAAAGGGAAATGCAGGCGATGATATACACAGCTTCTTTGGACCCCAAACACCCCTTCCCTCCAACATCTCCGTCAGCCTCAGGCACTCCAGTACTTCAACTCCACAATGCCTACACCCAACTATCGACCATAATAAATCCCGCTAGCTATAAGATCTTAGAGCCAGATAATTCCAAACACTTGCTAAAATTTATTGGTTTATTTTTATACTTGATGGTGGTTGCTGAGAGCTGAGCATCAGAGAGGTGTCCAGGGTCCTTCCCACACACGCGGGCGCAAGCCCAGCGCTCAGCGGGCATAGCTCAGCTGCTGAGCATGCCCATACTAGGGTCAATCTTGCCACTGCGGCCAGGACTTCTAATCCTAGTTTTGATGCTATCCACCTGCAGAAAATTTGGCCGATACCTTTGAATATTTATCCACTTCGTGAAAACTTTCAGGGTTGCAACACTACAGCTGATGCCCGGTCACTGTTGCAACAGCTGCGCATTCAAAAATGTTGTCACACCCGTGACAATAATAGCCGTTCAATTCACAAAGTCCCGTACTGGACCCGAACAAACAGCATAGCAGTGAACCGCCTGGGTGTGATACGCCCTTGAGAGAATAATACACAGGACCTCCCTGTATCCTATCAGGAAACCGATGAGTCCTTGAGGGTGCGTTACGTTGGCTGCAGGGCCTCGACGTCGTGATATATGACTTTATATTGCTTTTGGCGACGAGGCATTCTGCATATAAGTATCGCCAACCCCCCGTGACAGGGGTCCGGCTCATCGGAGAATTATCAAACCCGTGTGAATCTCTGAAGTTGTAACTTTCAAGTACCTCTCCGACAGTCCATACTTCGATCATCCCCCTAGCGGTTCGGAAGCTTGGTCACAGTCTGCAGTGCTACAGCCGCACCTAACCCATTTATTAATTCCAATCTTGATGTATTTTACCCGCTGAAATTATCAGGACACGTGGTTCGAGGACATGATTAACCACCAGGTGAAGACCAGGGTTAACTTTAGCACGCCAGGAGCTCGAAATATCGTACGCAAAGTACTTGCCTCAGCTTCTCATCGTGAACTTGGGCTCAAAATGCATGAGATCTACGAAAGAGTACACGCGGGGTTCCCAGATGTAACTACAGACATACCACCAGGGAAACCGATCCCTACTGGCTCTCGCAACCACGGAGGCAGGATTAAACCCGCTAAAGCTTGCCTCTCCCACCTAAACTAGATCATGCAATTCGTTCAGTAAAGTGAGTATGTCCTTTGCATCTTAACAAAAAGTTGATCAAGAACACAGATACCTGAAGAAGACAGTCTTGGAGGAAATGGCAGCGGCACGGGAAACCGAGAAGGTACACATAAAACGAGGACAACTTCATGAAGACGGTACTCGCGATCTATCTATCGTGTCTAAGGCATATGGCAAGACAGAAATTACGAGTGACTTAAATATGCCGATGTCCAATGTCTAGCACTGGAGGTTGACACCGGACTACGACGAGACCAAGATATATAACTACCCCAAACCTCCAATACAAAAAATCCTTTGGAAACCGGGAGAGAAAGAAGCTAGAAGGAGGGCTTGCGGGCCCGGGAGTGTAGATTCTGTGATTCTACAACAGACCAAAAAAATACGAAAACCCGATGGAGAAGACTGAAAAGTTGGATGTGCTGAAGGGGATAGAAGCTGACAATGATGTAGTTTTACAACAGACCAAGAATAGTGAAGAGCCAATAGAGGTGACTGGAAAGCTGGACGTGCCGGAGGGGACCAAAGCTGATAACGATATAGCGAAAAGAGTCAAGGCTCCCGCATTCGGCCTCTAGCAGCAATTTTTGCCCAGCACGAACCACTTTGAGCCTGTATTTGTTCATCGTGCGTCGTGTCTAATTGCCGATGCAGACCGAACTGACGTGTGCACCATAGTCCAGGCCTGTCATACGCCTGAGCGTCGTAAGGCTTCATATGGCCCTGGGTCCCTTGACCCATCGTGCATGTAGGGTTTCAGCAGCCTATCACGGGGAAGATCTGATCGCATGATTCTCACTTCGCCCACACATACCAAAATCGTACATTCCACAGTGGCAAATATTAATTCCTTTGGATTAATCGAACATCTGTTCTCATTGCACGTCTGTACATTACTTAGTCCCTGATCCATACACAGCTAGACAGCGTTCTTCAAAGGCTTGCACCATCAGCATAGACACATTTCCAAAAAACTTGGAAGAGAGAGCAGAGTACAGCGGATTTTCAAATGCGAAAGCGATATCCAGTGTGACAAGAGTGGGTCCGGCGTCAGGAGAATGGCTATCCACGGGTACGGAGTTCTTGGCATCACCGTGGAGCAGTAGACCACTTGAAGGGTGAGGGGATATTGATGAAGCTGGTTGGAAGCGCCATGTTGTTTGGAGGGTTTTGAAGAGAGGGGTTGAACTCGATGCTTCGGCCTATAATTTCAAGAAATGATGACTGTGCACTCCACCAGAATGACGAGACAAACTGACCTGGACGGATTCATAAGGCCGACATGTCATCCTGCTAATATAACTCTCCTTGAATGCCAAGAAACTGACCATTAACTCCGCGTCCATCGTGACCACACCATCCTGGCCCACACGTCGTTCCAATATTCTTGAGCCAGTGCAATATGGCACAAAACTGGAATATGAGCCAACATCTGCAACTAAGTTGTACAAATCCATGCGTCCGTAACTTGGGGCACCAATCAGTTCCAACGAATGTGGATATGATCGTCAGGAACATACGGAAAAATCTTGCGTTCGTGGTAAGTCTGTGTTGCTGGCGGTTCATCAGGGTCAGGTGATGTCGATGAGGGCGAGAAAGGCGAGAAGTTCGGGAGGGTGAAGAAGCCTCTCTGATGAGAGGCCCTGCGAGCAGTAACGCATAAACATTGCTGTCGCAAGAGTCGCAGCATCAAAGTTGTTTATTATTATGTAAGTGAAGAAATGTTCTAAACAATGATCAGTAGCGTAGTCAGCCAATTTAACACCATTCATCGTTCAATGATCGGTGCGCGTTAACGATGCTCGATGATCCCAGTGACTTGCAATTGGAGAATTGACAAAAAAGAGGTCGGTACATGTAGATATAGATCGAAAAACATAAGAATTATCGGTGACTTTCGACGTCTTTAGAAAAAAAAGGCACTTTTCGAGACGGAGAAACATAGAGGTCGAGAAGAATGTTTGGTCTTTGATAGGTTTTCGTTCGGTTTAGCTGAATATATGTGCTCAGAAATCTCTCCATCTGGCCCAGAAAACGGTATCGATACAGACCCATAGTATCGAATGAGCTATTGATGGGTATCGCTGTGAATTTTTGATATCATGATGAGGATATAGTAGGCCATCCGAGGGTCCTCGTCCTGCCTGCCGTACCACCTCTCGCATCTTCGTTTCCACCTAGGACTGCGCCGGGGTCCCGCTCTTAGTCGTTAACGTCGGTGCCATCGCCGGCTTGCACCATCGAAGAAGAACCCAGCTAAAAGACCCTAGTAAGTAGCACTCATAGAACAAGTATAATCATACTCACCTGCGCCGCGGCCTTTTTCCTATATTCCTAGTGTACTGTTTCAGTGATGTATCTTCAGAGTGAACGCAAAGTGCTGGCCTTCTTGATGCTAGCTGACATGTTGTTCCAATAGAGGGTAAATACACTTGTTGGCTTGCGCTGGTGAACACGAGACAGTGAACATGTCATCGGGAGTGATAGGTAGACCACCAGACGAGAGATTAGTCGGTGCTAACCGCGGACGCACGACTTGAAAGGTAACAACCGGATATTACAAGTAGTCCTTCTTTCGAGAAGGTTAGAGCAATCTTCACGGCAAGAAAAAGGACTATACCTGTTGCGAAAGCGTGACTTCACGCGCGTATTGAAAAGTAGATAGAAGTGAGTTCCCTCATCACAAAGTTTCGGGCATCTTGGCAACTACAGTCTTCATGTTTGGAATACCATCGACTTCACCAAGATCAACATTTCGAAACTCTGAATCGCTACGAAGGTATCCGAGAAGGCGAAATGGCGAGGCTGTGATGCAGCAAATTGGTACCAGAGTAAGAGCAAGAGAGGGCCGGAGAGATTAGGCGAGAAATCGAAGAGAAGCGACAATACATGTGCATGATCCGGAAAAGAAACAGAAGGACTTGAGGTGAAGTGATATTTACCAGTCTGTGAGTCTTGTTTTCGATCACAAGGGAATGATTGTATCGAGCCGGGGTTCAAGTTGCGGCGCATGGTAGGCTGACAAAAAGATATGCGTGATTCAGCGCTAGTACTAATGCAGTGACTCCACATGCGTGGGGTACAACGCGTGCATACATGTAAAGTTTGTCAAACAATTGTTGCGGAGTACGTCGTGCATTTTTTGAACTTTGCGAAGTTCTTTGTATTGTGCATGAAACCCAATTTGTACTTAGACATCTATTGCTACCTATCTACTTCTTTATTGACGATTTTCACTAGGATCGATGATCGATGAAACTATCAGTAAACAGCCTCTCTCTGAGATGGAAGTTTGGTGCCGTAACATTGGGTGCCACACCTGCCTCATGATGGTTTCTCAGATCTTCCGAGCAACTGACGACCACTTGGGCAGCGGGTACACCAGTCATGCGGCACAATGATGATGGTGATCGAGAACGGGGGCGGGATACCCCAGATGAACCGTCACCCTTCGGAGCACCACGGGTCGATGTATCAGAATAGAAAAAAGGTGCAAAAGGAATGGCATAGGTCAACGCCAAATCCCAAAAGGTAATTGCTGATCACCCGTGAACCACAACGAGTTGTCATACGTTGAGCTCATTGTAATACGAAAATGATGCATGCGTGTTCTTCGCAACACTGCCTTCGGAGTATGACATGCCGTACCGAGCGAGCTGCTCCCACAGATCCTCGGGCTGCACGTAAGTGAACGAGAATTCAAAGTTCAGATCAGCAAGGTCAAACCCCGGGATATTGGTAACCCCGTATTCCTGTGCAACAGCGATCAGAACGTGGATCAGTGCTTCTGAACTGATAACAGAGCGTCACACTTCCATTGTCTAGAAAGGTTCAACTGATCATCTTTAGAGTTAGATAGAGGTAACATCTGACAAGCGGGATCGTCAACAGGATAGATTATGCATACCTTGCTCCCCTAGTCAACGCCGGGGTCCGAGTCGGTGCTGCGAAACTGACAACTGGTAGCCGTCGCATTGGAAAGAAACTAGCTATTCAAGAACTTTCGCGCTGATCTTAACTTGTGCTCATGCAGATCAAGAAGTCATATCCTGAAGATTGCGGAGATCAAAAAATGTCGAGATAAGTTAACTGCAAAATAAACATCGCACACGTATACGGAAGAGGGAGTAGACGATCTCTTAATACCTTCAAGAATTGCACAACGAGACAATTCATGTTGCAAACAACTCGGCATTCTCTGGGCAGTCTCTTGCGATCTTCAGGGGAACATATCAAGTACTGAAAAAAGCATGAAAAAAGACAGATAAGACGCACATGCCCCTCTTGTGAGCACTTGTAACAAGTCTTGCTTTTAGTCACCCCAGATGTTCCATCGGCCAAAGTCGAGCCCGGAGCAGCGAGACAGTCCCTAAGCATTTTTAGTGTCGATTCGCAATAAATGTGAGACTCTTCACCTCGCCATATGATTGGGTCCTCCACATCGGTAGCATTTCACCGGAGGAAGTGTAGATGTGTTCAGAGCACGTCCCGGGGGAGGTGCACGAGAAGCGAACCCGACCCCGGTCCCGGCCCCTGACACTCCAGTAGCCCCACTCGGACAAACGCGAGCAATGTGTCCAAACCGACCGCAGTTCTGATATGTGGTAGGTTCAACAGGGCATCAGGCAACAGACAAGCTGTAAACGTACGTAGCACTTTTGATTACCACTTTGAACTCTGAGATTGGGACATTCTGCCTGAATATGACCAACACCACCACAGGAGTAACACTGCTTTGCAGCGACAGTGCGAGGCGACGGACAAGCTGAGGACTCATGACCAGGTTGACGACAATTGTAACAGAGGCGCTGCTCAGAAGAGCAATTTTCAGCAATGTGACCTACTGGAATAACATTAGATTGTACGAAAGATGAACGATGACGCAGGAAGAACTTGCAGTTTCCGCACTTGAAACATCCCTTCCTGGAAAACTGATACGCCATATCTACAGTCTCAGATCCTTCTGAACAGAATCGTAGAATAAGATTAGATTTTTGAAGAGAGCAAATGTATTCGCACCTCGACACTTCCCTCTTCCAGCGAACCACTAAACTTCTCTTCCCACCTTACTTTGACGAGGACGAGGGTGACGATGAGGAACTGGTTCAATAGCGTTAGACGTCAATTTCGTAACTTAAATTTACAACCTGCCCTGAAGCAGTTAGTAAACCCCATTGGACCCTGTGGCGCAACCTAACCTCGAATACTTAATCCGCTAAATTTCAGACTCTTCGAGGCCTTGTAATTGCGAATGGCTTCTCTCGTCTCCGAGTCACCTGCTTCCTAATGGGCCATCATCAGATGGCGACACGTTCAGTACGGCACGATCGCCTCTTAAAATGAACCGTTGAGGTTGATTGTCCCGTTCTTGTCAGTAGGTCAAACTGAATCCTGATTGGATCGATCCGGGGTGCTCATCCTTGCGGGACAGTACCCCAAATCAACCAGAATTCTGGCCATTTATTGAGTAAACTCCCAAATATGCGATCTGGCCTATCTTGGCGGGCACACATGTTTTGAAACATTCACGCCCATCTTATCGATAGCAACAAATGCCTCCCTCATGTTGTTGCCCTGTCTCTTGAGATCTAGGGTTGCATGTGCAACCGGCTCTTATAAAAGCATGGGTGCGCAAAGCTGTTTTCTTCTTAGGACCCACAGTTCTCACCTGACGGATAGTCAACATTAAGGTCGGTAATGCCGTACACTCTACGATCTTATCATATTGACAACTCCACCTGGTACTATATGTAGTCCTGACCTTCCAGCGGGTAGCCGACCTTCGCGCGCTCGCGCATCGCGCTTCTTGTATGGGCGCTGAGGGATATCCGTTCAGGTAGACTTTCGCTTAGCTTAACGGTGTTTGGTGTTCCTAGACTAACAATCCGCGCAGAATCTTCCTTCTTTTCTGACACCCCTCCCCGCCCCCACAAGAAACGGCGTATCGAGCGACCTAAGCACGGTTCAGCGTATGGGAGGGGGATCAATGATGACGTTCCCAGGTTTCATGCCGCAATCCCGTTTTCATACATCAGAAATGCCAAGTCTATGCTTTATGCTTTATGCCTATGCCTTGATTCATACGGACACGCACATAATTAGCTGCCTACATTTTACAGTCGGGTTGACCACGTTCAACTTTACACACGCACTGGGCCACTGGTACAAAGCCTACGTATCTTGTGTTTTGGTACCTTTGACGTAAATTTGTAAAAGCACACGTGAACGTGAGACTGAGCACGCTTAAAGACACTCAAGTTGCGCAACTGCACTTGAGCTGAAGTATATAAGAACTTCGTTGTGTAGCAAGTCACTGGTAATTTGTCTGACATCGTGACCAGCGGTCGCTGGCCTCGCTGCGACCCTCGATCAACTGTTTTCCTTAGGCTGTCCTATCGGTCTACTAATAGCTATGCAGGGGACTACTAAACTGTGACCACTGCCGCAGACACACAAGAGGGCCTACCACTGCAGTTGACTGCCAGCCGATATGTTCTGACCTGTCCTCACTGCCCATAGATGAACCATAGGCGCTGGTCCACGTTTGCGGCAGCGATGTCGCGACAAGCGTGTCTGGTCGGCTTTTCGGCGCTGTACACCGTGGCACTCTCTGAGAGTTTGAGAGTTATTCCGAACTCCAACCCGTCCTCCCGTGACTGTGCCTATTTATTGTGGGTTATTTCTTGTCTGGAATCTAGTGGACGGAACGAACGGAACGGAACGAACAGACGAAACCAGGTATAGGTAGCAATATGATTAATACCAGCCTAGGGCATATCCATTGTCAAACTTGCTCACACTTTATCGAACCGTACGGTGGACAAGCCAGACATTTCTAATCGGGACTCCGTGACACCGGAAGGTATTGTAATAGGCAAGTCAAGGTAAAGTGCCTCATGCACATGTGGGAGTATTGCTTACTACTACACTACAACTCTCACTTAAGTACTATAGATGGCTATCGTCCCAATGCTAGGCTTATCGCAACCCTGACAGTCGAAGGAGACTCGTCCTCACTTTAGACCACACCAGCCCTACACTGACTGTCATCCTGCCATCATGAGTGTCGAGAAGCGCACACAGTCTATTGATCTCTCTCACCACCTTTCCGAGTTATCAAAAGCTAGGGCAACCTCTCCATTGAAGGGGCTCATGAAGTACTTCGAACAGCCAGGAATTTTGTCCCTCGCAGGAGGTTTGCACTTCTCGTCTGTTAATTTGAATACATCTAATTTGACTTGGCAGGCCTGCCTAGTCCTGCGTATTTCCCCATCTCTGACATTTCTGCAAATGTTTTGGTACCAGAATCATTTGCTCTCACTCCGACCGAGTCGTCCACCTCTTTGTCATGGCTATGGAAATTATTTGGTAGCCAAAATACAACCAAGGAGAGGACTCAGGCTGTCACCATTCCTAAGTACCCTGCCGTTAAAGGGGATATCAACCTAGCCGACTCTCTTCAATACGGCGCAGCAGTCGCACAGGCACAGTTACAAGATTTCTTGAAACAGTTCATTTCTGAGGTCTATCGTCCAGCTTTTGGGGACTGGACCGTCCTTATCGACACTGGTAATACAGATGGGTGCGCCAATTCAGTTATGTTACAATATTTGTTGTGACAATGGTCATCTAGGTGGTCAAGAGCCGTTATGACGCTATGCAACCCCGGTGAGGGCGTACTTTGTGAAGAGTGGACTTATCCCTCCGCCATGGCATCAATGATCCCTTTCAATATCCAGCCTGTACCTGTGGCCATGGATGGATTAGGCATGAGGAGCGATGACCTCGAGAATTTGCTGTCGCGATGGGATCCACTTTCACGTCAAATGCCAAGGTAAGATGTTTTATAAATGCAGAATTCCGCCCGTATCTGATCCTCCCCTAGGCCACATGTTATGTATATTGTGCCTGTCGGACAGAACCCGAGTGGTTCGGTAAGCATACTTTTGCAGCTCATCTAGGAATGCATTCTCAATATTGATGCATGCAGACGATGAGCATCGCTCGCAAGAAGCAGATTTATGACATCTGTGTCAAATACGGTCAGCATACCTTTAGAGAGAAATCAGCTCAATCCGCTAGCTAAATGAACTGAGCGATTAGACGTGATAATCGTCGAAGACGATCCATATTATTTTCTTCAACTGGGCACGTACACATTAAAAGAAGACAGGTCCCCTAGTGCGATGCCTTCTGGAAAACCGTCAGCCGACGAATCTAAGCGATATGTCTCCACTCTGACCCCTAGCTTTTTAAAGTACGAGCCCTTCAATTTTTATGTTATTCTGTCTGACAGTTCGGTTTAGTTTTGACTACGAGGGACGCGTGATCCGTCTCGATACCTTCTCAAAGGTAAGGCATGGAACCTACATTTATACTCCCATCAGGTTGAACGTCCTTTTGGCAGACCATTGCTCCTGGTAGTCGACTGGGATGGTTCACGTGCAATCCTGTCTTTGCAGAGAGGTTAGAGAGACAAGGAGAGACATCAACTCAGTCCCCGTGCGGCTTTGGACAGGTATTCATGATGGTGCATCGTCAAGTGATTGTAGTTAACATTGATTTTACAGGCCGTTATAACGAAGATCTTGACGCATTGGACCTATGATGGTTACATCCGCTGGCTCAGGGGTATGTGACTGCGTCCACCTATTCGAATCATCTGAATGTCACAATTTCATCAGGTTTGCGAACAGAATATCAGCAACGCCGCGATTTCTTTATTGATTGCCTCGCGGAGGAGTTCCATTTACATGCAGTTCCTGCAGTTGCAGGCGTTTGGGAAGGCTGCATCATGTACCAGGCATCATCCAAAGTCAAGAAGAGCACTGGTATGACCGAGAAATACTCGGCCCGGAATCGTACGATGTTTAGCTTCGTTCCCCCAGTTGCGGGAATGTTCGTATGGGTAGGTTGGCGCTCAACCTGTTTGCTTGCATGTTGCGTCCATTCTAAGCTTATATCAGATGAGACTTCATCTCGACCAACATCCCTCATTCGCACCAGGAGATAGAGATACCTTGGAAACAAAGTTATGGACGAAGTTAGGAGAGAATGGTGTGTTATTTGGGCCTGGATGGATGTTCGCAGCCAATGCGATGGCCGAGGACCCTGACGACAACGACTCTGGCCATTTCCGCATCAGTTTCAGCAATGTCGAGGTAAGTCTCGAATCTAATGCAACCGAGCACTTTGATAACGACCTGGTTCCTGAAGTTTGCCGAGCTCAAGAAAGCGGTCACTATCTTTGGACGAGTTATTCGAGAGTTCTTCCAAGAGGATTTGTAGCCGCTGTTTTAGCAGTGGTGACTTATTTATCTTATGAGTTCCAGACTTTATGCACTTTCTGTAAACGTCGCGTGATAAAGCGTGACTATAGACTCAGAGCTGATAGGAAGACTATGTACACAATTCAGTGGAAAATGGAGGTGAAGGCATTGTAGGAAGCTATCTACTTCACAATGCCTTCTTTATAGAATTCTTATAAATGTTGCGATGAAGATGAGTGATTTGTACATGCTAGAGCATTCAATGTCCTGAAAATCTAAGACAGTATTACCCATCTGTGCACTGTGTCAAATGCACCAATGCCGCATGAGTAGTCAACTTTTCAACTCTCTGAAAGCATTTGATTTGGCTTACATGACAGTAACCGAACGAGCTCTATAGTAGCAATACACGTGCATATTCCCAGACTTTCAAGTCCAGCCCCGCACTTCGGACTGTTATTATCCTGCCATCATGAGCCTGAGTGTCGAGAAGCGCACAGTCTATTGATCTCTCTGACTACCTATCTGAGCTATCAAAGGCTAGGACAACCTCTACTGAAGGGGCTCATAAAGTACTTCATGCAGCCAGGAACTGCGTCCCTCGCAGGAGGTTTGCACTCCTCGTCTCTTAATTTGAATATATCTAACTTGACTCGACAGGCATACCTAGTCCTGCGCATCTCCCCGTGTGTCATTCATGCAAATATGGTTGAACGTTCATTTGGCAGACCATTGCTCCTGGTAGTTGACTAGGATGGTGCACGTGCAGTCTTCGCAGAGAGGTTAGAGAGACAAGGAGAGACATCAACTCAGGCCCTGTGTGGCTTTGTATGGTATATGTGGCGAAACTTCGTCCAGTAATTGTATTTGACATTCATTTTACAGGTCGTTATATTGAATGATGGTCGCATCCTCTGGCTCAGGGGTGCGAATAGAGTATCAGCAACGTCACAATTTCTTTATTGATTGCCTCGCGGAGGAGGTCCATTTGCATGCAGTTCCCGCAGTTGCAGGCGTCTGGGAAGGCCGCACCGTGTACCAGGCATCATCCAAAGTCAAGAAGAGCGCCGGTATCAAGAAATACTCAGCCCGGAATCATACCATGTTTAGCTTCATTTCCCCAGGTGCGGGAATGTACTTATGGGTAGGCGGTGCTCAACCCGTTTGCTCTTCCATTCTAAGCTTATATCAGATGAAATTTCATCTCAATCAACTTGATCCCTCATTCGCACCAGGAGATGAAGATACCTTGGACACAAAGTTATGGATAAAGTTACCAGAGAACGGAGTGTTGTCTAGGCCAGGTTGGATGTTCACGGCCAATGCGATGATCAAAAACTCCCATAGCACTGATTCTTCGAGTTCGCATGATTCATCCGAGAGTTCTTTCAAGAGAAGGACTTGTTTTGGATACAGGTCAGCTGCTCGGCGTAAGCAACGACCACCATATGGACCAAGAGACCCTGACTTGAATGCCACGATCCTTTTACTCTCTGCAAATTAGAAGTACAGCCATCCGTGATCATGCAATGATGAACCGATCGCTTCCAAATCTGCATCACGTTAGTCTGAGAGTAGCCGTCGTCATGGACCATGACTTGTCTGGGTATTTCTCTGTTTCCATGGATTCCCACCTATTGTTGAACTCAACGAGGGTTGTCTCAATTTGACCGTTCATTGATGGCATTTGCATTTCAAAGTTGCTACACCTTCTCCCTTCAAAATGTTGCACCGATCTGCTGCGGCAGTCTCCAATTTCGCCGCCTATCGTAAGTGACATACACCGGCAAGTTGCAGTAACGTCAAGCTTGCGTCAAGCACTGATTCCTTAAACCAGAGTCCTGAAATCACCCAGGCTCTCTATCAAATTTAAGTGCACCACTTTGTTTGTTCACATGCCTCGAAGTCGGGGCGCAGCTGTTGCCACGATGAAAACACCAAATAGCCAGCGTATCAAACACGAGGCATCCCTTCTAGACTGGATGATGAACCCTCAACCCACCATTTTCACTGCCACGATCGAGACTTTGCCCTATGCCCAGGGTATGATGATGGTGCCGTATTTTTTTTGGGACCGACTCTTCACAAGGAATCAGGATGCGTCTCATCGGTCCCTTGAGGCTGCAGTGAATTCAGAGACCTTTGGGCGCAAACCAGTGCCCTCGTTGCCCATAACCCCATAAAAAGGCAGCGGGATGCGCAGCAACGTCTGCTGTCTGTCCCCGTCCTGTTCAATTAATACAGATGCCTGTGAGTATTTCATTCTAATTTCTGGGGTGTCACAACAGCATATCTATCTAACCATTCTTCAAGGCACGTATAATATCCAGGGAAGAGTACCTGCTACTCGCCAAGGTCGCAGAGGAGGCGGAGCGTTATGAAGGTTTGTTCGTGCATCATCCCTACATGTTGTTCTCACCCAGCTGTTTTCATAAGACCTCGTAGCGCAGATCAAAGGCTTGACGCAGACGTACGGAGCATTGACCATCGAGGAGAGGAACCTCCTCTCCGTCGCGTACAAAAACATCACAAATTCACTTCGTAGCAGTTGGAGAGTAGTCGATTCCATGGAAAAGCTCGAGTCATCTAGACCCTCTGCACAGTCAAAGCACCAGGTCTCCTTGATCCGTCGTCAGCGGGTTCGCATTGAGAAGGAACTTACAGATGCCTGCAAAGACATCGTAAAATTGCTGAACGATAGTCTTTTGGCCACAGCCAAAGCTGGGGAAGAGACTGTGTTCTATTATAAGCTGTGAGTTCCTTCTCTGATATATGCTGATGACCATCCCATCGTTGCGTCCAGGAAGGGTGATTACTATCGATACCTCGCCGAATTCGTGCAGCAACAAGAACGCAGTCGGTACTCGGATTTGTCACTTGCTGCATACAAATTCGCGTACAAACATGCACTTGCCATGCTGGAGCCGACACATCCAACAAGATTGGGTTTGGCTCTGAATTTTGCCGTTTACTACCACGACGTCAGGAAGAGTCCAGAGAGAGCATGTCACCTCGGCAAACATGCATTCGACGAAGCGGTCGCATGCCTAGATGATTCGTCATCGATGCAAGTCATGCGTGATTCGATGATGATCCTTCAGCTCCTGAGAGACGACCTTGTAATATGGTCCAGTGAGATGCAAAGAGGTAAAGGCTGTCTCTTGATATAATGTTCTATCACTGATTTGAATCACATAGATGGCGTTAGCAAGTGACCCTACGCTGTAACTGTTCTTTTCCTTTTCTATAGTGTCTAGTCTAGTCTCCCGTCATGGAACCCTATTTATATCACATCACTTGTCTTGCGATTAAAGGAATACGTTCCGATATATATCGTACAGTGCATGATAAGGGCTAATCTTGAGCAAATGTTGCAGCCACAAGAAGCGGAAACACTAGCGTCGCGTCAGCGAACACCTGGGGGTCCACGTGAGATCTTGTTACAAGACAAAACATCAGACGAAAGCACCTTGACAGACTCCGCATCGGCACGGATTTTACCCCAGGAGACTGCCTCATCTGGTCGGGCACCAGAATCTGAGCCATCGAATTCTTGACCTGTGTTCTATGAGCGAAGTATATCATCAGATGTGGTCGAGTACTTGTGTTTGAGTACTAACAATGTATACAGAATAATCGGCACCATTTCGCTAGGCGGGTAAGACTTCGATCAATGCTGCGGATGATATAACTTACTATTAGCATTGCATTGGCGATTTGATGTTTGCAAACTCCTCCACCAAGGATGATCATCCCAGCTTTCTTTGATTTTCTGGAGAGTTCGTTCAATGCCCGGATGTCGCGAACGATATCCAATATAAACCCGGGATTCCGGAAGGAATGAAAATATATCATATCCCCCAGCGAGCCGTCAGTGAGGGCGGGACAGAACACGGGTATATCGTTCTGAATTTAGGCTCAGCTGGTGCGAGTGGAAGGAAATCATGCTTGCATTCACTTTATAAGCCCAATAGTAAACAGATTCTTCGTTATTAATTTCCTTTCCCAGTCGTCGAATGAATGAGCTTGGGGACCATACCTCACCGGTTGCCTGCTGTTCAGCCAACATGGTATCAAGGATGGGCAGTAGCCAGTCCTCGAACTTGCAATAATTATCGTTAGGAACAACAAGATTCCCTATCCTATTCATTCCTCGGCTCCGTAGGTCGGCGCCGTCCATGTTGAAGTCGGCCAAGTAAGTCTTGCCGAGACATTTGATGAAATCCTCCTCGATCCCACCTGCAGTTGTAACAATCGCAGCAACGTGCTTGTGCTTGACGAGGTACAAAATGACCTCGCGCAAACCCGATGATATCAGATTGGATGTGTACCCCAGAAAGATGTCACATCGTGTCTGAGCTCTGATCTCTGGAGAAAGGTAATCTTCAGACTCATCAACCGAGATGGGTTGGTCAGATAGACGCCATTTCCGCTAAAAAAAACGGAGTTGAATCCTCAGCACGTCACATAGGCTCTGCAAAATAAAAGTACTCACCATTCTGTTAACAATGTCAATTGCCCTTCCGAGACTGCTTGCCTGAAATCCGATACGTTCGTAACTTTTAAGAAGTTCCTGAAGGGACAGTTTTTTCTCGAGATCGGGCCCTTGTACAGAGATCGCAGAGTCTGAGATGGGCTCAGAAGGTTGTAGCACTGCTGCAGATGCTTCTGCAGGCACTGCGGTAGACATACTGTACAATTTGGTTGAGGGGACTCCGAGTCAGGGGAGACGAAAAACTGACTTCACGGCAAACTCCGACAATACGTGACAACAACTCGAGTCGGCGTTTGGGATTCGGAATCGCTACATTCAGTAACTGCAACCTCTCTGTGAAGCAGTCACTGCCCGCGTTGAATATGGTGGACGATACCGTCACTGAATCCGAAGGACCACCAACAAACTCGATGGTCGATGAGGAATTTGTCGGTGTTTGCAAGGAGAAACCCATCGTTGTGGATGCCGATGCTATTCATGAGGTTGAGGATGCACCTCCCTCTGCGGTTGCCGCAGCCCTATGTGTAGATGATACAGATGAAGCTAGACCTGCGTCTTCTTCTCCGCTTTTCGAAGTAGCGGGAGAACATGTCGAAACCGCTCCTGACGTGTCTCATGTTTCTCAGCCAGAAGTTCAAAACATAGACACATTCGTGGAAGTTCCTCTTTCTTCGAAACAAGCACCGCCAACACCGCCAGAAAAGAGTCCCCGGCTGCAGCTACCCAGAGGCTCCGCGGACGTTAATCAACCTCATCCCGCGACGCCAAGCACGCCTGAAAAAGCAAATGGCCACGACGAGCCCCGACCTCAAACGCCATCTAGTGCCTACAGTTCATCATCCGCTGCGTCTCACAAACGTTCCATCACGATTTCCAAGGGTTACACCGTTTCTGTGGTTCTCATTTCTTCCGCCTTAGAGATCATTCTGGCTTCGAAGGAGGCCAAACGTTCCACAGCTCTACGCGAGAGCGCACACAATGCCTTGGAGATGATACGTGTCGGTCAAGGTGGTGATCGTCCACGTGAAATTTTTGAGCCTCTACGGCTGGCATGCGAGACACGCAGCGAGAAGCTCATGATAGCGAGTCTGGACTGCATATCCAAGCTCATATCTTACTCGTTCTTTGCGGAGCCATCATCTGCGCAGACGCTTCCTTCCCCGCCTCCGTCACCGGCACTGCAGGGAAGACACTCGATAGCTGGTGCTTCCCAGTCTAGCCTTCCACAGCCTTCCCTGGTCGACCTTGTCGTCCATACCGTCACAACATGCCATAATGATACCTCCCCTGAAACGGTCTCTCTTCAGGTTGTCAAAGCGCTTCTCTCCATAGTACTTTCGCCTACTATCTACGTACACCATTCGTCACTATTAAAGGCAGTCCGCACGGTTTATAACGTATTTCTTCTCAGCACGGACCTAGTCAATCAAATGGTCGCTCAAGGAGGACTGACTCAAATGGTGCATCACATATTTGCGCGGTGCAGAAGTCTCGACGGAATAACTTTACGCTCACATGTCTCCTCCGACACGCTGACATCAATTCCGGCATCAGGATCGCTCAGGACTGACGTCCAAAATAATGCAGTGGACAATTTGACGGCAGAGGCGTTGCCATTGGAATCTGCCGTTGACGTGTCCTTACATCCTGGCGTCTCTATCCCCCCTTCATCTGTTCATGATCCTGACGTTCTGCAAGAAACAATCAGTCACGCGTCGTAAGCTTGTGTTCCGTAACACTCATTGATACTTATTCAAACATGTCTTCAGCCCAGCATCACATGAGGCCGCAGAAAATGAACACACTGCAAGGGAGTTGAGCACGCATGATATGTTTATAAAGGACGCGTTCTTGGTTTTCCGAGCCTTGTGCAAATTGACAATGAAGCCCTTGAACACAGAGAGGTATGCTTTTATTTTTATTTTTTAGGGTATGGTGCTAATATCTGGCGCAGCGAGCGTGATCTCAAATCTCATGCAATGAGGTCTAAACTCTTGTCCCTGCATCTCGTGCTCACCATCCTTAACTCACATATGGCACTATTCATTGATTCGAAAGCCATAATCTACTCTTCTTCCACGAACGAGGCAACTACTTTTGTTCAGGCTGTCAATCAATACCTTTGCCTCAGCTTGAGCCGCAACGCAGTTAGCCCCGTGCCTCAAGTATTCGAAGTCAGCGTGGAGATCTTCTGGCGGGTGTTATCAGGAATGCGAACGAAGCTCAAGGTACTATCATTATCCATGAACTGTACATGACTAATTTGCTCATGCACAGAAAGAGATCGAAGTCCTACTGCACGAGATATTCGTTCCTATTCTGGAAATGAAGAATTCAACTCTCAAGCAGAAGGCTGTAATCATTGGAATGCTCTCCAGGCTCTGCCAGGACCCTCAGGCTTTGGTAGAGATATATCTCAACTATGACTGCGACAGCGGAGCCATAGATAATATATACGAGCAGTAAGTGTCAGAGGATGAAAGATCCAAGCTGCAGGCTAACATGATGGCCAGCCTCATGAACATTATATCCAAGATTGCTACATTACCGTATACTTCCTCGCAACAAAAGACGAACGACCCTGCAAGCCCGGCGCTCCCACCACAGACCAAAAGCTCAGCGTCGACGGCGCACGTGTCAGGCGCACTAGCTGTATCCGGCACCATGGACACGTCCACTATGGGCCTTTCCGAGGGGCAACTTAGAAGGCAGGGTCTCGAATGTTTGGTGGCTGTTCTTAGATCCCTTGTGACTTGGGGAACAGCCGCTGGGAAAACACCTGCAGAATCCGCAACTGCAGATACTGCCTCAAGAAGTCAGATCGGGGAAGAGGTTGCAGCTGACGCTATGACACCTGATCCTTCATTAGATGGGTTGATTGCTTCCGCTGGAAGCACAGAAGCCTTTCGGCAATCAACTCCAGACATTGCAGATGATCCCTCCAGGTTTGAGAGTGCCAAGCAAAAAAAGACCACCCTGCTCGAGGGTATCAAGAAGTTTAACTTCAAGCCCAAACGCGTTCGTCCTCTCACTATTTACAAACTAGCAAAGTTAATTTCCTCTCAGGGCATTCAATTCTTGGTCGAGACGGAACTCATTCCAAGCTCGTCGCCTCGTGATATCGCAGGGTTTTTATTAACCACTGATGGCCTCAGCAAAAGTATGATTGGCGAGTACCTTGGTGAAGGGTAAGTATCTTCAATACATCATCATCCATAACGATTCTCACTGTACTGCAGAGATGAATACAATGTTGCTATCATGCATGCTTTTGTCGACTTTCTGGATTTCAGGAATTTAGGCTTCGTAGACGCTGTTCGTGTGTTTTTGCAGGCATTCCGCCTTCCTGGAGAAGCTCAGAAGATCGATCGTTTCATGCTCAAGTTCGCGGAACGCTACATCGCCGGAAACGCTCAGACACCCTTCAAGAATGCAGGTTTGTGGACATCTGGCTAATTTGTTCGGATCACTTACCTGCCATCGAATAGATGCCGCCTATATTCTCGCGTATTCTATCATCTTGCTCAATACCGATGCTCACAGTCCTCAAATTAAAAATCGCATGACTAAAGCTGACTTTATCAAGAACAACCGTGGTATCAACGACGGAGAGAGTCTTCCGGAGGAATTTTTGAGCGCCATTTTTCACGACATCCAGGGTAACGAGATTAGGATGAAAGACGAAGTTGACGCCACAATCAACTTGCCCTCCACGGGTCCTGGTCTTGCCAATGTGTTAGCGAACGTGGGGAGGGACCTTCAAAAGGAAGCATATGTGATGCAGTCCAATGGCATGGCTAACAAGACTGAAGTAAGTTGCCAGTCTTCTGATTGAACGCGGATTAATCTCTTGTAGGCACTCTTCAGAACGCTTATGCGCTCTCAACGAAGAGGATCTCGTGCTGGAGACCAATACTTCAGCGCGTCACACTTCATCCATGTTCGACCGATGTTTGAGGTGGCATGGATACCCTTCTTAGCTGGATTGTCCGGCCCGCTTCAAAATACGGATGACCTTGAGATAGTCGATCTCTGCTTGGACGGATTCAAGAATGCCATCCACATAGTTTGCTTCTTCGATTTGGACCTCGAACGCAATGCGTTTGTTAGTACCCTTTCGAAGTTCACGTTCCTCAACAACTTTGGAGAAATGAAAACCAAGAATATGGATGCTATCAAGACGTTACTAGATATCGCGGTCAACGAAGGTAACAATTTGAAAGGGTCGTGGCGCGACGTGCTGTCGTGTGTGTCACAGCTGGAACATATGCAACTTATCAGCGGCGGTGTGGAAGTTCCGGACAGCGGAAAGAAAGGGTGGGTGATTTGTACATATACACCACTGTTGACTGACTATTCCTCAGTCGATCTAAGAAGCTTCCAGCAGAAGAACTTGCCAACGAAAGCAGGTCGACTCACATCACCGTGGCAGCAGATATGGTCTTTTCACTCAGCCACTACCTGTCTGGCGTGAGTTCTTCTTAATCCAATTCGCTTGCCTCGTGATGTTGACTTATTGATTTATAGACTGCTATTGTGGATTTTGCGAGGGCCCTTTGTGATGTTTCATGGGAGGAGATTCAATCGTCTGGAATATCACAACATCCTCGTTTGTTCAGTCTGCAAAAGCTTGTAGAGATATCATACTACAACATGAACCGTATTCGTCTCGAGTGGTCGAATCTCTGGGATATCTTAGGAGAACATTTCAACCAGGTAATATGTTGAACAGTCCGACATAAACATATATTCACACTTTGCAGGTTTGCTGTCACAGCAATCCCCACGTCGGTTCCTTTGCCCTGGATTCTCTCCGTCAGTTATCAATGCGATTTTTGGAAAAGGAAGAGCTGCCCCATTTCAAGTTCCAAAAGGACTTCCTCAAGCCCTTCGAATACACGATGGTTCACAATGCCAATCCTGATATTCGCGATATGGTACGCAGTGCATCAGCCAATTCTTATAATACTGACATTCTCGACAGGTTTTGCAATGTCTCCAACAAATGATACAAGCCAGAGTACAAAATATGCGTTCAGGATGGCGTACACTCTTTGGTGTCTTCTCTGCTGCTTCAAAAGTGCTAACTGGTGAGGACGAATGCTCAACGTCCCTGCTTGGTGTAAAATTCTGATCATCCTCCCCTTACCTCAGAACGTATTGCGAATTCCGCATTCGAAATCGTGACGAGATTGAACAAGGAACATTTTACTGCTATTGTCCGTCATGGTGCTTTCGCAGATCTGACTGTTTGCATCACCGAGTTTTGCAAGGTCAGCAAGTATCAGAAGATAAGTTTATTAGCGATTGGCATGTTGCGTGGTGTTATTCCGGTCATGCTCACTTGCCCTGAGTGTGCTCTGAGTCCGGGGGTTGGACCTCAAGGCGACGACATCATGATTAGGTTCTGGTTCCCTGTCTTATTCGGGTTCTACGACATCATAATGAACGGGGAGGACCTTGAAGTACGACGTCTGTGAGTCCTTACCTGGTCTGAACTTTTTATCAAGCTCACCTGACGTACAGCGCACTGGATTCTCTGTTTTCGACGCTGAAAACTTATGGATCATCTTTCACTGTGGAATTTTGGGACACAGTTTGCAAAGAAATACTTTTCCCGATCTTCGCCGTTTTGAAGTCGAGTCAAGACATGTCTAGATTCAACACTCAGGAGGATATGAGCGTGTGGTTGTCAACTACGATGATCCAGGCACTACGTGACCTCATCGACCTCTATACGTTTTTCTATGATACCCTGGAGCGCTTCCTCGACGGATTACTGGAGCTTCTGTGTGTTTGTATCTGCCAAGGTAGGCTGATGCGGTGCTGCCGAGCGCTTACTTATATATTCAACGCAGAAAACGACACCTTGGCTCGTATCGGGACATCGTGTCTGCAACAATTTCTGGAAAATAACGTGCAGAAGCTCAGTGCCGCTCAGTGGGAACGAGTGGCAGCTACTTTTGTAAAGCTTTATAGAACAACTACTCCCCACCAACTTTTCGACGACAGTCTACGTGAGGAGATGGACGGAGGCACTGTATCAGATCTTCCAGATACCAACGGTATGCTCCGTGTATGGGCAATCTGCACCAGCTAATTCACTTCCAAAGATTCTAATGACCAAGCAATCATCCCAGCCCCATTGTCTCCCACTGGTGACCAGCCTCAGCCTCAACAAGTCAAGCACACACTTGGTGACCGACGTCGCATTTTCAAACAGATAATTGTCAAATGTGTTCTTCAGCTACTACTGATTGAAACTACCAATGATTTGCTCCGGAACGATGCTGTCTACACTACTATCCCTCCAGAGCAGCTTCTACGTCTTATGGGGGTCCTGGATCATAGCTATCAGTTCGCTAGAATGTTTAATGATGATAAAGAGCTGCGTACTGGACTCTGGAAAGTCGGTGAGTGTGTTTCTGGTGGTGCTAGTAGATCTCTCCTGATTACCGTCATAAGGATTCATGAAGCACCTGCCTAATCTCCTTAAACAAGAGTCCAGCAGTGCAGCAACTTTGGTGCACATCTTACTTAGAATGTACTTTGATGAACGCCCAGAGCACCAGAACGCACGCCCTCAGATTGCTGAACGCCTTTTGCCGTAAGTACGATATCAACTCTGTATTCCTTATTTGACCCAGATGGTAGTCTTGGTTTGAGCGTGCTACAGGACTACATTAAGCTCCGCGCTGATACACAGGCCAAGAACATAACTGCTTGGACACCTGTTGTTGCAGAGATATTAGATGGGTTCTGTCGTTTTGACAATAAGGCTGTATGTGATGCCTTGGAATTCATATTTTCTCTGCTGACCGAGATATGCAGTTCGTTAGATATCTTCCAGCGATTTATCCGTTGGCAACCGGGCTGCTTGCTCGTGATGTTGCACCGGAAATCAGACTGGGACTCAAGATGTACTTCGAGAGAGTGGGACGGACCCAAGGCATAGTAGTAGTAGAGGCATCGTAGCACATTGTTTAGTTTTCCTAGATTTGATTACTCATACAACATTTAAGTCCAGGTTCAATCATATATTTTCATCCAAAGCATTGTCATCTGGTCAAAGAGAGCAACAATTAACACTAAGTCTAGTACCCCGTATATCCATTCGGTTGAAATCCGTTGTTAGGTTGAAATCCCCACCCAGTCGTTTGTGGGACAAATCCTGTGGGTTGAGGGGCGATAGCTGGTGATTAAGTTAGTCAGTCCTCATTACATCAGCCTGGACAAAACTCACGATTTACGCGCAGAGCATTATATGTCTCTGAGATTATCAATCAGATATCACGAATGCATAGTCACAGCACGGTGGCACTCACCTGCCTGCTGGGGTCCAGAATGCTCATTTCCACTGGCAAACGTTCCCGATTTCATCTGAGCAAATATGTTTGCTGGCGTTGTGTTAGAACTAGTGTTTGACTGAGAGTATGAAGAAGGAATGGGTGGTGGAGAAGAAACCACATTGTTGAATGGAGACTGGGCAAACACTCCTGTTGGGTCTAATCGAGATTAATAAATTTTCAAAAAAATCGCACAGTAGGACTTACTCGGTTGCACCTGTTGCATCGTGGTATTCTGGAATGACGGGCGAGCGCCATATGTGCCAAACGGCCCCCCGAACATACCGGTTGGTTGCGAGAGCAGTGGTCCCGATGTCGGTAATCCTGTGGGCTGTGATAAGAGTGGTTGTGATGTACCGGGAAAGCCCGTTGGTTGCGCTGACAGGAATGAAGGTGGTGCTTGACCTTGGAAAGGCGACGCGCTGAATGGGCGCGTTGGTACAAAGTTGTTGAACCCTGTGGTAGTGGGTATAAGGGGCTGCAACAGACTTTGATTGGCCGGAACAGGAGCGAATGGCCCACGAGGGCCTTGTGCACCTGTTTGCTGGATCTGCAGATGTTGGCCGATGGGTGTAGGAGAAGAACCCATTCCAAGGCCGGTATTGTATGAGACAGGTGGCTGTGGAGACACTACTGGTGGACTTGGCGCAACAGGAGACGGGGCAGGCGCTGGGGATGGAGAAGGACGGCTTGTTTTCAACTGACTCAGGCGCGCAAGCTGGTCGAAGATGTCAGCATCAGTCTTTGCGAGGCCATTGCCAGTTGTTGCAACCTGTACTGGAGCCACTGGTGGAGGAGGGGGTAGCGTCGGTGCAGCGGGCACAGCCGAGACAGGCGTAACTGCAGGTGCAGTAGCAGCAACTGGTGGTGCCGATGGTGCACGATAATTAGCGGCCAAAGGCTTAGACCCCGGTCTGTTCGTCCAAGCATCGTCTTCAAAGCCACTAGTAACGGGCACCGTTGAGCTTGACCTCTGAGGTGGCTGCACAGGTGTGATAGTGGCAGGACTCATGACGAGAGGTGAGCCAGTCCGTTTAATCTGGTCAGAAGCAGAGCTAATGGCGTTGAGGTCGACGGACGGCGGTGGCAGAGACTTGCTAGGTTGCGGTCTCCCGCGGCGTTGGGTATTATTCTTGAGAACGCCTCCTGGACCAGCAAAGAGGTTGGGCGCAGGACTTGATGAACCTTTACTCCTCGTGCCATTCTCCTCTTCTTGTAGCTGCCGTGCCAGTTCTTCGTCGCGAATAAGCTGCTCTTGTGACGTGTCCTTCTTAGGTTTTGCAAACTTCAACTGGATATGCTTTGTAACGCGAATAATGTCGCCCTCGCGCAAGCCCAGTGAACGCATTGTGGACTCGGTAGTGTCTGGGAGGATCGCCTCATCAATCTTGTCACGTTCGAAGGAAGCCGCATATCGCGTGCAATCGTCAATGTCGCAGCCTGCATTCAGGAAGAACTCGAACCAGTCTGTCTGCGGCTTCTTGGGCTGCGTTGACATGGTGGCCCGCCGTACAACTTCCTTTTGCTTGAGCGCAAGTGGCTGGTCGTCATCATCGGAGTGACGGCGTGGCGCTGCAGGAGGATTATCATTCTTGGCATTAAGTCGCTCAACATAACGTATGTCCTCGAGGGACATCTTCTCCGAGGGGACCTCGATGACAACACCGTTGACTTTGTGTAGACGTAGCTTGCCGTTAGAGTACCCAAGAAAAGCAGCTTCGACACGGAACTGGCCACTGCGGTCGTGCCATATACGTGTAGACTCCGCGGAAGGTATACCTGAAGTTGATTGACAGGTTAGAAGAGATTGAAGGTCATCATGAAACACTCACTCTTGTGAGCATCGCTTGAGCTACGTCCTGCGCTAGACGTCGACTCTCTGGGTTTCGCTTGCGAGGCCGGAGGACGACTGATAGATCAATATATCAAAAAACGTTTTGAGCATAGGCCGAGGGCGACACCTACGGCGACGAACTCTGTCCCCTTTCTGCCCTCTGTTGAGCACGCTTTGCAGCCTCCTGACGCTTCCTACGCTCTGCTTCGGCGGCGGCGGCAGCTTCCTCCTTTTCGCGTCGTTTCCTATCAACCTCTGCCGCTGCTGCAGCAGCCTTCGCGCGTTGTTCCTGCTCCTTCTTCTTTCGCTCCTTTTCCGTACGTTCGCGTTCCCTTCGCTCTTCCTCTTTCCTCTCGGCCTCGAGACGCTCTTGCTCTTCGCGCTCGGCAGCACCATCGTCTTCTGGCTCAGTAGTGACGGATGCCCCGCCAGTGCTCTGGGTATGATATCAGTAAGCGACTCTCATGCTGATTTGGGACTGACCTCGAGATACGATGCAGGGACAACTCCCTCAATTCCATGTTCATTTCTGCACTTCCACCACTCTTCGCCCTCTTTCTCGATGATCCAGAGCCGCTCACCCTCTTGCACGCTCAATTCATCTGAACCCGTGCCCTCGAAGTCATATAATGCGACGGCAGGCTCGCCATCGTCGATACCTTGCCCATCTTCCTCCGCCTCTTCCTCTTCCTCCTCGGAGGATTCGCGTGGCGGTATAATCACAGGAGATTCCTCCGCGAAGCGCACAGAAGCGCTGTTCTTCTTCACCGGACTGCTCACTTCCGAGCGCGGCGGCGGAGAGATGACAGCACGTTGATCGGCGGACGCAAGTATACGAGAAGTCTCCAGCTTCTCGACAACAGCATCAGCCGTGTCTCTACTTCCAACATAGAAATGCAACTTTGTCGCACTGGGCCCGCCCATGTCAATATGCACGTGCTTGTGCTTCTCCACGGATATGTCTCCAACGTCAGATATTTGCCATTTCTGCACTGGAGTCTACGCGATGCAAGTGAGTTCGATCACTCAATTAGGGAGATGATTATACGAATAATAGGGGATTTGGGGCATACCTTGTCTGATTCGCTTGCGAAGAAGAGGGAGCCATTGCCAATGCCGAGAGTACCCTTCTTCTTCTTGCCTTTCTTGTCCACTTCAGACACAGACCAGGTCTTGATCTCGTCGCTCACACGAGCTTGGGCTTTGGACTGGGCAACTCTGTCAGCAGGGTCCACATACACGCTCAAGGGACGAGCTGGGGGTTCAGGCTAGGTATGTTACAGAGAATATGTCAGTGAAGGACTTCGCTAACTTCTTAAATTATCGACGCACCGATGGCGGAATGATAATTTGAGGTGCTACAGAAGCCGGTGCTGGTGTGCTTTCCGCACTAGTAGTCTTCGTGCGAGATAAATATGAGGCAACGTGTTCGATGCAGATGCATACCTCTTCAACATAGTTTCCTGGTACAAAGCCAGCTTTGCCGCCCTGCTTGCTTTGAACGAGTATCCAATCTTCTTCACGGTCAAAGACCATTAGAACCTCGTCCTCCTTGATAGACAGCTCTCCGGGTGCAGCGGAATTATAGTCATAGATAGCTTTGACAAGAGACGTGTGTTCAGCCTAGTCCCGCATCCATCTATCAGACAGGCTGTGAATAAAGTAAGGATATGAAACGGACCTGCTCAACGTAGGCAGCAGGGACGAGGCCAGATGGACTATCTTGCTCCTGTGATTCACCTTTTATCTTGACTTTCCACCAACTTTGTATGGCATGAGCGTTAGACCAAGAGCAAGCCATAACTACTTACTCATCATCAGTACGTTCAAGGAGAAAGACAATTTGGTTCTCAGTGATCGCAAGCTCCTCTTCTGACTGGGGCTGGTAGTCATAAGAGGCCTTGAGGACTGCGAGATATTCCTCGTGTTCTGACATCAGCGGTGAACGGTACGAGGTTCAAACTTAAATGTTGGGAATCGGGAAAGTGTCACGGCGTCTGCGGGGCTGCGTATGCTGCTACTTTAGGAACACTCTGCTGATATTACTCTGCAGTGAGAGAAAGACCTATATAGTATGTTAGTTATGATCAGTTATTAGGCAGAAACGGCAGCGGGCGTTGGAAACTTGGAAAACGAGGCAGTGGGTGGAGTGACGGAGATGGCAAAGGTGAGATAATTGCTTCACGTGACGTCCCGGGCGGTGAACTTCGTGAGGATCTACTGCTACAGTTACACGTACATATATGCTAAGAACGACAATAATGATAGCTCGAGAAATAAACCAATAATTGGCACAGTGAAATGTCCCAGTAATCCGTGAATAATATGGTGTAGATGATATAAATGGCGACAACGGCAGGGTGATGCATCTACCCAAGCGCCATGCTAGACACAGTTGCAGCGATGCTACTACGTCCGCTGGGCGGAATGAGCGCACTCGCAAGCAGCTCTCGGCAATTTCGCAGGCGCTCCCTCCGCAATACAAACCACGAACTCTCTGATGATGGGACAGCCAATGGCACTCCAATGATCCCACGCGCCTGTGCACTCTGCACGGCCTTCACCAGTGAATCGACCTCTGCTTCTGAGTCAAGATCATCCAAGTTTTCAGCAGCTTCATCGACGTCCAGTTGTGTGGCAGTAGTGCCTAATGTATTCGCCTTCCTACCAGGCTTCTTCGGCATGCCCTTCCCTTCCAGTCCAGCTGCTAATGCAGCCTCCTGCGCAAGGCGCTTCTTCTCTGCCTTCTCCTTCTCGCGCTTCTCCTTCTTCTCTGCTTTCGTCTCCTTCTTTACCGGCTCTACCCAGTTAGGATTATTCGCACGGTTCCACTCGAGCAAAAGCTCGTCATACGCCTTCGAGCGACCCTGAACAGCGCGCTTCGCACCCATGGAATGAGCTTTGCACGTGAGGGAGCGCGAGCAAGGGAGGCCTTTATCATTGATCACTCCACATTGCTTGTCATAGTCCACGGGGCCTTTAGTACGCCCCTTTGTTATCTTGGTCTTCTTTTTAGACGGCTCGCCGGCTTCATCCCCGTCCTCGCCGTCTGCAGCCCGCTTCTTGCCTTTCTTCGGCTCAACTTGATGGGGCTGATTATATATGATGAAAGGAAAATATATCAGGAGACAGTACCTTCGCTATCTGCCGTTTTGCCCTTGACCCATTTCTTCCCTGAACGGATGTCGTTACAGTTGCCTAACTGTGCATGAGCTAAATATCTGGTAGTTGTAGAAAGCCATGACATACTAATGTGCTCTGAAATGGCGCTACGCAAGATAGGCTTGTCACAGTCTGCGCAACGCACAACGCCGATGTCAGCACGTAGTGGTTGGGCACCAAATATTTTCATGTCGCGGGCAGAGAGCCATGATGTTGGCGGAGGAGGTAGACCGGTAACTTCGGGCGTATTTGGAGACTCCGCGCGTGGTGGGCTGAGAGCATCCCATGAAAATGGAGAGGGGGAATGGCTCGCCCGCTTGAGTTTGAGCGTCATGGCTGAAGCTATGATCAAGAACTGACTGCCAGTGCAGTGAGTGCACCAGAAAGGAAAGTGACCTTTGGTCACGTGATTAGCGCGTTTCAGATTTATTGAGATTTTCTGTGGACCGGTGGTCAATCTGTGGTCGTAACAGAACAATAAACTTGCACACAACTACATGATCGTACATAATAAATGAAAGCACTCAAAGCATAACAAATAGGTCCACAGCGTAGTTCTATTATTACAACTACTGCAATCGTTAGGGAGTCTGAGCTTCTGATTTCTTGGTATCGTACCCTCAATCTATCGGAACGTGACGGTATGGACAACTATTTGGATAAAAGGTGCAGGGACCACAGCCAAAAAAAATGCGACACGTATTGTGGGAAGGATGAAGGAACGTGAGCTACGGCTCAATAATAATATCACATAGAATACATACGTGGAAGTATGATGCAAGCACACGCAAGCACCTTACGCCGCAACCGACACATGTGCCATGCCCTCTGTGGCCTCATCGACGCGATCGTCATGAAGTTTTGTGATCTGCGAAGAAGAAAAGATTTAGTTAACAAGTCCGAGGGAAGACCGAGATGTAGTCAAGTGAAAACCAAAGCAAGTAAAAGTTTACATGCAACAACCAATCGATATAAAAAACGCACCTTTCCAATAGCAATTGTTCTGCCCTCGTCACGCAGCGTGAAGCGACCGAGTTGGGGGTAATCAACGAAGCGCTCGACGCAGATGGGGAGAGTCGTTTCTATGAGCGCCACGACTTTTTGGCCTGGAAATCGTAACGAAGTGGTGCACGATTATGATGTGCAGGAGGGGTAGAGATGATTGTTACGGCAATTTTTTTGGCCGCAGCAAAATGGTCGAGGAAGAAATATCAGTGAGAATTGATTACACTGTGCACAGTACACCCACCCTTCTTTGCGAATTGAGGCGGTTTCTTCGACTTGCGACCGGTAGCTTTGTCAAAGTAGTGTAGTAGAGCCTATGAACATCAAGACTGTGTAAACCAGTCAAACACGCCGCACTCACAGGCAATGTAACCTCTTCGGAAAGTGTGTGCACGTGCATGACAGCCGAATATCCCGCACAAATGATATTCTTATGTTCCAAAATTGCAAGCTGCGCCTCGAATTGCCTCACCGCTCTCACAGGAGACTTCGGACTCGTGAGTACAAATCCAGGGCTGATATCTTCGTCCTCCACGCCCCTGAGTCTCACGCGCACGTTGTCACCGCAGATCGCACTGGGCACCTCTTCTTCCATCTCATTGTAGATGGCGGCGACTTCAACAGCAGATTTGTTCGGCATGAGGGTTAGAGAGTCTCCCTTTCGAATGTGTCCGGATTCGATCTTGCCGACGATGATGGCACCCATGTCTTTATACTTTTCGGAGACTGGCATCATGAGGGGAGCATTGATCTTGCGGTCGACCATGGGCATGTTGTCCATATGTTCAAGGAAGGAGGGGCCACTGCAAGATGGGCATGAGCATGTATATACGTGGAAGAAAGAAAACACCACACACTCATTCCATGAGCAGATAGACTTTGCTACGCGATCCTTTAGATTCTGACCCGTATATCCAGATGCAGGTATAAAGGTGACGTCCGTTTTGGGATTGAAACCAGCAGATTTCACGAATGGGGTCAACTTATCCTTGATCTCAGTGTATCTGCCTTTGTCCCAGTTGACAGTCGGATCATCCATCTTGTTGATGACGATGACGATTTTGCTGACGCCGGCGGTTTTCACGAGCATGACGTGTTCGCGGGTCTGGCCACCTCTTTCGAAACCAGTTTCAAATTCACCTTTGCGTGCGGAGATGACGAGTATTGCGACATCCGCTTGGGCAGCACCGCTAATCATGCTCGGAACATAAGTCTTGTGGCCTGGAGCATCTAGAATGGTATATCTTCGAAACGATGTCTCGAAGTAGGCTCTACCGACTTCGACGGTTTTCCCCTTTGAGCGCTCCTGAGGGGTGCTATCGAGCGCCCAGGAAAGGTACCACGTTTCACGGCCAGCTTCTTTTGCCTCTTTCTCGTATTTCTCCATGGTGCGCTTGTCAACACCACCAGAGATATATAGGAGGTTCCCGCCAAGAGTTGATTTTCCAGCATCTACATGACCGATGAAGACGATGTTAAGATGTTCTTTGACTATAAATATGTGAGTACAGTTGCATGAGAGGGACGGTGAGGTAAGATGCGCACCATCACCAAAAAGATCCTTAAGGACTTCCTGGTCTGCAATAGCCTGGACTTCCTTTGCAATGGATGTGGTGTCTGTCTTGGCTCGTTCAGTGGAAAATACTTTGTTAGTAGGTGGTGTAGGAGAAGAAGATTGTAATGGTGTGGTGCTCGCAGATACAGACGGTGGTAGAGTAGGTTTTGACTGTGGAGTAGGAGCAGGAGCAGATCTTGACTGTAAAGCAGGAGCGGGTGCGGGAGCAGGAGCAACGGGAGTGTTCGATCCGCCGATGTTAAGGGTGATGGTAGGAGCTGGAGGTGGAGCTTCAGTTTGGAGAGGGCGCTCGAGGGGAGGTTTTGAAGGAGGCGTTTGACTTTTCTGAGGTAGCACAAATGCGCGACCTGGAACGAACTCGAATGCGCCTGCGTTGAGCTTGCTCATCGTTGAACTAGATCAGCGGCGATGTCGTGGTTGAGAATTTAAGTAGAGCCGTACTAGATCATTGAATTTTATCAGTCAGAGTCATGTGACCCATAGACTCGATCGGATCTTGGCACCGTCGAGTACTGTTTTTAACGATGATGACGGAAGCACAAGAAGAGCTCGCAAACGTCTTGCGTTCTGGCTCATTTCTTCTCGACACGTCTGGCACCACCCAACACGATCTCAAAAATGTACTTGTGCGCAGGCTAACGCAATACCACCAAGCATTCGGATCCTCCGCTCCTTCTCTTGATACAGTGGAGGATGCCCAACTTGAAACTGCTCAATGTGCTTTGCACGTTGTCGAGCGCGTTCAATCTCTTCTTCACCTGCCAGATCATCGACAAGAAGGTGATCTGAAAAGTGCACCTGCAATAGGGACACGCGACCTCAGCACACTCCGCACTCTTATGGCTCTTATTTTTCGCTGGGGAACCGAAATACTTTACAAGCGTCTCACCCCTTCGTTAACGTCTAAACTAATTCCCGGCACCCCAAAAATTATAGACCTGACGAACACGCCCGCCGATCACGCCACACTCTCTGACCTGCTTTTGCGCCTCATGGGTCTCTTGTTCCCAAATGGCCCAAAGAGTACGCCACCTCAGACGCTCATTAGCAGTACACTGCTGTCAAGACATGCAGTTGATTTGTTACGCCCGAGTATGGCTCTAGGATGGTTACCTAGTGAACCCGTCGAGTCTCTCCGCCTGCTCGTGCTCCGTCTCCTCGCCTTGTGCGTGTACTTTGCAGTAGTCGTAGCTTGTAATCTCATTCATTTCCCCACAAAATGCATGTTCTCAGCATCCCCCTCCCCCAACTCATGTCATCCCTTGCTACGGTCCTCTCCACCCCTAATTCTCCGACACCACCCCACGTCCGTAAACTCTGTTCCTCCCTCCTCACTCAACATCTCCTCCACCCAGGCGGTGTGGGTGCTCTCTGTGTTGCTGTATTTGGTGAGCTCGATGCGGAAGATGAACCGGAACTCGATAAGCTGGAGCACGTTGCACGTGTGCTAGGAACAGTACCTCGAGGGATGCAACCCAAGGTGTGGAGGTTGGGTTAAATCAATTTCAATGCATTTCTGATCCAATACTGTTCCAGCATTACTTCCAAACAATAACACCGCGCATCCTTGCTCTCATTTCTCCGTCTCCCCCTTCTGCTTCAACACCAATAACACACCCTGCATTCAAACGCGCTGCAGCATTTACTCTCGCACGCATGCTGGACTCCAGTTCTGCACACCACGCGCTCGTGGGGAGCATAGTCTTGCCCATTTTACACAATTCCCTCTCCAAAGTCTCCGACGAGACCTCACGCAATCAGAGGGAACCAGATCAAAGCTACCTTCTGCCTACCCCATCATCATCCCTCCAAACCCTTCACACCATCCTGCTATCAATCGATCCATCGCCCTCTCTATTCGCCTCCCTCCTTTCACCCATCCTCCCCTCTCTGTATTCCCTTCATGCACATCTCAGTAAAATGGGTATAGCAGATCCGATACTGAAAGAGGATGTTTGGTCATTGATGAGGACATGGGGACGGGTTGTAGAGGAGGGCGAGGGAATTCGAGTGTTGTGGTCATTGGTGGATGAGAATGAAAGCTCTTCAGGAGGATGGGAAGGAGGAAGTGCAGAAGATATAAAACGTGTAAGGAGGTTTGTTCCACTGGTGCTACTTCATCTTCATGTAAGTCTGAGTTCAAATTTGATACAGGGTCAACAGAGAAGAGAAACTCGCTCTTCTTACGCCGGAAGACCTGCGGCATGCCTCCGTCACTGAGGACACAGATATAGAGTCATTGGACTTGGGACTCTACCCACCTCCTGCGCACTTTGTCTCCTATATCAAGAACCTCGATCGTGCAGATATCGCAGGAGGCATGTTCGTGAGATTGCTGGAGGCATATCGCACTGCAAAGGGATCTGGTTCTGCTGATAATACGCAAGACAGTGACATCAGAGGAGAAACACAGAGTATATTGATGGATCCGAAGGAACCTGATCCACTCCGGTAAGCTTAACATGCCAGCCCAGCCATGTCTGCTGATGCAGATGACGAACAGAGTGATGCTCCTCCTCCAACTCATCATGGCCTTCCAATCTGAGCTGGACAACACCGCTATCCTGAGTCGCCCGAGGGATGTGTTGGAATTTGTGAGGCACGCGTTAGAGGTATCTGACACACCCTCCTCCGCATCCGTATCTGGCACGTCAGATCGAGGCATAAACAACGAATCCACCAAAGGTCTTTTGAGGGAGGATCTAAGAATCGTACCAGAGGAGCAGGAATTCGGGCCAGATAGCGACGATGAGGACGATGGGGAGGTTGAGGGAGAAGATATGGTAGAGACTGCTGTTGGATTGTTGTTGGCTATATTGGAAGGTTCGTCCTTGTCTCTCATTCCGAAGAATAAGAACTAACTTCTCTTTTTCCGTGTCTCTGTATCATATTCCTCACTGTGAATGTCATGTATATTCTGTCGTGTCTCCTACCCCTCCACAAAATAAATTACCACACCACTCCAAAACACAGCCAACCCCTCACTCACCCCGAACAACGCACCCTCCCTTACGCAAATACTCGACCTTCTCAAGGCGCACACGCCGACCCGGCCAAGCGCACGTGAGGCACAGTTAGTGTTGACAGCGAGGATGGCAGAGGGGGCGTTAGCCGCATCAGGGTCTGCTCCAACAAATCAGGGTAGATCCAATGGTCGAAGCGAGGATGCTGACGCAGATCCGCGAGAAACATATCAAAAAGCACTCAAGCTCCTTCAAGACCCGCTCCTACCTGTACGAGCGCACGGGTTGCTCTTACTACGCGAGTTGGTATCTTCCCCGGCTCGTGCGAGTAAGGCTGAGCGAGAGAGACTCGAGAAGGAAGCGACAATACGTGCCCTACACCCTGCTATCCTCTCCATATTCTTGCAAGCCATTCAGGAGGACGACTCGTATGTATTTTTGAATGCGGTGCAAGGACTTGCTGCTTTGGTGCATGCCCCTGGTCCCAATTCCAGGTCTGGCGCGGGGAACGAAGTGTTGAAAGCGCTTCTGGATGCGTATGCGAGGGGGGCGGAGGATCTTGCTGATGACAAGGCAGAATCGGATACAAAGCCTAAGGATGGTGAGAAAGGCAGGACAAAGGGCAAACAAATAAGTGAAGTTAACACACGTCTCCGCATCGGTGAAGCCCTCGCAGTTGTTGTGAGGCGCTGTGGAGACGCTCTGGGGCTATATGGTGAGTTTCATCCCGCCTCTTTGTCCTATTCTCATTCATCTTGTCATCACTCGCTGTGTTAAAAAAGCGGACACGCTCCTTTCACCTCTCCTCTCCCTCCTCCGTGAGCCTCGCGCACCAGTCATCTTGCGCACGTCAGCGATTTCCCTGCTCTCCGAATGTATCAATACCTGTGCACGGGTGGTGGAACGATATACTAAGGAAACAGCAGAGGGAATGCTGGACTTGGTGTTGGTCGAGATGACTGTGGCTACTCCCATTCCACATCCGAAAGCTAAGGTGAACGAGAAGATAATGAAAACAGACGTAGGAATAAGCACAGAACAAGCAGAATCTGAATCTTCTCCAACACCCCGATCCCAACCTGAACGCCCTCCAGACCCACTAGACATATCCCCCCTGAGCGTATCCTCAAAAATTCCAGCACTCCGACGCGCAGCGCTACACTTTCTCGCGCTTCTTGTGCGGGTGCTTACTCAGGAGGCATATGAACGCGGTGGCAGCTCCTGGAGCGGCGTCCAAATCAGGGGCATATATGATGGGCAAACACGCGCGTATACGTCATATGAAGGGGGACCGCTATCCCAAGAATTCATGAGACGCGCATGCACGGTGTTGGAGTATATCGCAACTGTGGATGAGGATACGATCGTGAGGGTCATGGCAAGAGAGGTTGTGGAGGGGTTAAAGGGCCTGGAGAAGGCTTGGGTTGGGCTGTGAATGCCTGGACGAATGACAACAAAATATTTAAAGCTGTCATTGGTAGTGATTTAGTTGGGAAAGAAATTTAAATTCATGAAATACGTCTCAGGGCTTGAGCCAGTGGTTCTTCCAACGTTGTCGAATAAAGATGTAGCTGGCTAGACCGTTTCAGCAAGCAGAATCACTATAAACATAGATTGTCCCAAACTGAGATAGAATAGTTGAACTAACGAGGCCTAAAGCTTAAGGCAGGATGTCCGATACGTAGTACACAAAGCGCATCACAGTACTTATTTGACAAGAGTGAGAACACTAAAACATCCTTCCAGGTATGCATCCATGACGGCCAGATTTAACAGTTTTCTTCTATTTACACCCATTTCTTCAGCTCATGTATACGGGCGCGGTATTCGGTTCAATTTTGATGGACTTCAGGTTCATGATCCCCGAAGTTAGGTCTAGAATAATAAGCGCTCGATTAAGCCACGAATGAAGCTCCTACTGAGATCCAGGAAGCCAGCCAATGAATCCAGTGCACCAGAAAAGCTCTGGGAGATCATATAATAACACAGGAAACATGCACCGTGAATCCTACCCTAGACGAGGCGATTCGACATAATTCATATGACGGTTGGCTGAAATGAGCGAGTGGGTTGCATGTGAATTGAATTAGGTTCCAGGAACGATACTGATGAAGCTAAATATTGTTCGAAATGTGGATGGCGCGCAGACCATTGACTGCCATGCCACAAGACACGTCTCCAAATAATACACAAGAGGAGCTAGTGAGAGAAAATAGACAAGGAAATGAAACATATCAACCCCGTATCTGTCTCAGACGCGGTGCTCGCTAGACATCTGAGTCAATAGAAGGGTTTGATCCATTTCGGTCCACACGTAACAAACGAGTAGCATGACCACGCGCTTGTCATAAGGATGGCCGGAGCCTGCAAAGCGCGGCGAGTCAGCTGCGAACCTGAGCCACACAAAATTACAATCAGACATGCGCCACTATCGGCAGTTCAGTTCAATTCTTCTTACATCCATTACCTTGGTGCAGTGACTAGTTCAAGAAGGCACACTCCCACCACTGGCAGCCCTACTTATCTCGTCTACTTTCTGTCTGAAGCGCTTCCACTTGGCGCTCCCCACGCCCGTAGGCGTATCATGAAGTCGGATGAAAGGGTTCGAGGAAGCATGGTAGTAGGCTAGGTGGAGGGCTTTAAATGTCTAAATATACATCCGTGTCAAAGAATGGATCAGGTGGACGAGGGGAAACGGCGACAGTTATAAGGACACACCATGATCACTTCCGCATCACGTACGACAGAGTCTGTGAGTGGGAGAGCGAGAACAATCTTCATTTTTAGAGGTGTTATGTACCCGTAAGCAGCTATGTCATCCATGGCGTAGAGAAGGCCGAGGTAACAGTCGTTAGATTTTGTTGGACCATTTGCTAATGCCAAATATCGAATGAGGTATTCTTGTCAGTGGGGGAATGAAAAAGTAGACAGCACTTGGGGCGCACTGACTTCGTTCCTCAATGACATCGAGGCTTGTATGGGCTACATAGTGGTACTTCAGCTCGTCCCCTTTTTCGAATGTACGGATGAGGATCGGGTGGTTTTGGGGTGATATGAATGCGACTGCATTCGGGCGCAGCGGAGGTGCCATCTTATAATACTATTTTTCTGGCGTATCAATGGAAAAATACTTGCACAATGGAGGCTGGCTCATAGACCTCAACATTGTGACCTATGTGTGACCGTGACTTTTACATTCCCCGACACCCAGGGCATCCATCAGCTATTCGCTGCCTGTATACTTGAGTATCTACACTCGCTATCCTGCCAGCTGTTCGCTGACTTGGTCTAATCAGAATTTGATACTCCCCTGGTTAACTCTCAGTTTCCTCTGCCAGCATTGCAATGCGGAGATCCTTCAGCAGCATCGAAGTCAGACTCGGAGCTGCCATGATCTGGTGTGCAGGATAACAGACAACCCAAAACTTACTAGCCTGTCATGCGCCGTTCAACTGCGACCCCACTACCCAGTATTACTCAGCACCATCGAATTTCAGAAAAGAAAACGCATTTTATTTCACAACAAACTTCAACGTACATTGCAATGAATTCATAGTGTCTATTGAGCCTATACCAATGTGTCGGGGACTGGCGCGGCCGAGCGCCGTTACCGATATTGTACGAGTAAAAATACAAGAAAATGGTGCTGTAGCAGGTCTAGCCTGAGCCCAAATGAATTGATTCTCTATTACGTAACGAGGAACGAGTGAAGGAATAGAGTTAGGTCTTTGCGCAAGCGTCGGAGGCAGTACGCACTTTTGTTCTCGTACTGCGACGACGTATCCTCTCTTCTCAGTCGCAACGACGTTCTCTTTCATCCTCTTTCTTTTCCCCACCCACCGCTCCCTTCTCGCAAAAACACGCGACATCTCGTTCAAGAACTCGACGTCACTCATCGCCATCCTTTTCCAGTGGTCCGGACTGCGCTGGTCCCCTCGTCATAGGTAGCTCGCGATGGTTTTTCTTTTCCCTCCCACCCTCGCAGCTCACCTTGCTTGACAGGACACGCAGCTCGGGACCGGGAGGCGCTTCGCGCCTTCGCCCAAACCGCTCTAAGATCAGGATAACGATAGCTTAGCTCACAGTCTTTACATTAGAACAGAACTACGGACACGGACAATCATAGTAATAGTTTCAGATTGGATTTTTGAGAACAGAGACTGCATCACAGCGACTCGCAAAGAGATCCTTCTTTGCAGACAAGAAGGGAATCGGACCTTATGTAAACAACATCTTCCTCACTGACTCTCAGTAGAATCGCAAATCTATTAGCTATAGCGGCTGATTCTTCGAAACGTTCTCCGCAAGTCGTGACCCATTACAAGAGCCATGCTACTGGTCCCTGCATCCAAGCCAGATGCTTCCAATTCTTTCGACATTTGCTGTCCACACCCGCCACTTGTGCAACTAGGCCGGGGGTCAACTCTGTTTAGGAGAAATTTTGTCGCAGTGGGAGAGTTCATTCATCGCAGCAATCTCGCACCACCTTTCAATTCCAGTGGATCCCGCAAACTACACTTAACTTTCACCAAAGTAATAAAAACGCGCAACGAAGATGTCATTCTGTGTTATCAACCAGACCAGCTTCGGTCTCTTCACTTGTTCAGGTCGCTCATTCAGTGTTGATGGAACAATGGCATTTCTACTGTCAGGAGTCCCACCCGATGTCGTTCAATGTATTGGGTGTTGGTCCTCTCACTCTTTCCTCCACTGCTGGCACTCTCTCGAACTTCTAACACGGTTGCATGCAGAATACTTCCAGTTGTTTCAGGCTTGCTTTGCCCCTTTCCAGTTTAGTCGTGCCTTTGTCTTGCCCACGGCTTCGGGCGGGAGTCTCTGGTCCTCCCCTCGACATACACCTGATTTGCCTTTCTCTCTCTTATGATCAATCCGATAAGACTATCTATGGCCCCCGCCCAACTTGGAGAAGGCCTGTCTTTACATTACCTCAGAAGCTTCACTCTGTTTCCTTTCCACAAGTTCAATTACGAACACCGAGCTTGAAAGAATGCATGACGGGTGCATACGGAAATAAGCAAAATGTTCTGACAATTTTAGTGATGAGAATATTTTTGCGTTGGACAAAGCCCACCTCCCACATTAGTGGGAGTTGAATACCACGTACAGGGTGTGGAAAACAGTTCTCCATGCAGTTATAAAATCCCCTTTGTGTGTTGGGTGTCTGCCCTACGCACCGCTCTAACCATGTTTCCTTCAGTTGATGGTCGCCTTGCTATCCTCGCCGTCTTACCTACTTCCTTTTTTGTCATCACATCCCTCAAGAGGTTCATCAGGAACAGACAGAACAAACTTCCCCCTGGCCCCGTGCCGCTCCCACTGTTAGGAAACGTCTTGTCTCTCGACACCAAGGCAGCATGGTTGACTTACACCAAATGGGCTGCTGCTTATGGTACGTGGTCAGATAGTACCACGGTGTATGTATGGTGCAAATCATCATATCAGGAGACTTGTTTTTCGTGCGACTTCTAAGCCAGGAAGTCGTGGTACTCAATTCTCAGCACGTTGCAGAAGCCTTGTTGGACAAGCGTTCTCGCATTTACTCCGATCGACCATACTTAGCCACAATCGAGCCGTGCGTTCTTCTAACATTCTTCCATTTAATCATTATAGAGTCCGGGCAGATTTGGTTGGTCGGTCGTCTTTGCATTCACAGGCTATGGCAACGAATGGCGTCTTTCCCGACGACTCTTCCACCAAACTTTCCGTTCCGACTCTGCACTCAAGTTTCGTCCAATGCAGATCAAGCAGGCTCGTGAGATGATCCTCAACCTCATTGATGATGCTCAGAATTATCATTCTCACTTTGCAACGTCAGTCGATGTGTTTGTAAACATCAAATTATTATTAACCTGTTCATAGATTCTCGTCATCAGTTGCGATGTCAGCGACCTACGGCTACCAAACTAGTCCTCGTGATGATCCTCTTGTTCGAATCGTAGAAAATGCACTGGCTATTGGCCTCGAGGTGGTGACCCCAGAGAAAGCAATCTTGCTCAAAACCTTCCCTTTCTGTAAGCTCAGCTCTTTTCCTCATGAAAATAGCCGACATTCCGTACTCTGCAGTACTGAAGTTACCTGACTGGTGCTGGGGATCCTCGATCAAACGCGATGCTCGAACGTCGACCAATCGCATGAGAGAAATGACCGACGTGCCGTTCCAATATGCGCAAGACCACATGGTGGGCATCTTTCGTTTTTAGAAATATTGGTTTTGTCCCAGCTATTAATCACATGATCTTCAAGGTTGAAAACTCGGCACTTGGTCAATTTTCGATGGTGGCAGAAAATCTTCAACGAATCGAGAAGCAAGGTCAGACATCCCGATCATTGTTTGAGGGTGCCTTAAAGAAAGCAGCTACTACTGCTATTATTGGTTCGTCATCTTTTTACAAGAGACGGTATACCTCTCATTGATACATATCTATTCAGGTTCATACGATACGGTTAGCGGATGTCCGAATCATATTGTCAACTCCTGAACTTCTTTGCAGACTACTTCAGCCTTGATGACTTTTGCTCTCGCCATGGTATTGTATCCAGATGTTCAGAGACGCGCACAAGCGGAGATCGACTCAGTGGTTGGCCGAGATCGCTTACCTACCTTTGAAGACAGAACGTTACTACCATATATTGAATCAGTTCTGCGCGAGACTTTGCGATGGCAGCCCGTCGTACCCCTTGGTGATCTTTCTTGCTGTGTTATTTCGCCTTTGCTGAAGGTGTTTTTATAGGCGTTGCACATGTCAGCACGAGTGATGATACATATGATGGTTATTTCATACCAAAAGGTCTGTTATTCTTATTCATTGAGTACATCATTTGTACTATCGTACCTCAGGAACAACCGTCATGTGCAATGCATGGTCAGATAGATCCTCTCTAGCTTTCAAAATACTGATGTTACATTGCAGGGGCATTACACGAGATGAAAAGCGGTACCCTGATGCATCTAGTTTTATTCCGGAAAGGTTCCTAGACGTCAACGGCGCGTTGACAGATGATAACCCTGCTGGATATATTTTCGGCTTTGGCCGGCGTGCATGTCCAGGTGGGTTGAGTTATTTCATCACGGTATAGAGCTGATTCATTATTTGATCAGGCCGACATGCTGCTGATGCCTCTGTATGGTCCGCTATTGTTACTATGCTAGCCATGGTGGAGTTTTCTTCTGCCAAAGATGATCAGGGCAAAGTGATCGAATTCACGCCCCAATTCAGGACAGGACTCACTCGGTACTCGGTTTTTCTCGTATCATTCCATCTTCCCGTTACTAACTGTTTCATCGCTTTAGCTCCCCTATGGTCTTCCCTTGCAATATCTCATCACGCTCTCCTACCCATTCGGAACTTGTGAATGTTTTCCGAACAGAAGTATAAAATGTTATCAGGTGAATGGGCTGTATATGTATGTATATCTTCCTTTCTTGTGCCCACACCGCCAATCTGTCCAACATTTGACAACCCCTTGTTTGACCCTTTTCGTTAGCTCCACGTGGTATGTACGACTTGAAATATGTAGAATGTAGCATGAACTTCAACCACCCGCTTGCGCGCGCACGAGGGGATGTCGACTGCAAGCGTGATTTTATAACATGCCTAAAATATTAATTGTCTTTCCTAAGTTTTTCCTCTCTCAAGGTCAAGGAGACTGCCTAGGAGACTAGCTATAGGTCAAAGCAGAAACCGCGGCAGGATGTACTTATTATAGCAAAAGCAAGTTATCTATAAAGTGGTATGTCTAGTGATCAACCCTAGAGTCTTACAGCATTCAACTACTACCTTCCAAGTTCGTGTCACTTGCCTCTCTACAATAATGACTAGCAAGACCGACGTACTTGACGATAGCAAGTTCGTTGCTAAGGCACCTCCGCCATACGACTTAATTCCTACGTCTGCATTATCTGCAAAATCTATCGGGCACAGACCATCCGAGGTTCTGTTTTCCTTTCTAAACATCAAGCGGAAGATTAGCAGGTCCCTAACTCATGCATCTCTCTCGAAAGACAACATTTCTGCATCTGTATCATCAGCAGATTCTGTCCGATACTAGAAACATACTACTGACTTATCGCGCATCCGTAATATGGTCTCCGCTCCCGATATCACCCCTTCCGATGCTGCCCTAATCGTCGATGCCTGCGCTGCTTCTCTTCCAGTTGCAAAGTTTTCTTATCTCCTGTAATCTCCCAACATCGAGGGTCACATAGCGCTGTATTGGGCCATTGTCAATAAGCGGCAAGAAGCCTTTTTGTATTCATAACCAAATTCTCGTCTGTTTGCTCTTCTGACTTGCGTCTCGCGTGCGTAGCAATTCACAGCCAGGCCTTGTTTGTGCAGCTGGATGTGATTGTATGTGCATAGTCATGTCCGCCCTGAGAGTGCATTAACATATCTACTATGCACTAATCAGCCAAGGACGAGCATTTGAGACGCTCTTTGAGTTATTCCCATGATTTCCAGGTGCATGAAGGAGACGGATCAGGCGGGAACCAGTTCATTGCTTGTATCTGCGTCAGGATGTTTCGGAAACGTCTGCACATTACACAGGATTTGGGCGTAGAATTTGTTGCAGAGTCATCGTTCCCGATGTTGTGACGATGTCGTCGATCCCTGCAAGACGTATATGGATGTTGCGGGGCCTGATGAGAGGTGGCGCATTGGGCTTAGTCTTTCTCAACCTAGTTTTCCAGCGCGTCCAGACGTTATACTCCTGATCAAGGCCCACCTAACTGTACAACCCCATCTCAAGGGCTGGTAATGACTTGTGAACATCATGGTGAGCATCTCGGCTGAGTGAGGAACGAGGTCGAGCCCATAATGCTCACCATGCGCGTGTAAGATGCTGAATATAGTGAACATGATGTTATGCCCGTTCCATTTTTACCTGTACTAGTAGAGATTGCAATGTGCATGGTTATAAACTCTGATCAAACTAATAAATTGATCGTCGGAAGCAGGTGTCGGGATTCGGGAACTGGCGCGCCGTTACGATGAGGTAGACGATTGATTCATTTTGCTCGGCCGGTGTCCTTATCACGGGCGGACTCGTGGGTCATGAATGACTACGGTCCTCCGAATGTTTCTGCAGCAAATATTAATATCTTTCTGACATAGAAACCCACACCCCCACCAAACCCCTGGCGGATAAGAATGTTATGAACTTTTACCGCTGGCAGTGACCTCGGAGTCATAAACGTGGTCAAAGATACTACGAACCATAAATTCGACATTCTGAAGACTTCTGTATGACCTGGTGGCTTTAGCCCTAATTTATCTCTTACAATCATCACCCATCTTCTCGTTAGAATGGAATCATGCTTGTAACCTTTGAAATTGTATCGGTTGTCCACGAAATGGTATGGTTAAACCTTACCTTACCTGCCATGTGCGACACACTTGTGATAGCACTGATGCCCCGCGGACAATCATGACAGCGACGTGATGGCCTAGTACACCTTTCAGCCAAACATTCAATACTACCCGAGATACCCGAACACGTACCTTCTTCGTCAACTCATATATTCTCCTCTGTACGGCAAACAATATTGCAGCAGCGAGGAC